CATGCTGTGAGTGTGAGGTAGTGCATGTGGACTTGTCAATCTAAATGAAACATGCAAAGAGTCGGGATGAGTTAAACGAGGGTGCGAGGATGTAGGTACAGGGTCAGTTACGACATGTCAGAGAGCCGAGAGTGTGTAATGTGTAGGCTATTCCATTCCTTACGAGTCGACATGCCTTGGAAGGCGAGATATGTGAAGGCATACTCTGTAGAGATCATGAGATGCCCGTCAGGGATAGTAGAGCCTGGTATAGTGTTAACAGCACCACAGATGGGGCCGAGATATGCCGGAAGCTTGGTCGAAAGAGACTATCGAGTCTTCCAGGGAAGAATCGAGGTACGTATGTGGTTGATGTGCCGAATTCTATGCCTAACTACAGCACGGAGTATAGGCACGGAGCGTCCGATATATGCAGGGATAAATGGCTTGAATCCAAGACTCCCCGATGGTTTGGCAGGGTTGACTTTGCGAGCGGGTCTGAGAGGAAAACCTCGGCCGCTTGAGAACGAGGGAAATAAATAGAATGAAAGGAAATGAAAGAAAGGAAAAAGCAACAAAGCAAGTAAGATGGCAGTGAACTGAGCGCCCGATCGGATGAAAGCTCAGATCAGCTTCTGCTACCTTCATGGTATGGTAGGTCTGGCCTCATGAGACCAACAGGCACAGGGCTACTGTAACAAGACCAACCAGATAGATAGATGTCACAGTAGATGCCTGCTTAGCCCGGGACTAGATGAGTTGTCAAAGTGTGAATCGCTTCAAGAAACTGGTTTTTGGAAAATTAGCATTTCTTATGCGACGGCAGTTGGGCGTTTTCTACTACCCAAGCCCTCTAAACCCCTGCCTCTACGAGGTGACTAGCTTTTTGCTCTCTTTTCTCCTATATTCAATTGAATTCACTTCACTTCACTTACAAGGCATGAACAGCACATCCCGTCCCAATATGAGAACCCATTGAAGCCCTTGAGAACCATTTGCGGAGAAAAAAAAAGGGCCTGGGCCCTGTCAAGAACTTACTGGGGTGTTTGCCCTTGAGCGAATGGCTTCGTGGAGCGTGTTCGATGTGGATATCAGTTTAATTGAGGATGGGGCACGAAACGAGACTGATCAGTTTCTTTTTAAAGAATGAATGAATCGTTTGACAGCGGTCATGATGTCACTGCGTCTAGGCGTCGAGGTGAGTGAGTTCGGATATTCATTCAGGGGATAAGATCAGCTGGCAAAGTTGTAAGTGCCCGTTCAAGGGAGGAATTTGGTGGACGAAAAAGCGGTCAAAATTATCACATCAGTCAATTGATTGTCATTACAACACCTCAGGCTCAGCTGAGGTGAGGTTAGGTCAGGTCAGGTTAGGCCAGGTCAGGTCAGGTCAGGTCAGGTCAGGACAAGTCAGATGGTGAGGTCGCATTTTGGGTTATATATCCATTCCTGCAAAGACCTACCAGACGAGAGAGAGGTTGGAGTCGTAGTAGAGTTTGTTGGGTGTTTACCTAAAGAGGCAATGTGTAAATAATGCAAGAGACAAGACGCGTTACAGAAGGTGGAAAAAAAGACGCGTCATAAGCTTGGATAATTGAGTTTTGGTGGTGTTAGTGTTAGTGTTAGTGATGGTGGGATAAAAGAGGAGGGGAAGCAGATCCAACCTGTGGCTTTTTGTACAGCACAGCCTGAGTCCTGACTGATCATGATGACGCCTCGCTTACTTACCCCGCTATGATACGGGATATTCAAGATTCGGTCTTGGTCGTCTTGGTCTGTCCTGGTCTCGATTTTTGGCCTTTCCTCCTCCCTCCGTTGAGCCGAATGTGGTTGTGGTTGTGGTTGCGTTGCGCTATTTCGACCGAGTCTGCAAGTAAGAAAACCCATTGACAGCTGAAACTATTGATGATGGAGCAAGGATCTGCTAGCCGACGATTGACTAAACTAATCAAGAGCACGTTAGTCAACCCACCGTAATAAATCTTGGTTCAGAGGTTGAGGCTGTTATCAGCGTTTGAGCCATTACATGAGGCGAGGTACGTTGTTCAATGGCCCTGGGTTTCTTCAACAGTGGCCATGCATGTCTTGGGCTCAATTCGATCTACAATGCACATCCATTAAAACAGCCCAAAGCGAATTAATGACAGCTGCAATGGGGTTTACAACGCCCTGCAGGACCGTTGGCGCAACGGAATATTTATGCTTCTCGTGTTTTTAAAACTCTGTTTACTCTGAGTATTTGATTCATGTGAGACGGTTCACTGCCAGTCTTCGATCGACATACTGCAAAGTATCTCGGGGCTTATTAACCTTCAAGGATATCAGTACTCTAAGTTGATGAAGGGCACGTCCCTATGCCAGAAGGTCCAGAACCCAGATAGCATGGCAATGATGAACTTCAAGTGGTTTGCTCACAGGCTCAGCCTCCAGCTTTCAGCTATAAAGAGTTAAAGTGCCGTACTGCGTAAGTACTCTTCACTTTTCTGGTCTCAATGCAAACTCTAATAAACTACGGAACGGAGGAAGATCAGAGACGGCACGAGGAAAATCACGGTTCTTCACATGCAAGGGTGATCCTGTTAAAAGTCTCTTTGTTGAGCCCCATTATCAGCGCCAATGTCATTGTCAGCCACCCAAGGATATCCATGGATGGGTCCATTACAACTCAAGACCGAGAACGACACCATGAACAATGAATGACGACGAAGAAGTGTTGTAGGTATGTAGATTGCAAGGTAGAGGGAGAAGTTGAGATGCGGGGGTCTCGTATTTCTCCTCGTCGCTTGTTTCGCCTCTGCTGATGGTGGGTGCAGGCACCAAGAGCTAAGTTAAGGTATCGCAATTCTGAGACTGCTCGATGCAACCTCTGCTGCAGACCCTTGGGATTGGCAGTATTTGATTGGTCCTCGACAACTACAATCCAAACAAGGATTGCCATTTGAAGACGCGTCTTGGTCGGCCAAAAGCGCGCCCAAACTTGCTATCTCATCATCATCACCAGCTCACAGCTTGGTCGACTCGAACAAGGCAATTCACACATACCTCGCTTCAATCCACCCACACCATTCTTAATTCTTTGTCAAAAAGAACAAAGGCGGTGCGCACTGACCCTGATCTCGACTCTCTTTCAGTTTGCCGCATCCTTGCTCATTCTTGGTTGGCGGCCGTTTTATGCTACCTTAGCACTCTTACTTACCTACCACCTACTAAAGTACTGTATTCAACGGTCTGCCTGTGACTGGACTTTTGAATTGACTCGGCCGGGCTTGACTTGACAGTCTTGACTTTGCCAAGTGAAGCATTCCACCCAGTTACGCTTCCTCGACAAGGACAAGGCCAATCATCGTCTGAAGAACCCTGCTCGGAACCACGGGCTTGAGAGGGGGTGTTAAACTCCGTGATCTTTACCCATTACATCCATCAATCGATCATCGTAGGGAAAACGTATACTAAAAGTACATACATGCCGAGCAAGAGGAGGAGGAGAGGAAAAAGAAAAACGCCGATAAAATTCGAACAAAGACAAAGAAAGGCATTGATGAGCAAAGAGGCGTAGTCAATTCAATAGCTCTCGGCATCTCTAACGTTAGACCTTTTCTGCTTCCAACTGTGGCTGGCTGGCTGTTCTCGTTACGGTATAGCATGGCGTGGCATGGCGTCTCGTCTATCTGATGAGCTTTTCCTTTTTCTTCTACCACTAGGTATGGCTGCTGACTTGCTGTAAATATATGTCGATTTCATTTAAGCATTTCAAGAAGAAGAAGAAATGTATAAAAAGAAAGATAGTTGAATTGCCATGCGGAACTGGTCTCACTATAGGCAATGTAATATCAGGTGTCTACCTTTAAGCTGTATCACTAAAAGTCCCTCGATTCTTGTGCCCGTTTCTGTCATATCCCCATATTCATCTGACAAGACATACAGACTTTCAGTCCAAGGTAGGATCGGCACCAAACACAATCCCAGCATCTGATCCGGAAGCATCCACCACCAACAACAACACAGCACGGCACGGCACATCTGTCAGAGCACGACATATTCGCTTCGCATCCAAATCTGAAAATCTTGGATGCACCACTTTTCTGATACGGCAGAAACGGAACGCAACAGGCACAGGCACTGCACGTTAGGCCGTGAATACGGAGCACGCACAAAGACTCCGATAACAAGATCGAGATCTGCTGGGTGCCATCTCCACTGCCTAACATATATGCACATACATACACATCCCTAGTACTAAGTTTCGTATGGAGGAGAGCAGCCAGTTATCGTTTTTATGTGGTGCCAGGCTCAAACACCAAGGCATTGAATAGCATGATCCACAGCCTGGTTGAACAATGTGGCCGCATGAGTCTGAGGAGATGTCTTCATTTCAGTGTCCTCCAATCCGTATTCATAGCCTATTGCGCGACCTCATCTCGCCTCGAGACGAGTGAATCTGACTTGTGCACTTAGATGACTCGAGGCAGAGAAGAAAGGAGGCTTCTGTCACTTTGTCTCTTTTGTCGACAACCAACACCCAATACAATCCCCCGCATTCAACTCAGCCAATGCAATCGTGAAAATCTCTTGGCTGTTAGAGAATCAGACTGACCAATCATTCCTCGTCAATCCCCGCGCGCGTCGAGGCCGAGGATGAGGGCGCCTGGCGATGCATCCGCTGCTGAAATGGAAATGGGAATGGAAATGGGACTTTCACGGTCCTTGTTAAGGTGACGCTAGTGGAGGGTTACCTAAGATCCCTGCATCCTCACGCCCCTAGTTTTACAGTGGCCCACACCTCACCTCGCGAGCTCACCTCACCTTGACGCTCTCCCTTTGGTCGGTTGGATCTTTTTTAGCTCTCAATCGCCCATTCCCGAAACACGCACGCCCTCGATTTATACACACCCTTGCTTTTACTTGGTTATCGCAACCTACCTTGCCTATCGAATCGAATCGTTGCGCTGCGCTGTGCTCTGCTCTGCTCTGCTCTGCTGTGCTGTGCATCTCGACTTCTTCTCTCTCTTCTCTTCCCCTCCTGTTCTCCTCCTCCTTTCTCACCCCGTGATACTCGTTACTGCGACTTGATGCGAGCGAGACAAGAGAGGTCCGAGTTCAATCAGGTCCTAATCAATTAAAGTCCATATGACATCAGTCTCGCTCTGCCCGAACTGATCGATTTCGATTATCCGCCCATCCAATCTTGATACCAAGGCAGACCAGAGACAGTGCTCACGCAGAATCCCCTCTTTAGCTCTCTCTCTCGCGCTCTTCCTGCCGTGTCGTGTCAGCCCGGGCGCTCTCCATCCAATCCCTGTCGCTGTTCTCATCATCCTCCCTGCGCCTGGTCCCCACTGGGCCTCACACACGGCGGCCACAGGTACAGCCATACGCGGTACAGCGCCCACTGAGAGACGGCCTAGCCCCCATCTCCAGCAGGTCCCAAGACGCCTCCGCACGCCAGCTGCTGCGCCTGAGGGGCCCTATTCTTTTTTCTCTCTTTCCCTTCTTGCCCGCATTCACCTGCACTTGTACTGCAGGGCGCGGTGCAGTACACTAATCTTGGGCACCACACCTTGCACCTCGTCTTGGCTGCATCATTCTACAATCAACCTCCATCTCCTCCCTTGGTCGCACTCATACTCTCACTCTCACTCTCACTCTTACTCTTACTCTTACTCTTCTGCCCTTCCTCATTTTCTAGAGATTGTTTTCGCTATTCCGTCTCAGTCAGAATTAATCGACATTTGCGTCTCGTCCATTTGATAGAGAGTAATCGACGACTACTCACTCACCTTTACTAACCTTTACCGCTTCGACATATCTGCACCTGGCTAATTGTCGACCCTACCTATCCTGGTTCACGATTTGCTCTTTAATCACCAGCTTTACCCTCTCGACCGTCCACCAACCTAGCCGGTCTTGACTCATCTGCGACAATACTCTAAACCGCTTTGATCTGCTGATATTTCTTCGTCAACGCGACCCGGTCATCTTCATTCCTGCGGACCAAAGTCGCTTCTATATTCGGAGCAACTCCCAGAGACCGTGAACGAACGAACCCCAGATACCGGCTGCTCGTCCTATTGAACGCTCCGACCAAGTCACGACAGCCCTGTCAAAGCAGCCCCACAGCTCATTACTACCTTGAACTCCACGCTCCATCCAAGTCAGTAGGACGTCCTTTTCTTTCCCTCTCCCTCTTCCTTGCCGTCATGCACACTCGTCCCATTAGGCTCTGCCGGTGTCCACTCTTTAACTCCCACCTTCGCCCGTTATCTTACCGTCATCTCTTCCACTTTCCGTCCCCGGCATCGACTGACTAACCTTGATTTCAAGTACAGCGTTTGGTTCAACCATTTTGCTCAGTACCGCAGCCCCATTGACCCGATATCGAGCTTCGTTACTCGATCGACATGGGCAAACACACGCGTTTTCCCAGTTCCACTGGGCCGCTACAAATATTCCAGGACGACATGCCAGAGAATGTCACCCCAATGACCAGTCACGCTCCTATGCCCTCTGCCCCAAAGCAAGCCCGAAGGCCCTTGACCAGCTCAACCTCAAACGTCGTTTTCAACCCGCCCACCGCCTCTCACAATGCGCACTCGCCCTTCAAGCAACGGCCTTCCTCCGCCTCGCAAATCCCATTGGCCTCGGCCCACGGCAACAAATTAAACATGGTCGCGATGGCGCCTCCATCCAGGCGAAGCCATACCACGGATTCGTTACAAAAGAAACCTTACCTATCGAACTTTAAGACGGTGCCTCAAAAGCAAAATTTTGACATGGCTTGGGATTACGGAAAGGAGAACGTCCACCCTCAGCTCTTCCCGGCACCTCCTGCGATTGATTCGTCGGTCAGCAACTACTATCAGAAGCCAAACGGCAAGCGCGCTCTCATGGAGGCTGCTCCCATCAAGGAATTCAGGCCTGCCAAGAAGACAAAGGCTGAGCCAGTGGCAGCGACAGCGACAGCGACAGAGCCTGAAGCAGAGACAGAGGCGACAACTGTTATTCCTCCCCACGATAGTTTCCCTCCAATTATCGATGATGGCAACAAACCCGCCCTCAGCTACGCCGACCTGATCGCCATGGCCATCTTCCGATCCCCAAACCGACGACTGACACTTGCTCAGATTTACAAGTGGATCAGCGACAACTACTCCTTTTATAGCCCTACTGATGCTGGCTGGCAAAACAGCATTCGCCACAACCTCAGTCTCCAGAAGGCTTTTGTAAAGATCGAGAGACCTAAGGATGACCCTGGTAAAGGCCACTACTGGGTGATTAAGCCCGGTCACGAAGCACAGTACCTGAACAAGAAGCCGACTCGCAAGTCTGCCTCCGCATCCGAGAACCTTCACGTCATGTCGACTCGACTCGAGCCTTCCCGACCGGCTTCGGCACCGACTCAGGAACCTACACTACCGCCCCCTGTTCCAACCTGCCAGCCGGCTCTGCCACCTCTTCCTACCTCCCAGGCCACCATGTCAATGCCAGTCGATCTCTCGTCCGACGCTACCATTCCTGTCTCGGACAACCTGGGTCCCGAGGATGCTGCTGACAAGGCCGACCAAGAACTCTCTCTCGACTCATATCTCTACTCGCCTCTGCCTGCCGCCATACACTCGTCACCGCCTGTCTCTCGGCATGTGGATCATCGAAGTAACACGCCGCCTACCGCCTCCCGAAATATTGCTTCATCTGTCTCACGGTCTCATAAGCGCAAATTTGCATCCATGGACGACAGCGGTTACTATTCTTCTGTCGAGATGTCATCCGCTATCAGGCCTAGCCAAAAGTTCATGCTGACATCTGAGGCTGACCGCCCTCGAAACAAGTCGAGGGGCCGTGCTGAGGAGGAGATCGCCCGTATTCGGAAATCATCTCCTTTTAGCCCGACCAAGACACGATTCTATTCCGCCATTCCACCTGTCTCTTCGTCTCCTCTCCGACCAGCGTACGACAAGCAGATGCTGCCACCGATTACTCCTATGGTCAAACTTAATCCTCCTGCTCGACCACCCCCATCAGCCTCTCCAAACACCAACCTTCGACTTCACCGCGACGCGGTCCGGAACATGCTCCAGTCACCCGATAGGAAAGGCGACGCTGAGAACATTCCTTATAGCCCAGCTTTCTACCTAGGCAACGACTTCTGTCCGTCCAACTTCGGTGTGAGTATCCTTAGTGATGGAGAGTTCTCTATGAATCAGGACTTGACTGGTATGGGTTGCCTTGAGGATGGTTCTTTCCCTGTCATGAGCTCAGTCGAGGCTGGGTCTCCTATGAAGCGTCCCGCGAAACGTATCCGTCTAGATCGAACTGTTTCCGCATCAGTTCTTGGCGATATCACCAACTCCGCTGCCAGAAAGCCCATCGCCTCTGCTCCACTACTACGGCCACCTGAGCAGTCTATGCAGTTCGATACCCCGAGCAAGGCATTTGAGGGCCTGAGCTCCCCAAGCAAGATGTTCCAGGAATCTCCTTTGCGAAATCAGTCCACAAAGTTTGCCGACTTCTTGAACGTTTCCTTGGATCCCAATGACTGGACTTCGGGGGCTATGATGGACCAACTAGACTTTACCCGCCCCAACGCTGGCGGCATTACAGATATGCCGGAGCTCGACATTTTCAAGGGTTTTGACAAGATTGGATCCACATCACAGAACAACAGCAGAAATCTCCCAAGGAGCAACAAGCCCGGATTACCGCGAAGCTATACGACTCAATTTTAAACCCAAGACGACACTGAAAACGAACGTGGCAAGATGACGAAATAAGCATAAATATGTATGAGATTCATGATTTGACGAAAGAATATAAAAACATAACAATTCCTTCGAGAACTGACCTATACACAAGGCCCAATTGTGGCTTGTAGATGTTGGGTCGTGTCCGGTATGGACTAGAACAGAGAGACTCGGCATCAGCCGAGTGCTCGGATGGCTTCACAGCTAGCGGTTGACGACGATAATGACTTTGGGGCGCGTTCTGCTCGCTCACAAGGCTTGGGATGCTGAATAGCAATTTTGTGGGATATGTTTTGGCTTGCGTTTCCCTTTACCTGTTTATGTTATGCTATTCTCTGCCAGGAGTTTGGATGGTTCTCTGGGAGGAATGATGAATGGTATTGCGCGCATATTACATGTTCTCGCTTTTTGGGGGGTTTGCTTACTTTGGTTTTCGGGAATGGAAAGAACAGGGAAGGGCAGGGAAATGAAAGGAACGGTCTGGACATTCGACCACGTATGGTAGCTACTATTTACATTTTGGCCTCAATCACAGTGCTTATTAACGTTTACTACGCTGATGCAAAGTCAATATCCCGTGCGTCGCTGTGACTTACTACCGGTGAATCAAATCTGTCTCTCCGGACATCTAGACCAGCCAGTACTCCGTGTTTCATTCAGATAATGCACGAGTGGCGGAAGCACTTCTCTTGTGTGTCACTGGCAAGCTTACGAGCCGTCATGTTGTTGGAAAGGGGTATCAATTATGAATGACCTATGTATACTAGCTATTAGTCATGACTCCTTAAACGCCTTTGATCTATACATCCCAGATGAATGGATCTTCTATACCATTCACCAGGCCTGGTCAGCCCTTGACTTCTGTAACCTATTCCACAAATCCACCATTGACCGTGTCGCAGAGGAAATTGTTTCTATAAAGGTACAGCAAGGTCGAGGCAATATAAGCGCCGCAAGCCCGCAATGATCTTGGGGCGTGAGACTCTTCCGAACTCATCATTCTAGTATATACGCATCCGTGTTGCCCAACCTGCCGCCTCCTTTTGGTCAATGTTGATCTTGTAGGGGAACGGGTTAGTACCCTGAGTTGTGATGGGCGGTATGTGATCTTTGTGTGTATTAACGAATGCGACTATCTTCATCGCTGTTGCTGAGAGGGTCTGCTCCATTGCTCGTCGAACTTTAGCACGTTCTAAACCACATATTAGCAACTCCCTTAGGATACTTTAGAGTGAGGGGGAGGTCCATACCACTCTCTGTTCTTGGCTCGGCGACAGTCACTTTGATGGTCCAACACTCCCAACAAACCTCTTCGTCGCCACGGGACAGCCAGGCTTTGCGACGACGTTTCTCGAAAAACTGAACAACGAGCTGACCGCGCCCACCGTTACCACTTCCGGTGCTGGCGCTATTAGCACCGCCTGATGAGCGCTGGACATCGATCTGACGCTCGAGAGCCGCGACGCGCTGATCTATCATAGTCTCAAGCTCGTCGTCGTCGACATAGGGAAGCGTCGTGTCAAGGACCTCGCGGGTTTGTGGGACGATAGAAGGGAAGAATCGATTAAAAAATATGGTATGCAGTATTCCTGTGAGAAGGCATGTTAATGAGGCGCATTCATGATGATTTTGAGAACATCGTCACTTCTTTGTCGTCACAAGTATAGCGGGGTGGGTGTCCAGGGTAGGGTGACGATCAAGAGAACAAGCAAGCAAAGCAGACTTGCCTTTGACTACTTCACGAACCGAGCGCGGATCGGCGAATACGTCGAGGATAAACTCTGGTGGTTCTTGTTGGTCCATATTATCGGTGCTGTTGTAAAGTCGATTGTGGGCTATGATCATGGTTGAGGAGAGTTGAAGAAGGAGGCTGAGATAGACGCGAGAGAAGATGAGATGAGATTGAGAATGGAGATAGATAGTGACTCTCCAGATGAAACAACGTCACTGAACCATAAAAGGGAGGGGCATGGGATCGATTTAGGTGGTCCCCACTTACCCCGTGCTTCAGCTCACCTCAGCACAGCCACGCAGTAGATGGTCAATCATCTTTATCTCACCAGCCACATATCATCTCGTAAACTCCACCTCCACCTCGGCCACGTCTACCGACTCCGACCACGGGGTAAAGGTATATCAAGCCTCCATCCATATTCGGGGCCGAGGCTCGGGCTCATGTTGGCATTGGCATTGACATCCAACCCTGAACCTTTTTTTTTTTTAAACTCCCCTAACTCCAACCTTACCCCAACGAGAAGCTCCCAGACCGAACCCGAACTCTCAACGGCTTCTTAACGTCCACATGCTCACACAGTGGTACTCATTGCCTCGGTGAATCGATCGATATACTTTACGTACAGTTACAACTTATGAACAATTGATCACCGTTTCCCCATCGTATCTTCCATTATCCTCAAATCATGTTCACATCTGCTCGGCGCTGGCTGCGCAACAATCGTACGCCCATTGCTGTCGGCGTGGGCGTCATCGGTGCCGGTTACGTCGCGACGCAATATGTCATTGGAAAGCTTAATGATGCCCGCGAGCGCATGAGCAGCGAGCGCATCGCCAAGGAGAAGTAACCATCACCCATCCGATAGCAATGATACGCAAACATATACTGACAACCCATGACACAGTCTGCGGCGTCGCTTCGAACAGAATCAGGAGGACTGCACATTCACCGTCTTGGCTCTCCTGCCCTCCGCCACGACGGCCATTCTCGAAGCCATGAACACGGAGCAGATCACATTTGAGATTCAGCAGATGAAAGCCACCAAGGCTATAAAGAATGGTGGCCCTGAGTCTGCAGCGCCACCCAGCATCGCAGATACTACATTGACAGAGGACGATGGGAAGAGTATGGCTGGCCAAAGCGAGAGCGGTGTACAGTCCAGCCAGGCCCCTACATCCTCACCATTCAACGCCGGTGGCGAAGCGAACAAGGAAGCACCCAAGCCTCGCAAGACGAAGCGACAACTATGGGATGACGTGACCATCAGCGGTGAGTAACAGCCTTGCTCTTCTTCTCTGCACAGAACTAACACACACTGCAGCGGTGACGCGGTCTTTTACTTTGATATATACCCTCGCGCTGCTTACAATGCTAACTCGGGTTCAACTCAACCTCCTTGGCCGAAGAAGCTATCTATCGAGCGTGGTGGCCCTCGCAACAGGTGGCCAACAAGGCACCATCAGTCTTGAGAACAACGATGACGACAACACAGAACAGACATATGGCAGTGACTTCGACATAAATCGCAAGTACCTGACCTTCAGTTGGTGGCTACTCAACAAAGGATGGGTGGACTTGATGCGCCGAGTGGAGAGCGCCGTGCGCACCGTCTTTGGCAGCCTGAGCCCTAGGGACCTCTTGAGCTTTGAGAGGTTCTCTGAGCTGACGACCGAGGTGAGGAAGCTTGTCGAAGGCTCTACAAAGGAGGAGCGTCAGAAGTCAGACTGGCTCAACTTCCTCCTCCCACCCAGAGGCATGGAGGACGAAGTGATTCGAGAGTCGGGCATCCTCGACGAGACATCTAATCAGGGTGGCGAACAGTCAACACCCGCGTCACAGGCAATTCTGAGACGGCTGCTTGACGAGACAGCCGACCTTATCGAATCACCCAGTTTCACGCACGTCCTCACTCTTCTCCTCGACGCAGGTTTCTCCTATCTCATTGATAACAAGCTCGCCACTGCCGCGTTTGAACTCCCGGCCTCAGATGGTATCGTCACTCCCGAACTTAAGGACCAGCAGCGCTCAAAGGTGATTCTACTGCCCAAGATCCTGTCGGTGTTGACACGTCAGGCACATGTTATTGGCGATGGAATGCCCAACGAATACCTCCAGAAGATGGAGACTGTCCGTGATCTGGAGGCTTTTGCTGCTGTCGTGTATTCAAGTAATTGGGAGCAGGAAATTCGCACAGATGATGACCTGATGGCCAGTGCTGTTGATCTTGGCGCTTCGCAGACAACTGGTGTCACCAAGGTATCGCAACCACAGACTCGGACACAGACTCAGACACAGACACAAGTCCACGGTGCACAGGGGGAATCAAGCCTGGTTGTGGTAGACCCTCAGGGGGGCTTCGAGAGCGCATGGGGACGAGCAGTGGAGGACAAGTCGTGAAGCGTATGTATTTTGGTTGTGTTTGTTGTGTTGCTACATAACTTTGGGAGTCATGGCGGGATCATCACATGGGAATCAGGGATGGAGATAAAGGAGCAGCATAATATCGGGAAGCATCTGGGCCACTGAAGACGCAAACAAATGTCACATCTTAGTCATTTAGAGGCGAGTATATGGTGTTGATATAGTTTAGTCGAGTCTGAGGGATTTGGTTTAACAACCCCCCTCTTGTAACATTGATGCCGGAAATGGCGTTGGGTATAGTCCTCTCTTCTCTCCTTCCGCATGCCTCCTTAGCCGAACGTGCCGAACGTGAGGGACGTTTCCGGGCTTCTGGTACGGACTCGCGCTGCCATGCCGAAACCGTCATCCTGCTCGGAGCCGGGCAACACGAGTGCCGTGTTCTCGTGTTTGGGTTATTCTCCTGATGGCTGGGAAACACCTCCTTCATACCTCCAGCCTTCAGGCCATGCCCGGGAGCGCAGTATCTAGACTGGAGGGGAAGTGGGTTTGTTTCCCCATCTCAAAAGCCCCATGGTTGTAGGTGGTATTTTCAAACGCAATGCTTCGAAAAGTGCTCATTACTCTTGCTCCTCCCGCTCACATCAAGCCCCTGATGAACTGATCGAGGCCCAACTCGAAGAGCTCGTTCTTGACACCATCGCCGTTTTTGTGTTCCACTGGCGCCAGGGGGTTCTTGACCACTACAAAGAAAAGTTAGCTCAAATGTTACACTCTTCCTGGCTCATAAACCACACCATATTCCACCCATAGGTTGATGTAAATTTGGTGTAGCACATTGCGCATGCTCAAGGTCGCTGTGTCGGTGAGGATAACAAATCTCAAGTTGGCGGGTGTTTCGTAAAAGTGTAGCTTATACTGGGCAGTTCGGTAGCTGATGAATGCATCGTCGTCGCCGCCGAGCTTACGGACCATATTTCGAAGGGAGAAAACTGTGCCGAATAGGAGCTTTGCGTCATCAGAGGACGTGCTCGGAGCAGCGGTTTCGGAGCCCGCTGATGGCGGAAGCCAGGACTTTGAGTAGACGCATTCGGCTGAAAGAGAGAAGAAGGGTTGTCAATCGGGAGGTCTAGAGGGGGAAAGGCGAGGGAATTTGCTCACTGTGTCGGTCGAAGATGTGGAATGAATAGACAACCATGATGGAGATTCAAGGGTGTTCAGGTCGACGTGTAAGTTGAACTGCGATGGGTTTGGGTAGGTATTGCTTGAACAAGTTGGCGGACAGGTTTAGCTCGTGTTGATGCAGACTCAAATTCGCGGCAGTGGTGTCTATATCTCGTTGGTTAAGGGTGGGAGCCTAGAGACAGATGTTGAAGCAGATGGAATGCGATGCGATTCGATACGATGTGATGAATTGTGTTTTGGTGTAGAGGGAGGTCAAGCCTATGATGGAGCCTCCCGCCTTCCAGCCTTACCTAACTGTGGCGCCTGTGCCAGTTGAAGTTTAGTGAAGAGCTTAGGTGGGGTAGGGCCTAAAGCTCTCGACCAGTTGTCCCCAGGCTGACTGCAGATGTCCAGTCCCCTAGTTAGTAGGTACCTTAGACAGATTGTGCCCCGCCTGTAAGCAGCTCGCTCAGCCAAGGCTCACTCACTTACTGACGGGACTCGAAAAAGACCTTTGGTTCGTTCCATCCCTCTGACTGGTACCTCTACCACCAAATCATATCACATGGCACTAACAATCACTCTTAAACCCATTTTTGTCTGTCGCGCTTCTCTTCTTCCTCTTTGAACCATCTTCAATTGCAGAACATACATACATACCTAAGGTATCTTGCCTTGTCAAAAAACAATTCCTGTTATATTACATAGTATATTGGTTTACCGCAGGGTGCGGGGCAACATCGTTGACTGATTAGTCTATTGAGTTCGGTTCGATCAACTCCAACCCGACCTCATTATCTTTGTCTGGGCGTAGCGCATCGCATATCATCCTTGACAATGGACGCAGCAACTCATCCAGAGATGAGACCCTCGTTCACTTTCCCTTCGCCTCAAGTCAGAGTCGATCAACATGACGATGCCTCTGGCGATAAACCTCCCCCACCACTCATCCATCACCTGTAAGTCAGACTCAGAGCCTACTCAGTTTTTAAATGCGCCCAATGGGTCAATTGACAATCGCATCAACCAAGGACGGAACCAACAGAAGTTCTTCATTTCTCGAGTCCTCTCAGGCATCACAAGAGAACCCCAAGCGCCCATCGAGAGGTCAAGGTGCGGAACTAACACCAGCATCGAGACCTTATTGGACTGACCAGTTCCATAGGAAACTCTCGATGCGCAGACACAATTTGGGGATGAGGATGCTGATGGCTGCTCTCACCATCGAGTAAACCAGTACACAATTTTGGAAGAAATCGGCAGAGGTTCTTATGGCGCTGTCCATCTTGCAAAGGACCAATTCGGCAATGAATATGTGAGTATTGTGCCAGCGCCCAATTCGTCTCCGACTTACACAGCCTCAGGCCGTAAAAGAATTTTCCAAGGCTCGACTCAGAAAACGCCTCCAATCCACGATCCTCAGGCAAGGCCCTCGAGGCCCAAGGCGTATGGGCCCTGGCGGCCGAGATCCCTTCAATTCAGTGCCCCGGGTCAAGGACTCCAATGATGCACTGCACCTCATTCGAGAGGAAATTGCCATTATGAAGAAACTAAACCACCCCAACCTAGTACAGCTCTATGAGGTTCTTGATGACCCCGAGGAAGATTCCATCTATATGGTCCTAGAGATGTGCCGAAAGGGTGTCGTCATGAAGGTCGGCCTTGACGAACACGCCAATCCCTACCCTGAGGAAAACTGCCGCTATTGGTTCCGAGACCTTATATTAGCCATTGAGTATCGTGAGTGCAATCACCTCATACCCCAATTATTCTGAGATGCTAACGATATGCCGCGCAGTTCATGCTCAGGGTGTCATCCACAGAGACATCAAGCCAGATAACCTGCTCTTATCTGATGATGACGTGCTCAAAGTCGTTGATTTTGGAGTTTCCGAGATGTTTGAAAAACCTGAAAACATGAGAACAGCAAAATCTGCAGGATCACCCGCTTTTCTTCCCCCTGAACTTTGTGGGAAGCATGGCGACGTGTCGGGCACCGCGGCTGATATTTGGTCCATGGGAGTTTCGCTCTACTGCCTCAAGTATGGGCGCATTCCATTCAACCGTGATGGCGTCTTGGACATGTACGACGCTATCAGGACCGATGAACCTTCCATCCCCGAGGACGAGAACCCGGACTTTGCCGACCTCATGCAGAAGCTACTCAACAAAGACCCGGAGCAGCGCATAACCATGGATAAACTTCGAGTAAGATGTCCAGGCCTTGCGAGCGTCTGACATAACAGAGCTAACACCCGAACAGGAGCATCCCTGGGTCACCAAGCAGGGTACGGACACTCTCCTCTCTGCTGAAGAGAACTGTGCCAACATGGTGGAACCTCCAAATGAGCTTGAGGTTAACCGTGCCTTTACTCGCAAGATGAATCACCTCCTTTGCGTCATGAAAGCCATCCATCGCTTCAAGTCCATTCTGGCCAAGCATCGCGCCAGATCGAACAGTAGCCCGCCTAAACACGCCCAGGATACCTTTGATGCGTCCCAAGAAAGGGCAAAGGCAGAGGTGATCGAGGCGTTGCTCTACCAGCGGCGCAAGTTTCTGAATCAAAAGACTGATGAAAGCAGCGAAACTCCGCCAATTCACGAAACCAAGGGAAATGACACCCCATTCTTGGGAATCGGCACAGGAACAATGGACGAGTTCGCTTCCAATGAGGCTACTCCAGATATGGTGTCCGATTCGCCAACGGCCGTTGACTTCAACGTGTATGACCGAGCGTATGAAACTGCTATAGAGAACATCACGTCTGGTCAGAATGATTCTTCGAGAAGGCCAACAGTATACTTGACCAAGTTCGTCAAGGAGACACGGAAACTGAAGGGGATCCCTGGACTCACTGGGCATGAAGACATCTCTGAGAATTCTGATGACCTACAGAAATCGGGGCCAGCAGCCAAGCTTTCGCACCTCACATCCAAGCTTGGCCTCTCAGGGAAGCAATAAGAACAAGTTGGGCCTTGGTCTAGGGCATAAGCTACACCTTGGGGTAAGGCTACGCGTTTGGAAATTACGTTGTACCATTATGGCGTTGCGGGTGATCCCAGCATGGTTGGTAGTGACGGATCAAAGGCGGTGGACTCTTTTAGAAGCTCAGTGAGAACGATACCACAAGACATATGTATGAAAAAGCGTGCTCACCATGTAACATGACCGTTGGATGCAACTGTGGTAATTTTTTTGAAGCAAAGCAAATACCCTCATGTGTAGTGGTAGTATGAACTGCGGGCCGGTACGAGTAGCGGCGCAGTTGACAGATTTGGAGCCTCAGCAACTCGACCACATAAAACGAAGGAGATTTAAAGATAAGAATCAGGTATGCGGTGACTCCTCTATTTCGGCATGGTCGGGCAGTCAGGCTTTTGGTGAGGAGGTTGACAGCCATGGAAGAAAGGTACAACTTTGTGATATAGGTGCACAACTGCCAAGGCAGCCAAAAGCCAGTTAATGCAAAGCCGTTCTCGAATCTTACCTCTAATAAGATCTGCAATGTATCTCGCACGAATTAGGAGCACAGGCAAGGGCTTCGAGCAGGCGTAGCCAGTAGATAAAACATCTTCACTAGATATTAAGCCTGATACGCCGGTTCCATGCTGGCCGATGAGGAGATAATTGTCCTAGCACGGCTGACAGAAAAGCTCTGCCAATCTCGATACGTGTTCGAGATCAGTCAGCTAGGTATCTCGTCAGAACAGCAACGGTGAGTGTCAAGATTAGTCGCGGCAGCGGGATGCTCTCCCGAAGACGGGATATAAAATTCGGGATGACTCCTTCGTCATGCATAAGTGGGTGCCACTGTACAGAAAGGCACCAGGAACACCCGACGCCACGTGGAAACCGTTGCTCAAGGTGTCACTATACATCAAGTGTACTATGAAGGCTCAGCCGCCAACCCCTTAGGGTTGCGATTGACGGCCACCAACATGCTGCTGTGAGACACAATTGGGTATGTATGGTATGTATGTTGCATGGGCCCGCGTCGCTATCTGGCAGGGTCAAGATGAAAACTTCGATAAGCTTGTGCGGGCTACAGGGATAGCTTTCGGCAGCAGAACCGGGGTTGGCTTGACGGGTGTCGACTGGGTGTAGTGAACCAGTGAGCGCTCGGCGATAGAGCACGAGTAAACGGTGAAGGCACTTTGTTGTCGGTGTAAAAGATGCTGTGTAAGATGTTTGCCTGTATGTAAATCAAGACGGTGTGACGTCAACACGAGATAGTAGATTAATACAAATATCGAAAAGATTGCGGTCTAGTCCTTTGCTGTCTATCGCTTGCTAATGCCAGACCAGGGAGTCGCCGAAATATCCCATTTTGCTAACATGTTGGTACGTGGTGACATTGCGATGCCCACTCCCCATGGGTGTTGGGGATGGAGCGTCAGGTATCGTACCTCTGGTAAATAAATGTTGATATGTGATGGACGCGGGTCGAGCGGTGAAGGGACCCGACCCTGCGCATGTGTAAGGTATCCAATATGAACATTCCTAGGTCAAGGAAAAGTCCTTCAGGTATTATGTCAATTTCTCTCCTTTGACATGAATCGTCCAAAGACGTTGGCATTTTTAATCGATTATATTCCAAACACAGGTCGCTAGAACACATGGAACAATCCTTATATGTGATAAGGTTTTGTTAGAAGACCAGCCTACAGGGATGTGCAAGCTTTCACCCCTGCAGGCTGGGGCTACGTTTATAAAAGAACCCTTAAGTTGAATGCCACCATGCCGATCAAGCTGTGTAATTCGTGATGGTTGCATGCAAGAAAGTCGGCAGCCCTGCTCAGTGCAAAAGCTTCAACAATACCTAGGCCAGACGTGAACCCGAGGATTGCCGAGTGAGCATTACCCAGCTGCCCAGCGAGCTGGGTGGACACCAAGCTGGAGTTCAACGAATCGGCATGTTGACTTGATTGACCTGGTCGGAATATATTACCTAGTATTTCCGGGTAGCTGAGGCGGATAGGATGTCAAGGTCGGAAGAAGCATTCGGAAGAGTCAACCCTTTTGCGTAACTCAACCCTTGAAGCTTGGTGGATTAAGCGAGCGGGGCACGGTTTCGAGCAATCTGGAGGCCTCTTCTTTCTGAACAAATCTCACAGAAAGAAAGCCCAGATGTGTTGGCTGTCAGAGCTAGCTCAATTGAGGGCTGGTGGGGACGAAAGAGCCCCAGACCGTAGTGTCAGGGAGAGAGGATTCCTCGAGTAATTCTGGGGGTTGACAGAAGGGTGCATATGCGTGAACAGGACATAGGAAAGGATGCCTACCTACCTTGTGCAGCAGGCATCGTATTTGGAGAGATCCAAACAAGAGAAGAGCGGCAGCGGCAGCGGCAGCAGCTCAGCAGGCCACGCCGCTTTGTCACATTTTGTGCGGATGTGTGGAAATACCTCATAGTGTACTTCAATTGATATCGAGAATCCAGTACAAAGGGAATCGATTCGTTGAGGGGTGACTTTGGCCTCCTGTTTCCTTCAACTTGGTGGTGTTGTTGTTGTTGCTATTGCTAGCACGATTGCTCATGTTAGTAGCTGCGACGCATGCCACAAGGACAAAACGTACACCAACAGCTTATCAGTCGCTGTTTCTCGTTGGTCTCTAATGAAACTGTAAGGGATATTGGACATATTGGACGTACATATTTGATACAGATGCGTCTCAATGCCAAGCTAGCCCGGTTGTAAGGGCCCGTACAAAGAGAGGAACAACGTTACAGGACTCGTTTTGAAGCGACGCTACCTCATCTACCCTAAGGTACCTATCACTGGATCTGACTTACCTACCTACTTCATGTAAATGGGTGCCTTCCGAAGGTTTCCAAGGTTGTGTTCTTTCTAAGGATGTGGACGAAGTACCTACCTTTTCTCGAGGCAGCCACCACCGATGTGGAAGAAGCGACTTGTGACTGTAAGGTATGTAGCTCTGAGCTGGATCTTTTCTTCCCTTCCCGTATTCGAATTGGATGCAGCCAACTTTCCTACCTTACATGTACCTAGGAAGGTAGGTATTTATTCATACTCGACGGGAGCTGTGCAGAGAAAGATTTCCCGGCCCGGTGTTTGGCCTCTTTGACGATGAAGTTCTTTAGTATCTTACCTACTTACCTACAATGCATTTCCTGAATGCCGATCAGTACGCACAGCGTTGCATACGATCCTATCAGTGTCTAAAACGACAGGCCAATTCATGATAATCATGATATACTCGTATTCTTCTTCACCCAGGTACATTTGCAGGGTTCTACAACAAGCTGATGCCAATGCTGTAGGGCCAGCCAATGACCTGCCAGCTATCTTCAAGGTGGGCATGGAGCACCAAGTACATACCCTAGGGACCTAAAATCCCATGCTCAAAATGAAGCCTCGGGAGAGTGCGAAAGCACATGGCTTTATAGTCTTAATGAGAAATTAGAGGCAAAATGGAGCCGAAACGTTACCACTGACAAGAGACTATATCTGAGATTTCACACACGAACTATTGGTTTCGATGTACTGATCGCTGGCCATGTTTATGAAAATTCGATACCACGAACACGTGTCTTGGCGGGTTAACAGGATACCTTTCCTTGAAAGATTGATTCTTGACTAAGGTATGGGATGTTGCTCGAGAATCGACGATCCTACCCACCTACATATATCACCAGATATTTCTCTCTCTCTTTCCATCATTACTAACAAATGTTTCATCATTAGCGAGGTAATAATTAAGAGTCTCAAACAGAACTGCTTGCAAGTCTTGGACCAAGAAGTTTCTCAAAGGCACATTTCAACTAGCGCTGCCATCACCTCCACAATTCCGACATCCCTGTCTAGCCGGATCTCTGTCCCTGCCCATGCGCCATTTCTTGGCATTTCTGCTAAACGTTAGGTTACCTTAGTGGGGTTACCTTAGTTGGCTGGGGTCAGCACGAGGTCGAGGGCACGTATCCAACAAAATATCAAATACAAAAAGGCTTGAGCAGACCAGGCTGGCCTTCTTGTCACGTTATCGGGAGGAAAATATCACGACTCTCCATTTTTAAAGGCAGATTCATGTTACAACTGGAATATTCCATGACTGATGAATGTCACGTTGATTTCGGCTTGTGTGAGGTTCGGATAAGCCTCGAACAAGCTGGAAATCAAAACCACTCCCAGAGCTTGGTCAGCCAAACCATCCATGGCACATGTCAATAGGTACGTAGGTAGGTGGCAGTGGAGGCGGTAGCTTTCCAAGCCAGGTAGGTCGAGGACGTGATACAAACACTACCTTACCTACCGCATCCACGCCTACTTTCCGAGATCTCCTACCTAGTTTTGTCGTACAAAGCACCCTTTGACTCGCGCATATCAACGACATGGCCGTTAAAACTTCTAACCGCGGCAGGTTTTCCTTTTGCTACCAGGGTGCATTCTAGCCCAGCCATTGCTAGGTAGACAATACCCATTTTCGAATCGTGGGAAGCTTTTAGAGAGACGCAACGGCGGCCAGTCAACCCCCTGAGGGTACCCGCAGGGATGCACCGCACCACACCGCATCGACCGCTGAAGTGCATCGGCTCTGCTTTGAGCTGGTGTTATTCATTAGCGCTAACGTTGAATCTGGCGGTACGGGCACGGATAGAAATGCGGCAACTGTTCCCCAGTGCTGCTTCAAACATGCTCGAAGAATTAATGGAACGTAGGAAACCAAGCATCAGTGAGGTCTGGGTGAACCAAGCCCTAGTGCCCCTCCGCCGCCGCCTCGTTATACCACAAACAGATCAGTACCGCGCGGCTGGGGGACAAGAACTTTGTCTAGTGTCTCGCCTCTGTACATAATGCCATGCGATGCGATGCAATGCAATGTAATGCCTTGCACCGCCATGCCGAAACAGTCACCACGTCCTATCGTGTGGTTTGACCCATACTTCGCACCTCGTCTTGAGTCGTTATTGATTCTGTCGTATATTGTAGAGGACCGGATCTCTGCTTGCCGGTGCGGTGCGGCACAAGGCTCACAGATCTGCCGTCATACATTTAGATGCTCACCTCGGTATCCCTGATTGGCTCGCTGCTCTACGTCACAGCGTCTGTCTGGGTTCATGTGCGTTGGACAACATGCAATTGCAGCTGATATGATATCGAATATGAGCATGCAGTAATAGGTAGAAGCGTTCTGTCGGGGAGTAATACATGGAAGCACGTCCCCATGTTGCAGGGGTGTCTCCGCCGCAAAGCTTGGCTGTATTTTGGAGGTCCGTGGTCCTTTTTTCGGTGATAACTAGATGAAAGACAGATAGAGGTTCAATGAGAGGTAGAGAAGGGTACCCCGTACCAAAACGTACTTCATGTGTGCCCCTGTTGCATGACAGGCGGGGCTTGATGGTTCCCGGCTCGATGTACTGTGCCGTCTTGGCCCAGTTCACAAGAGACCTGATGGAGCGGGTCTTGCTGTCGTCCAGAGTGGCATCGAGCTTGAGTGAGAATTCCCTTTCTGGTACCTGGAACTCATGACGCTACATCATGACTACCTTGAGGTAGCCTACTCCCTCCGCGGAATAGCGCTGGTGGCACCTCCTTTCATGATGGATCTTTCTGGTGAGGGCCAGGGCTCACACAGACGCCCAGAAAACCCTTGACTGCTGTGGCAGATGTCGGAAATAATTGAGTGACATAGACGAGAGATGTTTGAAACAGCGGATTGGGTGATCGACCAGCAGAGCTGTCGTGTTTTAGTACGGAAACATGTCCTTCTGACCACCGCCAGTGCAGCCTCCGGCCCTCCTTGCTTAAGCAGGAGAAGCGCTTTTGTTCCTCTGCACCGGGGGGCCAATGCACTGTACCTCCGAACGTGGATTATAGGGCATGATGAAACTGACATTCAGCAAGAAACTGACTGAGGTATGAATTGGCCGATGAAGAACCTGATGTAGTCTGGAACTGGTAATATATGGGAATGCATGATCAAGGAGACCCATAACCAAAACCATATGATGCCGGCGCCGCTCCGGCTATATGGCTTCTATGTAGGAGTCTGATGTTGATGTCTACCTTAGTAGTTAGGTAGCTTCCGAATTACTGGCACTTACGAATATGCTTCTTGAGAGAGACTTGGTGATGGGCAATGCAATGCTTGATAAATGGTTAACAGCCGCTGGTCCTTGTGGCATCCAATCTTGCTCCATTTCTCCAGGAGCGAGTCCTTGTAAATGCTAGGCAAATTACAGAAAGACGGAGCTATAATTTTTTCGTTCTTACAGCGGTTCCATCCATGCTAACAAGTACCTGCCTACCTGCCTTCGGATTAACCTTTCAGGTACATGCGCCTTCATAATATACATCACACTTCGTAAAGTACTCGCCAGTACTGTCTGTCATTCAGTCACTGCATCTGGGAATTTTAATTTGGGACAGATCGTTCGAACTCTTCACTGCTCAACAAGTTAGCCTTGTTTAATAATTCCCTTCCTTCCCTTACCTTCCCTTACCTGACCTGACCTTGCCTAGGCCTAGGCCGTTGAAGAGGTAGGCTACTCAAAACCCTCACTCACTATTTCTTCTTGCCTTCCGTCGTCTTAAAAATTCCCGCTTCTCTTTTTTCCCACCATTACTTCTTTTCACCTTCCACTGCTCTTCTCTACCCTTCCTCTCTGTCTCACCCTGGCTCCTGTCCTCCTCTTTGTTCTTGTTCTGCTTTGTTTAGCAGCTACGACAAAGATTGCTCGCTCCCCTCATCTTTTGTCGTTGGTATAGCTGCACGGGCTTCAGAGCCCATCAACGCCTATAGGCGTTTGTTCTATAGCGAGCGCTGCCACTGGGAAGGGCGAGAGAGAATATTGCGTCCAACTTGCAGTGCACGAGGAGCTGGGCTGTTGAATTCGAAATTACCTCTATCCTCTCGTCATCGTGACCCAGGTTTGCTACAGGTTGCTCCGTACGAGCTCCAGTTCAGTACCTTTCTTCGCGACAAATAGTGGTCCCTAGAAGCCGACATCCTTCCGTGACCTGCATCCGCCTTGTCTTGGCGTTCGGCATCATCATCAGCCAAGAAAGAGTTCACTTACGGCTTTGAGCACCACCTCGGAGTGTCCTCTTTTTATTCGAGGTTTTTCCTTTTTGCTGTTGCTGTCTTCTTGCTACTTCTTAGCTCGATAGCTCTACCTCGGAATAAGCTCTTTGTCGGTATTGTTCGGGACTTTCAATCAATTACATCGGTCCCACCAAACAACAGAGCGGAACAGAACAGAACCCGCCACTCTTGAGGTACGGGCTTTTTAGCCACTATCACCACCTCCAATCCGATACCTACACTGCAGTACATACATTTCAGTCCAATACGTTTTGCCGCTCACCTTTTGCTTCGCCTCATCTCCACCCCCCGCCAAGATCGGTGACCCAAAGACAACTCAGATAATCCCCCACTGTCCTGTTTTTGATCACTCGTCAATCTTGTTCTGCGCTGCGCTGCGCCATTTGACCAGAAACTAAAATCTCGCGCTTCTGCGTTCGGCATTTCTGTTGTTACCTGGCTTACTGCTGTGCGCTGGCTTCGGTTGCCTGCCAACTGAACCGTTGCTTCTAGACTTATCCGTTGCGCAACAAACCCTTATTCGAGTCGTGCTCACTGACGCCCGTTTCTGGTGTCGCACCAAGTCGTCGCATATTCTACAGTCACTTTGTTTTCTCGACTCTTCGCCTTAACTACCCTCACCAATACCCGAGACAGTGACTCTTGTCTCGTATTCACTTCCAAAAATGCCCACTGCATCTGGTTCCCCAAAACCGCCCTCCGCATCGAGCTCGAAACCATCCTCGGTTAAGTCTCAGGATGGCGTCAAGAAGTCCCCTGGTCTAGCACCACAGAATGGTGCAACCACTGATAATGGAAACCCTCCCTCAGACACGCATCTCAAGCCAACAGCCTCAGTAAAGAACCGTCTCACCCGCATGTTCTCATCCAAGGATACGTCAAGAGTTCCGACTCCCGCCCCTTCGACTGTCGATTTACCTAATCGCCCGCGGGCTTCTTCCACAAACGGCACCTCTACACCCGCGGCAAAGACTTCGTCCACCGAGAAGGGTAGCGACAAGGCTTCGCACAAACCGACTGACAAGGCCACGACACCAGCCAAACCCGCTACGAAATCGACCAGTGGCAAGGAACCCTCTCAACGATTTGTTCTAAATCCGGAAGCACAAGGTGGCCATGAGCATCATCTAAAATCTAGTCGACGTCAGGAAAAGCTCTCGGATATGTGGAGAGCGATCATCGGCAAGAAACAGGATGCAGCCGCCGAGCACGATCTATCGCTCGTTTCAAATTGGGTGGATACACTACAGCAAGAAAAAGAAGAAGCTGGCGATAGAAAAGGTGGACCCAGCGCAACGACAACCCTGGTCGAGAAATACGGCAAATGCCAGGAAGTGGTCGGTCGTGGTGCTTTTGGCATTGTTCGAATCTCCCACAAGAAGATTGGTGGCAGCAATGAAAAGCTCTTTGCTGTCAAGGAGTTCCGACGCCGACCAGAGGAGACAGAGAAGAAGTATAGCAAGCGACTCACAGCCGAATTCTGCATATCGTCCTCGCTTCGACATCCCAACGTTATTCACACACTCGATTTGCTTAAGGATGCCAAGGGCGACTACTGCGAAGTCATGGAATTCTGCGCTGGAGGAGATTTGTACACTCTCGTTCTCTCAAGTGGGAAGCTCGAGGTACAAGAAGCCGACTGTTTCTTCAAGCAGATGATGCGAGGTGTCGAATATCTTCATGAGATGGGTGTAGCGCACCGTGATCTGAAGCCAGAAAACTTGCTCCTGACGACCCGTGGCGCCCTCAAAATTACGGATTTTGGCAACGGAGAGTGTTTCCGAATGGCTTGGGAGACGGACGCGCATATGGTATCTGGCCTGTGTGGTTCTGCTCCCTACATTGCCCCCGAGGAATACACGGATAAGGAGTTCGACGCCAGAGCTGTAGATGTGTGGGCTTGCGGTGTCATCTTTATGGCAATGCGGACAGGGCGACACCTTTGGCGACTGGCCAAGAAGGATGATGATGAGTTCTACGCCCGTTATTTAGAGGGTCGCCGTGATGAGGAGGGCTACGGCCCCATCGAATCTCTTCATCGGGTAAGTCCGTTCAATGTGATAAGGGCCCAAGGTACTGTGCATCCCGTGCTAACTCTGTACAAGGCGCGATGCCGCAATGTCATCTACTCGGTTCTCGACCCCCACCCGACTCGACGCTTGACGGCCGCTCAGGTCCTTAAGTCAGAATGGGTACGTGAGATCAAGCTATGCAAGGCTGGTGAAGAGGGTCTATGATGATGGTGATGGTGAGGGTGATGGTCAATTTGGGGACCTCTGAACTCGAGCGATTCAAACTCGATGAGTAATCGACTCGAGTTGGGCCTCCGGTAACGGTCCAACCACGAAAGGGACTTCTAGAAGGATGACCAATATCGGGAGGCGGAAATAGCGGGTTGGCGTTGATGGCTGCGTTTGGCGAAGCAAGCCATGTCAAGCCACTGATGATTCGACAACCCATCGTTTGGACTATTTCTTTTGTTATTTTAATCGAGCAATGGTGTTGGGCGCATTGTAAACAGAAACATCGTCTTTTTTTATATCATTTTCAAGCGTATCATGTCCTGGCAGGGTGGCGGTTCCTTGCATTTATGAGAAAGGACAGCAGGGCTTGCTTATTGCCCAGGGGTCGGGTCGATGGAATGGGGAGGCTCAGTCTATTTACCCTTCAAGACCATTTTTGTGTTACAGGAGGCTGCATCTTCAAGACACAGCGCGCCATGGTAAAGATAAGGCAGGGCAGGACGGTGCCGGGCAAACACGAATGGGTATGAATCATGGGAAGAGAGAGGCCTTTGGTAGGCCAAGAGGTCTAAAGCCGAGCAGACAGGAAGTTCAGTTCCAAAGACATCTGGTTTTGGATTTGTCTGTCCCCAGAGGCCAAGAAGAAAAGAGGCGTAGATGATATACTCCTGTCGTTGACGCCCAAGAAATATCAAGCAAAGCAGAATAGACAAGAGGTTGTTCTCATGTCAGCACAAAGATGCCAAGAGCACATATCCAAGATTTTTTGTCTGTTGGTTCAATTACTGGCGTCACACATCGTTGGGAGAGCTTCAGTCCCTGTGACTAGATTGTGATGAGAGTGGCAGGTTTCCGCCTCTCAAAGCATCCTCAGATTTCAGCACAGTCCTGACTATCGGCACAAGTAGCCGGTGACATGATTCGTCATGAACTATTCAGATCTGTCTGTTCTGACTATACCCACAAGTGTTGATATCGTGAATCGGATAGCCTATCCGGTGTAATTCGCGGGGGACGTTGCGGGAGCATGTTCCGAGTCTTGGTACAAACCCCCCAAACCCAATTACCGTCATATTGTCGCTCAGCAGTGACACAGCATGGTAACCAAATGTAATACCTAGCTCACAATGTAACTGATAATGCTGGCTGTACCTCAGATGGGCAGTCAAAGGCCCAGGCTCGGGACATGATAAATACCTATATATCACCCCATCATCAACCCGTACTGAGTTCAAGCTCATCATCCTCACACTTTGCTTATACATACACTCTCTCATAAACATAGACGATGGAACAATACGACGTCGCCGTAGTTGGTCTCGGTGCCCTTGGCAGCGCCGCAGCTTATCAAGCTTCCATCAAAGGCGCCAAAGTTGTTGGCTTCGAGCAATTCGAACTGGGCCACGTTCGCGGCGCTTCGCACGATACTTCACGTATTGTCAGAACCTCATATGGGGCTCCTGAGTTCGTCGCCCTCGCTCGGTCAGCTTATAAAGACTGGGCGGAGCTGGAGAGGCGGTCGGGAATGAAGATGCTGACTATCACGGGAGGTGTCGTCTTTCTCCCACAGAAGGGGCCAACGCCATCGAGTGACTTTACTACTAGTCTCGATGCCAACGGCGTCCTCTATGAGGTTCTCACGCCCGAGGAGACCAACAAAAGATGGCCTGGGTTCAATGTTCCTCAGGGCGTTGATACCGTCTTCACCCCTGATTCGGGCATTGTTCACGCCGCAAAGGCCGTCATGACGCTCCAGTTCCAGGCTCGCTTCAACGGCGCCGTCCTCAAGGAGAACACACGCGTCGAGGCTGTGACGCCCCAACCCAGCGGCGGCGTAACGATTGAGACTTCTCAAGGTGTCTATCACGCTCGCAAGGTCATCATTGCTGCTGATGCATGGACGAACAAGCTCCTCAAGCCACTCGGCGTTGAGCTCCCCATCACCGTCATGCAGGAGCAGGTAACCTACTTCAAGCCCTCTCGCGAGCACGAAGCACAGTTTGCAAACGACAAGTTCCCCGTTTGGATCTGGGGAGGTGAGAAGTGGTTCTATGGCTTTCCTCTCTACGGCGAACCCGCGCTCAAGGCTGGTCAAGACGCTGGAAGAAACGACATGAATCCTGAAGAGCGTACATGGCGGCCCTCGGAGAGATTGAGCAACGAGCTCAACGGATTTCTGGATAGGCTTATTCCCAAGCGAGGCGATGAGTTGAGAACCGTCACCTGCCAATACACAATCACGCCTGATCGACAGTTTATCATCAGCGAGTTAGAGAAGCACAAGGATGTTATTCTCGCTCTCGGTAACGCACATGCCTTCAAGTTTGCTCCCGCTATCGGTCGAGTTACTGCTGAGCTTGCATTGGATGGGAAGACGACTGATGATATCTCAAAGTTTGGGTTTCCCAAGGCAACACCCAGCAAACTGTAGTCCTTGATGGGGCGGATATAACCAAGGAAATGAATAGAAGAAGAGGGCTTCTTTGTAGAGGTTCTACGTCTATTCAATATACATATTATTTGCGTGTTGTATATTCGGACCACTCCTGATATATAGGAACATAGTTTTGTAACCAGATTGCCTGTGTTTCAAGGAATGGATTATTTATGTCACAAAGGAAACTACAGAGACTTGTGAGCCAAGTATCGCCTTAACAGTTATGTCAATCCTATTTGAAACTTCACCCTATTTCCAAATCCGTACACCACGCGAGGTCTACAAAAACCGTCGCCAATAATAGATCCAAGCAAATCCGGGCCAATTCCTGGCCAAAAACGACATAAGTATGCAAGAAGAAAAAGATAATCACCCCCCTTCGTCTTGCTCATACCCGGGTTCTGGCAGCCCACCAGACCAAGCGATTTCCAATAACCAAATAAAAGACGAGAATAAAAAAATAAAATAGAGAGCCACAGCCGGATGTCTGTCTTGTCCCAGTCCCGATGTTGCGAAGCATCCGTTGCAATTACATCAAGAATAGTAGAGTCCCTGATCAACAACCACTACACCCCAGTCAATCGACAAGTGGATGGTGCTTTGAATCGAGGAGTAGATTGTTGGTGTGTAAGATTGTTGCCTCCAAACATTCGGAATATTGACGGACAGTATTCATAGCGTCGTCAAGATGAAAAACATTATGTCCACCCAGTGAACCTCCAATTCCGTGAACCACCGAATCATCCAACCTTTTAAAGCCGATCTGGACGTATGCCACACAGTAAGATGGTTGAAGTAATAAACAGAAATAACGCCTTGATTGTTAGGCTAAGAATATGACCAAAGCGAGCTGGTCGTTGTAGTAAAGATTATTGTTGATTCTTGTCTTTGAGGTTTCACGAGTGAAATAGATCCCACGCGCGTTCGCATAATCGGATGAACTCTTCCTTCTTGGCTCGCTGAGTTTCTGGGCTATCCCGTCCGGCACCAAAGGGCCCACGACGAGTGGGAGCAGGTCCATGGCCCAGGGGTGGGCTGCCATCCTCATATTCAGCGCGTGTCCTTCGCCTGCTGGTGCTAGCGCTTCGTGAAGCATCCACAGGTCGACTGCCGGGAGCTGGGGAAGGGGGTGTCGGGGGCTGGTGTCCACCATAGTGAACAAGCTTAGGGAGGAGTTCGGGTCGCCCACCAGCAAGCTCCTGTTGCGCTTCCTCAGCAGATCTGTACTCACGACCTCGTCCAGGCGTAGGGGCCTGTGGAGGTGGAGGGTGGCCAGGGGATGTCATCGGTCCACGAGAGCTGGGACCACTAGGGTAGAGAGACTGAGGCTGAGGAGCATTGTCGGGATGCGCTGACAGGCCTTGGCCAAATACATCGCTGATAGGCGGTAATCGGTTGGCCGTTTGGGTAGCAGGAATGTGGTGGATATGAGAAGTACTCGAAAGGTTGGAAGGCTGGTTGGTGATGTGACGGGTCATGGGAGCAGGATGTTGACGTCCTGTAAAGCTGTGGCCAAGAGGCGCAGACTGGATAACTCTCTCGTTGGCAAATTGCTCATGAGAGGGCGCAACGATGGAGAGGCCAGGGGCCTTATTTCTTCTCGACATGCCGGGTGTCTTGGCGGCGAACTGTGACACGGGATCTTTATCGGGACCGTCTCCCTTGGCAGACTGCTGGTGAAGTCTAGCTTCGATGATGTGTCGTTGTTGTTCTCGGACTGACATGCTTCGCTGCAGCTGCTCCTTCATAACAGGGTCTTGGGTGACAAAGCCAGGAGACAGGCAGGCGATACCAACTTCTTGGATAGCAAGGCCGTCACGGGCTGTCATGGGCCGTGCCGAAGTTGGTTGGTTAGATTTGGGTGTATTCTTGGACAGGTCAAGTTTGCGTGGTCGAGGTCGCGTATGGGTCATGCTGGGAGAGGCAGGCTCCTTCTTGACGATAATTCTAGGGGGCGCGCCGGCTGATCGTGAACTGCAAGGGCAGGTCAGTAAGGGAGTGATCAATTGATGGCGACGACTTGGTCAATTGATTGAAAATGTACTTACGCGCTGGAGGGTGATGATTTGGCACCCTGGCCCGCAGCTTTAGGGCTGCTGCTGGTGGAAGATTGGGTTGTCGCATGCGATGTCGAAAGGTTGAGAGAAGACCGTTGTGCAGACGGGGAAGTTCCAACGGTGGCAGCCGAAGTAGAGGGAGCGGGTAGTTCGGGGTTGGAGAACCTTTCGTGAGGAGCGGGAGAGGGAGCCATTGCAATTGCAGCACTCATAATGAAAAGAGTGCGAGTGCAGGGTTGTGGGAAATGGCGACAGGTGGTTCGTGTTGTAAGGAGACAAGAGCGGGAACGGGAGAGCTGCAAGGAGAAGCAGGAGGGAATAGGCAAGGCCAGTCAGCGAGCCAGAGTGAGCCGAGTACCTGGGTTTTTCTGGGTCTAGGTTCTCGCGAGTTAGAGGTTTCCTTTCTTGTATTGACTAGCGAGTACAGCAGAGACAGCAAAACGGATCGAAACGAATCGGTCGGAGACGACCGTAAATGTGAAGTGAGACAGGAATGGAAACGATCGTGAACGTGGCCGACTCGAGTCAGCACACGATTCGATTCGACTTTGGGTGAGTCTTGTCGCAGGAGTGACGGACAAGAAGGACAAGAAGAGCCAGAAGAACGTTCAGAACTAGAACCAGAACCAGAACCACACAAAGGGAGGCTGGGCTGGGCTGGGCTGGGGCTGAGATGGGCTGGGCTGGGGCTGAGATGGGCTGGAAGGAATAATAATATCGATAGCTCAGCTCAGGCGACAGAGACCAGATATAGAAGCTGGTTGGTCCGTTGGTGGTGGATGGTTCGACGACGGCTCGCTCTTCTTTTTTGCCCTGCGCGCTCTGACTTGGGTCCAAGCTCAAAGCGGGCGGTTCAGCTCTGTGCGAGATGTGACAGAGCAGAGCAAGCAGCAAATGAAGCAAGATCCAATCTGCTTTCCCTTGTTCTGCATGCAAGATGGGAGGTAGAGAGAGGGGGGGGGATTCAGAAGGGAACAAGGGGAAAAAATGAAGATGACGAACCGAGAAGGATAGAAGAAGAGATAACCCGGTTGTTATTTCCTCTCCTCGTTGCAGTTGCGAGTAAATGATTAATCGAAGGAGGGAAAAGCCAGGGGCGTCAGAGTGGCCTCGGTCGATCGACTGGCGACTTGTTTTATCAAATTCGGTACGGGGTGGGTTGGGTTGGGATGTTGGCTCCAGCCCGGCAGGCCCGTGTTTCGCGTGGTTTCGCTCAACTCAGTTGGTTTTAGTTGGTTCCCGAATTCAGTTGGTCGTTGTAGTAGGTCGTCGTAGCGGGAAACGACCACCTGCACAGAATTGCTTTTTCCGTCAATTGGAGATGCAGTAGCGCGACCTCTTGGCGACTGTCCTTCTGGAGGGACGTCCCTGATAACTGTGCCAATCTGTTACAGCGAGAGAAACCCAGATCCAGATCCAAATACAAATCGACAAAGATCCTCTCTTGTCGATATAGGCTGACTGTGTGATTAGGCCTGTAAGTACTGACGGTGCAGGCAGTTCAAGCGGCTAGCCAACAACGTAAATATGCAAGACCGTGGGCCAGACGCAATGGATCAGCGAATGAAGAGATTCTCACAGCCGACTGTAAATGTGACGAGGGAGAGGCGTTGGTGCCGGCGGTAGCAATAGTACAGGAGTGGCAGCGAGCAATCACAGATAGTCGCAGTCCCGGTTGCACGTATCAATCAAAGTCAAGCTCTCGGAGATGGAGGTGGGAGAAGGACGCAATGTCGAAGGAAGGAGCCGAAATCTCTCGACAACAGCGAAGAAGGAATAACAGCAAAGGTTCACCAGATCGTCAATGAGGGGTCAGTTGGGGACCTGGCGATGTTTTATTTGGTGCCATGTATTTTATGAAGGGGGATACGGAGAAAAGTGACACAAAGCACGACGCCTGGTTCGTATCTTGAAGCAATGGATCCAACCCGGCGAGACGAGCCAAGGGACAAGGATGCGATCGAAAGAATAGAAAATGACTGGGGTGCGCCTGGTTGGCTACATGTCTTGAGTCTGTCGAGGGGGGTGAGACTATCCAGCACCAATCCAAAGCCTGAGAAAGGATGAACTACCAGCTTGCCTACGCATTTATTAAACGTAACAGAGAGCGGTGCAAAGGCCCCTATTCCAGAGCTACCTATCTTGTCGGTTCGTAGAGATCGAATCATACCGACCAACAAGACAAGAATAAGACAATGGTAGCTATCCGAGGCCTACATACCTAGATAGAACTGGCAAATTGACAGGCCGACAAACGTCCTCAAGGAAACAGCACACGAGGCATGGCGAACCAGGGTCCGGGGTGGTCCTCACCTGAATCCTGCTGCTGGATGCACGCGACCCAAGCCAACCGTCGGCCACTCGTTGTTGACCTCGTTGACATAAATTTTGCTCCCACCGTTGCTGGCGGTTTGATATTGATAATACTAGCAAACCCTTCGACGTGGCCCCAGTTGCTGCTGCTTGGTCGCAGATCCCTGTTCGAATTGTCGGCCATGAACCTCATATGCGCACGAGTTGTGTGTAATTGTTATATTGGCCGTGATGTGCTGCTGTGATTTTCCATTCAACCAGCATGTGATGTCCTTTGGCTCCAATGTACCGAGCATGATGGAGTATCTGGCTCCATCATGTGTCGTTCCTTATTTCCACTCGTTGATCCCAAATTCGTTTGACTGACGACTGACTAATACTCCATTCAGACGCTCTCTCTCTCTCCCTCTCTCTCTTTTTTTTTTTTTTTTTTTTTTTTTTTTTTTTTTTTTTTTTTTTTTTTTGGTCTATACAGCTTCGCCTGACCCCTGGGTTGAAGATTAAAATCGACTTGACCGCTCCTCAGCCTTGATATACATCTTGTGTCGATCTCGGACACTCAGATAAGCACTTGGCTGTTGAGAAGCAGTGTGTTGGGTTTATAACGCAGGTCTCAGATCACTAATGAGGACAAATTCGCTGTGAGCCGTGCCATCACCTGTCGTACCGTGTTTCCGGTGGCAGCTTCATGGTCTTACTGGGACGGGGGAAGTGGTGTGGAAGGACCTCCAGGGATATCTAGAATCTGAAAACCATTCCATCTCATTCCTGTAACAGCCAGTATCAGCGCCTTGTTCAGAAGGCTTTATTGATGCTCGCCGCTAGTTAACCCCATGGCGCTGGTACGCTAGCGGTCTCAAGGCCGCTGGTTGGTGGTTCGGGATGGGCCAGAGCCGGTCATCTGAAGAACGATGCAACTTGTTTCGTCAGCGGTCCACGAGGAAGTTTAGTTTTAATGTCCATGGAAAGAAAGATTGACAGACCATCAAATAGTGGCCAATGATAGCTTGCCCTTTACCTGTCATCAGCAAACCAAGGCCACTAAAGGAGTATGAAAAAGGGGGGTTCATTGGACGATTCGACATTGTTGCTGATGAGAGGTTTTGACGATTCTCGTTTACTGGCAAGTGATAGGTGAGAATACCTGGTACCTATCGCAGCTACGAACTCTCATCCCATCTAGGTTTGTATGTACCTTTACCTTTCGGCAAGCTCAACTCAACCTCACCTACCCACGGAAGTCAAAAATGCCATGCATGTACCGTAGGCAGGTGAGATCGGGGGCCTTCCTCAATGGGGCTCGGGTACATGGGTCGCCCTTGCCAAAGTTCGATTTATCCCATGGCTAGGAGAAGGCATTCCGAGGCAAAACCAACATCCTCATATCAAAGAAATCTTGGAGTGCCATGACTGCCTCGTGGCCATTGACATCGACCCTGGCTCTTTACTGGGTACTTCACCAAAAACACCTGGCACCTTATTAATCTTCGGTGCATCCCCCAAAGAACCCACTTTCAATGATACGTCCTGTCGTCTCCCCACCATCTCAACTTGCGCACTCTCTCTCACACGCTGAAACTTGCCCCTCACTCGCCCCGGAACCCCCAAACAACCTTAGGGCCCTGACGATCCTTTGATGGATATTGTACACCTGGATAATACAGCAAACCTCCATACCAGCTGCTATGCTAGGAACCACAAGGGCTTCTGGACAAGTTGATAGGAGAATGCCATCACTGCGAGGATGTTTGGCTGTTGATATCAATGGGGTCATGGAGAGAGGTTTGGAAACAAAGGAGTGTCCATTCGTCTTTATATGTTCTTGCAATTGTTTCGGACCGTCGTTTACAGTTGAGCCCCCCCTCCCCTCCTTTGAGCCCCCGCTTACCGTGCACCAGAAGGCAATAGTTTCGCTTTTATAAGTCAGAATAACAAGAGGAAGTTTGTGAATGATGGGCTGATGAAAGGTACAGTGATTATCTCCAACTGTCTCAGTGTGTAACAAATAGTCTTGCTGCTTCAGCACGTTCTTTCGAAATATCATGATCTTCATTATTTACACTCCCTGTTGCGATTTTCTGAAATGATCTGCATACGTTCTGATGTCCATCAATCATGTCTGAGAAAAAAGTCACCACTTACACACTAACAAAACTGACAATCTTTTCCTCCAAGGCTGAGAAACTCGACTGGAACCCTTCGTTGTCAAAGAATTGTGACTGCAGAAATCAATCTGGCATGATCGATACCACAACTGGACTTAAGTATTTTTGGGAAAAGTTCAATTTCGTAACACAACATCCAATATCTGACCCCCGCCATATCACGTTGGTGTAAACATTCAAGAGTCTCACTTGCATCGACAGCGCTCCATTTCCGCCTTTATGACGACGATCCTTGTACGTATTATGCCCCTGTCTCTGATCGGTCCTCTCGTCTTGATCCTGGCCAACCACTTGTGACAGACTCATCATTTTTATCGGCATCAATAGTCCACATTCATTTGATCTCCCTCACGCATGTGAATGAAGAAAGAAACTCTTCACAATAGAGTTGGTTCACAATGGGACCTAAGGCTAACGACTCATGGTACTTGGATAGGTAGCAAGAGTCCGATACAGGAAAAAAAAAAAAAAAAAGGTCAACGCCATGACCCTTGCCAGATGGAAAAAAAGAAAAGGCGCCGCACATCTCCCGCCGCCAACGCCTCAGGTGGCTTTTGGTTGTTTTAGCCAGAAAGTAGCTAGCCACGAAGGCTTTTAACCCATCCTCTAGAATGCCTTGTAAAGGACTTATTAATCAGGTTTTTCTCCCTTCCTACTCTCGCTTCTGCCTCGCCTTCAGCATCCGTTTCTGTTTCTCAGGGCTATGCCCGCTGGAACTCTGGGCAATTGCAATTGCAACTCTCATTCAGCAGCGGCTGTGTTGGGACTGTGGTGTCGTCGTTCGTTCGTCGAACCTCATCTCACCTGAGACGTTGTCTCAGGTTAGCAGCTTTGTGGAGGGTTTCCTCCACCTGCGCTGACACCACACACCTCACGCTACTGCAACGCAACGCCGCACAAATGCCCAATTCGTTCTGCAGCCACCCTCTTCTGGGCGCCGTCGTTTGCACATGTTTCGAATTGTCCATGGAATGGCCTTTGATTGGTTCATCACTATTACCCTCAAACATGACCAGAGCTAATCCGTGTCAATACCTTATGTGGTTTAGCCATCATCTCAACTTATCCCTCCACTATACGGAGTACGTACTTGTCATCTTCTGCCATCCATCCACTGGGCAGTCTTGCTTATGTCAGGCGGCTGAAGGGCTGTATGGTTCTCTCGTGAGGTTCTTTCGACAACCAGGCGAGGTCGTACCTAATATGGACCTCAGAGAATGACCAGGAGTTGCTATTTAAAACATTGATGTTTGCACTATATTACGAGTTGCAAGCGATATACTGGGGGGTCCTTGAAGCTCGCCGAAACAAACTGCCACTACCACAACGTTCTATGAGTTGGAACTATGCTCCGTATGCGGTGGGTATTACTTCTATGCGAGCACGGACGATGTCAACTTGGGTTTGACTACCGATGTAACGCAGATGATGCTGTTACGATGTGAGTTACGGTGAAAAGGCTGTGCCTGCGCCCTTGCATATATAAGTGTATTGTAAGTCGCGTAACTTCATGCGCTCTCGCTCTGAAGCGGTGCTCGATCGAAGGTGCTGACTTCCACCATACCGCTCTAATAGTGTTGGTGAACGAGCATACGTAGTAGGCGACATCAGCCCTTTATTCAGTCCTCCCGACCTAATCAGGGCGGCCTATATTTAGCACGTCTACCTTTTGGTAATCTCATGTTGGTCGCACTACTTTGATGATGTCTAGTAGATGAGGCTTGTGTGTAGCGTAGGATTGATGCACGATATCATAGTCTACGTATACTATGAATGACATCGGCAGGTTACATTTATATCACTTAGTAGACTGTATGCATACTTCCGAACTATGAACTTGCCACCGTCGACTGGTCGCTAGGACGGGACATCAGGAAAATATTGTTCGACGTACACTTGACCGCATAGATACTGGTTTACAGACAAGAAACACCCCGAATATACCACAAGGACCCCCATTCCCTTTCCCAGCGATTTCGCATGACATGTAATAACTTTATGGACAATATGCTGCTGTGATGACAATGCGATCGGAGTTACCCATGATGTAGGGTAGGCAGGTTAGAACGACATTAATCTAACAGAAGCACCTTAGCTAGATATGCAATGCAGTCATGATAAGATTAGTGCTTGGTGTTATGCTATCAGATTAGCAACAATGGACAGGAATGGGGATCATCCAACAATCACCCAACTTGCTCGCTATGTTAAGATTCGGCGGACGATGAAACCCGTGGCCATGACATCTAGACTACAAATCGATCAGAGCGCAAACTGAGTAGAGTATTCAATGCGTAAATCGCATTTTATATACTAACTAGTTCCAAGGAAGTATTGGCGAATCCTATACGATCCTATCTTACCTTAGTGGTTTATAGAGACCAGCCTGGAAAAGGTCAAGAAAGGTCATGCCAAGTCGAATACAGATCAGCAGCGGCTTAATTGTTCTGACTTGACACCTTATAAATTATGGATAAGACATAAACAAGCCTAGACTCCATACTATATGCAGTACACTTTGCAAGAGACTCATGTTCCTATCGAGTTATGCGAGATAGAACACGATGAATAAGTGAGCAGAACAAACTTAAACCGAGCCAATCAGGAGACAAGACTATTTTCTAAATCGAGATGCCCCACGTTGCGCCACATCTCAGCCTCACCAAAAATTTCCAAGAAACAATTCTCAGTGAAAGAGACGGCTTGATATCTCCTTTAGTCACGGCAGATCCATACTTTCAGACCCGGGCGCAAAAGGAATCAGAGTCAGAAAAGGGCTTTCCACCGTTTACAATTTTACTTCTTACAAGCGACAAAATGCCTGCGCGAACTAAGAAGGAAGAGCAGCCACAGGTTGAGGATACCAACATGGAAGACGCCCCAGTCTCCGCGCAGCCTGCGGTGAATGACGAGGCTGTCGAGGATGAGGAAGAAGAGGAGGAAACTGAGCCCCAGAGAGTCCGAATCGTAAGCACAAAAAGAGTGGTGACACAACGTGATATTGACTGACACATCACTAGCTTCCTGGCTCAACAGACACTGCTGCCTCCTTTGAGTTCACTGATGAAGGCCATACACTCGGAAACGCGTTGAGATATATCATCATGAAAAAGTTTGTATTCCTAGCATGTCCTACGAAGCCCAACTAACACATGACAGCCCCGATGTTGAGTTCTGCGCTTACTCTATCCCCCATCCCTCAGAGCCCAAGATGAACATTCGCATTCAGACCTACAGTACGTACACGCAATGCCTCACGGGGTTGTACTTATTAACAAGTATTCAGGTGGAACTGCAGTTGACGCTCTCAAGAAGGGGTTGGTCGACATTCAAGAAGTATGTGATGTAGTCGCCGATGAGTTCTGGACCAAGAGGGAGGCCTACAACGCAGAGCAGGGGATTGACCGATGAGCCCAAAATCATGTGCTCAGGACTTAAAAGTGTTTGCATTCACATGGATCATGATGGAAATAGAGGCGTTTTGAGGAATCCCTTTCAATGAGATATATACACAACCCCTTGTTGCTAGTTGCGACCCTATGCACCCTGTTAGCCTCATCCTCAACAGAGCGCCATGTAGTTCGATGCTCACCTCGAGGAAGCCAGTCATAAAGCTGGATGGTAGTCGCTTGTCACCTCGGAAGTTCTCCTCCTTGAAGTAGGCCATGATGTGATTGGTCTGCTTCCAGAAGTTCATTGTCTCCTGTGTTCATGAGGTCAGCATAAAACCCCCCTGTACATCAATTCATTCCAGCTGTGGAGTTCGAGCGCACCTGGTACTCGGCGTGGGACTTGAAGAGAAGAACGTCTACAACAGAGAGCTTGTTCACAAATCGTTGTCGTTCGAATTCTTGCCGCATACGGGTTCGGATGGCGGAGACGGGCATGGGCATGTTGTACATGGTTTGGACTTCGGGGGCCTATATCTGGTTGATCAGCAGGTGATCGGTCGCAAATCCACTAGCCAAGCTTCGTCGAAAGCCACATGAAGATTAGGAATATCGTGATCCAAGAGAATGTGTCTTGGGTTTTGCAAAACATACAGCTCGAATCCATTCTCGGTAGGAGGAGAGCACTCGTCGCTTGGCATCAGACCAATTGGCCGCTGTTCAGGGCATCAGTAAGGTTTAAAAAAGCAGTTCAATACACCGAGACTCACACTGCGCCGTCTTCTTAGCAAACTGGGTCGGCGTAATGGCCATGGTGGGCAATCAATGCTCTCTTGACGTTGGAAACCAATCTGCTCTGACGTTTCCCAGATTCCCGAAGCCGACGGGAGATGCACGAAAGCACCGTGGTGATACGGTCACGTGAGGACACGCCACACGCCAATGCACCGCCACGAAGCCTATCTTCCACTCATAGGTCTGCTTTTCGTCAGCGGCAAGCACAACGGAGGAAGATGCCTGAAGCCGAAGTACACGGGAAACAAAGCATCAGGAAGTCTGAGGTTGTCCAATAACCTCATAAGGACCTGTTTTGCATTGATGTTTTTTATTGATAAGCGATTATTGGGGAGAGAACCAAAAGAGCCATTAAAGCCGTGTTCCAGTTCGTCGTTGCCTAGGTACCTATTGTGTCCCATAGGCTCTCTAACAACTAAGTATGGCCGACGGCCCGGAAAAAGATTAGCCCAGTAAGACATCTGGAATCTCGTTCATAATTTATAACTGTTATGGGAAGATTTTGAAAGAAGGAGGAATAAGAGCTCTTGTATTATTTTAAGTACCTAAATACGTGTAATTTGCCCTTCATCTCTTCTTTCGGGAGTTTGCTGGTGTTTCTCTTACTGGGTCGGACAGCAGTCGCCTCCACTATCGATTAGGCGCTGGAGGCTAAGTCAGTTTCAGTAGCTAGCAACTTTCTAACGTCATTTCTCGTTGCGACAGGAACACAACCTCAGAAAGAATAACAACAAATTCAGCAAGCCAACGCATAACCCAAGATGCCCGCTATTCGACACTCGTCCAAACGAAAACCCCCGCCTGATGGCTTTGAGGACATTGAGAATGACTTGCTCATCTTCTCCAACAAGATGAAGGATGCCCAGAACAAGCCGCCGCCATCAGGTCCTAGGCACCAAGCGCAGTGGGAAATCTTCCAGATCTCGCATCAACGCAGCCGATACGTATATGAGTTATACTACGAGAAGGAGGCGATTAGCAAGAAGCTGTACGATTGGTTGCTGAAAAACGGCTACGCGGACGCGATGTTGATTGCGAAGTGGAAGAAACAAGGATATGAAAAGGTTAGTGTCCCACCCGCCGTTTGTCTTATGAGGCATACATGCTGACCCTGCCTAGCTATGCTGTCTGCGCTGCATCCAGACAAAGGAGACAAATTTCAACAGCACATGCATCTGCCGTGTTCCACGGGCGGAGATTAAGGGTGACGAAGACATTGAGTGCGTCAGCTGCGGTTGCAGAGGCTGCGCATCAAGCGACTAGACACGACAAGCGCGAATATGAAGGCGACCTAGATGGAGGAAACACCTGCAAGTTCAAAGGAAGAGACGGCGTTGGGCGTATAAATAATTCATCAATACGCATCGATAACGATTCGAGGCAAAAGCGATACATATCGACGCGATGAGGTAGAAAATCCTTTCATTGGCCGCATCATGTGTTTACCAAAAGTGTGCTGATACTCCTACCCAGTCTGAAACTTCATATTTACTTCATCTTTTGGAAAAGCCAGCTCTTCCACGTCCAAACCGGACACTCGGTGGGACAAAGGATAGTGACGACATGGCACCTGTAAGATCTGCCATCTCTGTGTCCGCTGGCTTGTCCTTTTCCTGCTTGTTTTCCACGTTCTTCACCGCTGGTGACTTTGGTGACTCTTTTGATTTGACCTCCGGCTGTGAAGAGACATTCTCGCCCTCCATGAGACTAGCGCGACGTCGAGAGTTCTTGATAGCTTGCGAGTTGGTCGATGACCGGCGGCGATGATGACTGCCATCATTTAGCAGGGACCGCCTACCGTCAATACCGTCTCTGGTGACGGCGAAGAAGAAGTTCTTTGGATACATGTGCTTGTCGATGAGATGCATACGCCTCTTCTGATGTGTCATGCACTTACGCTCACATCCCTCGACAAAGCACGAGTACTGGAGCGCAAGGGTCAGTTGCAGACTCGTAGCGGTCGATGGAAAGCCAGGTTATGGGACTTACAGTATGCTCGCCTTGTTCCCGCTTTACAGTTACTAAAGGGTCGTGGTATTCTTCAATGTGGACGTTGAGCAGATGTTCGCTTGGGAAGTTCTTGTGGCATTCAAGACACCTGTTAGTATGAGACTTGTTGTAATGGACCTCGTATTCGTCGTAGGACCTGAAGGCCAGAGGCTCTCTGTGCGGAGGCAAGTTGCATCTCATGGCTATGGTATCCTCTTCGTCGTCGATGGCGAATTCAAGCTGAGTCACTTTTGACACTGGACGTAGGGACGGTCCCGGGTTCGTCTGTTCAGAATCGGAATCTAACTCTTCTTCGAGCTCTCGTGAGCGCTTCATCCTTTGTTGTGAGCTTGATTGGAAAGGTAGAATTACTTGAGAGCAATGTCCAGAGGATGCAAAGCGGTGAGTACAGGGTAGTGAGTCTTTAAGGAGCTGTTATAGATTGTTGAGACGAACTGGCAAAGTGCCTATACTCTCGCTGGGCGTAGGGCAAGTCAACGTGTCAGGTATATAGGTAAACATGGATGGATTTCATATGATGGGACTGCCAGACGTCGTGGTATATCCTAAAGGTCCTATATTGGAGGTGAGTAGTAGCTCATCCAGTGATATATGGTGGGGTCTACCCTGTCAGGCGCTAGACCAGTTGGTGAACTGGCTGGATGAGGGGCAGCTTTTGCAGCCCCAGTCATGGATGGATGGACTACTAGGCCCTGACAATCCAGTTGGGAGCCGGTACTGGGAGCACGGGCCTTTCTTGAGTTTGTAGTAAATTCTATTGAATCATCATGAACACAAGCAGACAAGCTAGACAGGCTACACTGGCCAACATCTTGCCTTGTATACCCAGAAAGTAACATTGATATTTATTGATTCCTAATGATAAATGCCTTTGACTATAAGACTTGGAGGTCTGATATTGAGATTTAAGTGCCTAGACTTATGAAGATACTTCGAGCCATGTACTAAGATATTGATTGGAACAACCTGCGGACCGTACTCTCGTGTCTGATAATTATGCGTTCACCTTCAAGCTTGAGTTGGGAACGATGTCATACTACTAAGCTACTAACTAAGGTATCTGAGGTAGGTATGGATGTATTTCCAGGGTCCAAATGTCCCCCAGCGAGTAAAAGGTGAGGTTAGTAGGCACTCGTCGCAAGGCAATCATGGATCCAATCCGAAGTGAACCCACAGGGCAGTAAGACTCAGCACCACCACTGACTGGGCTTAAAATCTTGTGCCTTGGAAAGACCGCTGAGCCTGACCTGACCTGACCTGACCTGGCCTGAACCTTGAGGGGTTCGGTTCATTCAACCTTTCATCACTCTGAGGTGTCACAGTGATACTTTTCTCCCTTCTCTTTCAACTTACGTTCACCAAAGTCACGCTTGGCTCTACAGCGCAATTAACAATAGACCTGCAGTATAACTCGGGTCGATTATTATTGCGCGTGTTTACTTTGCCTTGCTTTGCCTTATTTTACTTTGCCGTATACTTCACTTTACCCTTCTCTTCTACTTAACCCGCCCCTCCCTCCATCTCTTCACCAATGTGTGTCTTCTCGGCCAACGATTCCATTTTCGCGAACCGAGTCTGGTGCCAGTGCCAAACCTCAATCTCAACCCAACGACCCGATCTGCGAATGAGTTATGGACCGAAAGCCTTTCCATGATCCCATACCAGAGAAAGCATGAACGAAACGATTTTCAGTTCGATACCGACGCTCTAGAACTGTGCCGCGACACCTTTCGTCCTGCCCTTTACCCCTGCGCATCCGTGTCCGCCTGCGTCAACCTCGAGTCCACACAGTTTACGTCCCGATCCTACCGACTCCGCGATCATGGAACCCGAGACCGCGACGTCGACCGTCCAGGCCGCAAAACCAGAGCATGCGGATCTTTCTGGTAAGGCCAGACAAACGTGGCGGTAAGTTGAATATCCTCACTCACAAGATACATGTGAAGGAGCCATTGATTCATTGATTTGCCTCGTGTGATCATACCCCGCCAAAAAAAACCAAAAAACCAAAATAAAAATGAAAACACCATGATTTGATCGGCTTGCGCAAACACCACATACTGATTCCTTGCTCATACCCAGTAAACACTCAGGAGCTGACATCTACTAGCTCGGCAGTCAAACTGCGAAAGCAACTGACAAAACACATGGAAAAGCTTCCAAAAGATAATAACTCTGGTGTTGACATCTCCCAGTTCGAGGCGATGGATACGGTTCTGGATAAGTGAGGAAGATCGCATGCGGCTTGCTGCGCTCATGAAGCTAATTCATATAACCCCACAAAATAGATTCCGCCTTGCCTGTGTGCAGACCATCTATCTCGACTTTGAGTATGCTGTCGCCGAGCGTACCGACCAAACTATGTGGTTGGTGCATACTAGTATCAACAACGAATATCGAAAAGCCCTGGTTCGCCTCCGACACCTGGCGCAAAATTCGGACAAGCAAAAGACTGACAAGACGGCCAACGAAAAGCGCAATGGCGACAAGGACAAGAACAAGGGAGAGAAACAAACCACCCCAAAGCAGAAGGGTGACAAGCGCAATGTGGAGCGACGGAAGTTTGGGGACAAGTATCTGGGCTTTCTACATGTTGCTCAGGAGTTCTACAAGGGATATGTCCAGCGCCTCTCTGCCCGATACGACATCCCTGAATTGAAGCGCATTGCTCAAGGCGTCGAGGTGGACGGATCCCCCAGTAGCGATGTCGTCAGTCCCGTTCCCGATTCGATCTATCCACTGGTCATCAATTCATGCCACTTCACTCTCATTTGTCTCGGCGACCTGGCGCGTTATCAGGTTCAGTCAGGCCTGAAGAAATCGAGCTATAAGATTGCACTGGCCTATTACAGTCTTGCTCACGATCTGAAACCCGATTCCGGTTTCCCGTTCCACCAGATGGGCATGATAAGCCTCGAGGAAGGCAAAGATTTAGATATCCTTTACTACTTTTACCGGAGCATCGCAACTGCCGATCCTCATCCCAACGTGAAGCAGAATCTTGAGTCCAAGTTCAAGAGCTATTTCCAGCCGGATAAGAATCCGCCTAAGAAGCAAGCACGTGGACCAAGCGATGCATTCGTCACCTGGTTTACTAAGCTTCATGCTTCCTACTATAGGGATGAGACCATGGCAGGCAGCAGGGAACTTGAACGGGAAGTCCTCCATCGGCTTGATATGGCTTCCAAGAACCCTGACTATTCCGAGGTTCTGTTCAGGATGTCCCTGATCAACATGTCGAGCTACTTCATCGCCACTCAGAAATATACCGGTAGGTCTGCTAGTCATATAATGCTTATTGTTATTTCTAATACAAAATAGAGGCACAGACACAGGCAGCTTCACGTTTTTGTCACCATACTTTGCGCATCAACGCTCAATTCATTCTTGCGTTTTGCTCGGCACTCATCTCTGAGCTCACCAATATTGTCGGCCGCGAGAACCCTGCTTCCGAGGACCCAGCAACAGCCAAATCATCCCCCGTGATCGAGGCGCTTCTACCTCTGCTTCGTATATACGGCATGTGGCTGGCTGCACGCCGCCAGGAAATATTCGCGGCTGGTAAAGCTCTTGGCACCGTACTGCCAGATATGATGAAGGCCATTTCAAAGGTCCTCTCATTACTGTGCAACGAGACATATACCCAGGAAAACCTGGCCTCATGCCCATATCTTCTCGCGGAGGATGTCCAGACCCAAGGTCTGCTTCCCCTTGCCCCGGACCAGGTTCCGCAAGCTTGCCGATCCTACTTTTCTGAGAGCGGTGGCTTGAAGCCAAGACTGCCATCCCAAGAGAGACGACTCGGCACTTTCCAGGAGACACTGGCAAGAATCTTGGACATACTGCGATGCGCCTACTTCCTGGCTGAGGACGACTTGTGCCCTCTTGCCGCCCATGTCTCCGAGAAAGGCCTTGCTTTTGAGTACAAGGAAAAGCCTGCCGCGAGCGAAGATACTTCCCAGCCGATGTCTATTGTGAGTTCTCCTGTGCGGGAAGCTCAGAGCAACACCAGGACCGCAAGTCGACATCGCACCGTTTCGGACAACCCACAAACAGGGAACCGACTTGCGTCCAAGGTGGACGCGAGGAGGCCTTTCGTTGCATCTATCGAGACACAGCCTCCCCATGAGCAGTCCGTACCTGACGATGCTGATAACACTGTTATCAACATGCTTGCTCCTTTCCTAAGGCCCCCTACCCCTGAACAGGCACAATCTGGTCCCTGCTCCACTGATGAGACCTCATACGGAATGCATAGCACAACTGCGAACGAGGTCTTTGGGATGCTTCAGGCTGACCCCAGCCCTACCACAGGCTCCATGCCCTCTGGCAAGTTTGAACCTCTTCCCTGGGACTGGGTATACACCCCGACACCCCATAAGGGTAGCGATGCCTCGGTCTCATACAAGGATGCTTTCGAAGCTCCCATTAGTCCCAACTTTTCTACAAGGAAAACGTCACGAACCATCAGCGCATTTGAGGACCCTTTCACCAATTCTACTCCTCAGCTACCAACCATGCCGACTCCCCGAGCTGGCAGTGGCATGATGGCCAGCCCTCGTGTTAGCTCAGCTGCCGAAGAGGCCCATCGCAACAACTTGCTTCAAACTTTCGGTAGCTCTAGCACCCCTCGTACTTCGGTGTCCAGCCAATGGGGCCAAAACCACAACCGCACGTCCATCGAGACAGCACCTCAATCCTATGGTCATCACCAAGCCCCGAACGGCTACGCTACGTCTTCCTCTTTGTCTGCGTTCTCACACCCAAGCAGTTTGTATCAAGGCACACCTGCTAATGAGGCTACTTTCGGCATGCCGACTGGAGTTGGCTATATGGACACGAGCCGCTACGATCGCAATCACATCCAGGATCCTGCATCATCCTCGTCGGGCCGACGTTTCCAGATGGATGAAACGACATCCAGTTATGATGCTGCCATCCTGCAGGCTGCCTTTTATGGCAATAAGTAGAAGCGTAGGTTGTTCTTTTGTGCTTTAGTACACCGCCGTGGAAATTGGGATATTCCAATCTGCCCAGTTTTTCGTCGACTCTTGCGCTTTCAAAAACGTCTCGTTCCTGGTCTAGACCACTCGGGACGGAACATGATTGATTGCATAGCCGACGATTCGCTATAAAGCACCTGCACGTGTCCCAGCATGGAGTACTGATCTTTTGGAATCGGTCAGCTTTCGAAGATGTTGACGGCATAATGGATCAGTTTTACAGGTGCAGTACGCTGGCCTACCTCGGCTGCTCCATGTCTTCGGACCTCGTGCGACAGCTGATGAGTTTGCTCGCCAACCGGGTCAAGCTTAGTCGGTATTCATCCAGTCTGATGGTATAGACACCATTCGTCGGTGCAAGATCTTGGGTTTTAAAGCAAGAAGTCATTCATTTTATATTCACTCAGATAATATGCTTGCCAAATACTCGATATCGTGGAGGATACCATGCCGCTCAATGCGCTTGGGAGCCCTCAGTTTGGGGTATATTCTCCCTTTGGATGCAAACGCCGTTGTTGAAACCGTTTCCCTTTTCCCCAGCAACGCCGAACCACATTCAATTATCCAAGAAGGATGTGCAAGATGAGTTGTTAATAGATTTAAGCAGCCTGGTAGGTTTGCTTGGGGAAGGGGTATCTGCATGAGAGTTAGTTGAGGTTTGTTATCATGTTACTGGGATTGGTGCCCTAGTCAAGGAGCTATGCTGTTGATAAGAAAGATAGGTAGAGGAATGAAGCAGTAAATTTTGGGAACACAACTTGGCAAGAATGGTGCATGCGGGTAAACTTACGAAGGTCCAAGCTCCTGGATGCTCAAACGAGCGAGCCACTGGCCCATGTCAATGCTGGTTTCGAGGGGCTTGTTCTGGAGGATACCAGCCAGGAGACCACCAGCAAAGGCGTCACCAGCACCATTGGTGTCGTTGATCTTCTCCTTCTCAATAGCGTGAACGGGGAACTCCTTAATATCGTCCTCACCCTGGATAGCAACCAGAGTAGGGTCGGTACCCTGAGTGACAATGGCAATTCGCTTTCTCTTGGTATTCTCCTTGGGAAGGTTGGCGAGGTGCTTGACAACATCCCTGGGCTCCTTGCTAGGGAGGTCGTGGGACTCGGCATAGGCGGCGGCCTCGGTCTCGTTGCCGATGATGTAGTCCCAGTAAGGGGCGCTGGCATCGACAACCTCCTTGAAGAATTGAGGGATGAAAGGAGCAGACAGGGAGAGAACAAAAGGCTTGTTGTGCTCAGCAGCCTGCTTGGCGAGCTCCATAATGGCAGGAGGGCAGACTAACATGGGTTAGCATTATCATAGTGTTTGTGATGTTTGTGACCGGGCTCGTACCAGTGAAGTGGAAACCACCGACGTAGTAGACCTCAGCGTTCTCAACGAGCTTCCAGATCTCAGGCTTCTTTAAGTGATCGAGGTCGTAGTGGTTAGCAGCGCCAAGATCTGTGCACAAGCTTCGGTTGTGGCCGGTGATGATAGCACCACATCGGCCAGTCTTCTCCTTGGGGTCGACACGGTATTCAACACGGAGACCAGCGGCCTTGACAGCATCGTGAAGGATAGCAGCATACTTGTCATCACCAGCGCCACCAAGGTAGACGACACTGTTAGGAGGGAGGATGTACTGAGCACCTCGAGCACTGTTTTGTGCAGCGCCTCCAGCAATCAGCTTGGCATCGTAGTTGTTTAGGAGGTCTTCGTAGAGAGGGAGATGCTTCTCCTCTGCGAGGATGGCGTCGTTAGGCTTGAGACCATACTTGTCAAGAAGAGCCTGGTCACCCTTGGCCTGGATGTCTGTATAGAACAAAAAGCGCCTGTCAGAAAATGTTCAAAATGGAGCAAATCGAGGTAAGCGGGTAAAGTATCTGATTGCAATGGAGGGGCATTGAGAGTTATTTCTCCTGCAAGTGCAATTGAAAAGCAACTCACCGAGGAGAGGGTTCTCGAGACAGAGAAGAGAGTATTCCTTAACGGCAGACATGGTGCTTAACTGTCTTGTTTGGAAAGAGAAACTATGTGATATAGATGAGGATAAAAAAGTAGATGAAGCTTCGGAGGGGAAGAGTTTGAGGTGAATGGAGGGGTCAAACGTCTTGGTCTTGGTGGGGTAAAAACGTGGGGCGTGGTCTTTCGGCAACCGAAAAGGAGCGAAGCTGGAGAAGTTGCGAGTACATGTGCGACGGCAGCTGGGAAGGAGGGAAGGAAGTTCAAGTCGGAGAGTCGAAGCAGATGGTCTCGCCAACATTTTTATGTTGATTACGTGCCCGAATAGTAGCTTCGAGGCCGACAGGTTTAAATGATGAGAGTTTCTATGGTCAAAATTACAAATTTATGATCGACGGACGACCAGAGCTCTCTGCTTAATATAAATGCATTCAATCAGCCATCATACGATCCAGATCTGGTTACCTCATCATGATCCGGTGACCTCGCCGATACCTTGATTACCAAAAGAACCCCATGCGATAATCATCAATTAACCCCCTTACTCGATAATTCAGAAGAATTGTTCTTGTAAAGTCTACAAAGCATTCCGATGAGCAATTTAATTCATGACAAGAAGCTGAGCATATATCACTACCATAATAAAAAAGCGTGGTGTGCGTGATTGGACACAATCGCTGAATGGACATTATTTTAACCAAGCATGCTTCTTCTCTCATGGAAGCCTTTTTTTGGTATTCGTGGTATCTCACTTCTTCGCTCACATCTTTCACAGAGAAACGGCCTTCAGATTTTTTTGCGCCAAATGCCATAGTACTTGCCCTCGGAGCTACCAGCCATCTGCTCTCGGCAGTACCTTCAATAGATGCAAGCAAGCCAGTAAACACCATCCCAATGAGACCATGAACCCAGCCACCACTTTACTCCTTTGTCTTCTGGGTACCACGGAGGAGACCCGTCCTTCTGGCGGCAATAAGACCGGCCTTTTGACCCTGGGCGGCGTATCGGGAGATGGTAGAAGCCTTACCAATATGTTGATGGTTACCCTGTGTCCATTGTCAGCTCTTCTGTCTCCCATCACATAAATTCTGAGAATACGTACACCACCGTGAGGATGGTCGACGGGGTTCATGGCAACACCACGAGTCTTGGGCCAGCTGTTGCGCTTGACAGCGAACTTGTGCTTGGCACGAGAAGCCTCTGCGAGACGTGTCAGTAATCCGATGCCTCATTTCATTATCCTCCGAGAAAACATACTGAGGAGAGGCTTGTCAGTTCGGCCACCGCCAGCGACGATACCGATCATTCCTCGGGAGCCGGAGTGGACGACCTTCTTGGCACCGGAGGGAAGCTTGATGCGGGTCTTGCCCTCATCAGGGTTGTGGCCGACAATGGTGATGTAGTTGCCGGAAGTGCGGCCGAGAGTGCCACGGTCACCGATCTTCTCCTCGACGTTGGAGACGACAGTACCCTCAGGCATCTCACCGAGCGGAAGGACGTTGCCAACGGTGAGAGCAGCCTTCTTTCCAGCGTAGATGAACTGGCCAGTGTACATGCCCTCGTTGGCGATGAAGGTCTCGGTGACCTGCTTGAATCGGTAGGGGTGGCGGAAGACGACCTTGGCGAGAGGGGCACCACGACCTGCGCAGACAATCATCGTTAGTTGTCGTTCCTCCATCATTGCATTTGCACACAATTGTGCAATTTCCGTCAAAAAAATTCTCGGGAAGCTCATCGTTCGGGAAACTTGCCAGCATCGTGGACGATCTCTCGGACTACACCTCGAAGGTAGCCATGGCGCTCGGCATAGTCGAGGTTGCGGAACTTAGCAGGAGCCTTGTTCAGGCGCGTGTTGGCCGCTAATAGGCGTCAGTATTTTGATGTTTTTCGATATCGTGGAGAGGCTCGTTCGGTACTGACTGAAGATGGATCCACGACCCTTACGCTGGTTGCGAATAACTCTACCCATGGCGGCTCTTCTTCACGGTGTGAAAAGGAAAGGGTAGTCTGTGAAGCTGCGGGTTAGTATGAAAGATCGTGGGCGAGGAAGAAAGGAAGGGGAGGGGATATTTACCTGGCGATGGCCGCTTGGTGTGTTGTTAGAAACGCTCGCGCTGCTAATTTTGTGCGTCGTTCTTTCTCAGTTTACGGTGGATCCAGTCACGTGGTAGGGCTCGATCGCTCTTTCCAATTTTCAGTTCCAATTCGAATGTGGGGTCTCCCTGGTCAATAGTACCTAAGGTAGAACGGGCAGGGATACCTCAGTGTACCTAGGTACTTAGATCCCATAAATTATCCAGTCTCTGTCATTGGATGTTGGCGCGACGCGTGCTTAACCAATCGACCTTTCGCCTCTCGACATCGCTCAAACTGAGCTGAGGTCATCACCAGCGATCATCACCACGACAGCGCAATCATGATCTGGTGCATGCTTGATTCTCAGCAATATCTCGTCTGCTCAAGAGTGCTAGATTACACCACGTCGCTTTCACCACATATGCTGTTCGTCGGTATCGCTGATGCCGTTCTGAATGGCCTGTTATCAATCTTGCGTTTCCTGCTGTTTGCGTATATACCACGCGTGGGCTTTTATGTTGCGTTGCGGGATGCTAAGCGGGGCGATACACTTTGATGTTGAGGTGATTGAAGTCGACCAAGTGGTTGATCCATGATGAGCGACAAGGGGAGGACGGGGCGTTCAAAGTGGAATATTCCTAGGTGGATGCCCTCTGTCTTACGTCTTTGGACTTCGCGACAACTTCTGCGATATGTTTCTAGTGGGACATGTTCATTCTTGGCCCGTTCTGACGGATAGCCCTTCGTCTTTGAGACAGACCTTGAGTGTGGCGGGAAATTGCGCTATCTAATGCTACATGGCGGTGAGAGCACACGATGCCGATTCTCAATATTTGGTTTTCACACTCACGACTATGCGACTCATTCTTCAGATATGGCTCCGGCGACCCATACCAGAAAAGTTTTTGGCAATGCGGCAACTGGCACTGCTCGAGGAGAAAGAACATCGGGGGTTGATTGGGTGCCGAAGTTCGGCCAGGGTGTTTATTTGAAGATCATACGGCCAAACTTGGCCAAGATGACGAAGAAGTGAAGACGCTCCAGTTCGTCTTGGCCCAACGCGAGAGTCAATCTACTTATGCGGAAACTAAACCGCAGAGGGAAGGGATGAGAGTTGTGTACTGGTGGTATACTACCAAACACCACATTTGTTGGAATAATCTCATCATGACATTGAAACGGAGATCTTGGTCCAGATCGTGCCCCAGAAGCTCCGTATGGGGAGGGCGCAAGAGGCGGTCGCTGTCACAAGGATGCAACAGCCTGGTTGCAGAGAGCTCTCGGCTGGGGGGAACACCAAAGGATGTTTTTTACATTGTTTCTATTGCGAGCTTGATTGTTTAGATAGTCAATTGATATTTGTCTAGCCTATCAGGATTCACCAGCCTAATCTGCGGCTCTTCAACCAGGCTAGTGTGTGCTTGTTCTGTGTCAGAGCCCAAGTTACGTCGTTCCTCCTTCTCCCCACACTCATCTCCATCTCCATGTCAACCTCACATCAACAAACCACACAAAAAATGTCGGCCGAAGACGACTCCTCCGACCTCTCTTCGCTCTCTTCGTTGTCACCTGCACCTTCTGATATTGAGTTGGACGAGCCAGTCCAAGAGCCAGTCCAAGAGCCAGTCGCCAAACCCAAAAAGGGTATCCAGAAATACTTCTCCAAGGCTACAGACAAACCAGCCAAGGAGGCTTCGCCGCCACCACGAAAACGCTCACCGTCGCCCCCTCATGAATATGTATTGGCAGATAATCCAGACATCGCAGTATGTGTCCTACTACTGTGCCTGTCTCCTTTTCACAATTTTCTATTTTGCCATTCAGCGCGTGTCGGAGCTGTTGCGACGCGCTACAGTCGCGCATTGGACTTCAAGAGTACAAGCTAACAGCTACAGTTCATTGTGATGTTCAGAAGCCGATTCAACGACGCATTTCCTAAATCGCTTGCCCATTTTGGCCCACAAGAACTCGAACGTGATATTGTCGAACCCATTCCTGGCGATCGAGCAGAACATTTCCTTTGCGCGTTGCTGGGGTTACTATTAAATCGCAAGCAAGATGTCAAGTATGGCAGGACCCTATGTCGCAAGAAATGATGCGCTAATCAACAACTAGGCCTGGCCATTACGGTCGCGCTTTAGAGGATGCTGTCAGTACTCACAAGAACCAATGGGCACCTGCTTGGGAGGACAAGAGCCCTTTGTCTGGAGGCGCAACGTTCGCCTCGATGAACCCTACGCAACGAGTGCGTATTAGCAAACCAACCCTCGAGACTGTCCCTGGTACTAACATTGATAAAGCTTACACTCCTGCGATATCTAATTCTTTGGACTCTTTCGTCCTCCGACACCGTCAAAGGACTTATCAATCAATCATACAAGCAAAACCGCCACGAAGATGATACGAACCAGCCTAGATCGGTACAGCCTTGGGGATCAGATGGAGACAAGCGCCGCTATTTTCTGATTGAAGGACAAGACGACACTGCTTTCCGCGTTTACAGAGAGAGCAATCCTGCTGGGACCAACAGAACATGGTGGAGCGTTGCGGGTACCATCGAAGAGCTCAAGGCTCTTGCTGAGAAGCTCCAGGTTAAGGATGGCGGACCAAAGGCTACAAAGCTAGCTCAGAAAATGTTCTCTGCGGTTCCTCGATTCGAAGCCGGCGAAGATGTTAGTTATAGAGACCTGGCTCTGGCACCAAGAATGGGTTCTGCCACAGCTCTCAACTCGACTGCAGTACTGACACTTTATAGAAACGTAAGCGCCGTGATTACCGCCAGGCGCGCAAGGAACAGTTCAAGAGACCGGAGCCTGGGTTTTCTCTTTATGAGGGTCGAACTCGGGGCAAGAAGATGAAGTATACATACTCCGACGATGAAGACATCTTCACCACCGACTCGACAACTCGACGATCTACTCGCAACACTGGAACTCACACACCTGCAGAGACTGGTCCTGTCACCACTGCTAGTGGTCGACAGATCAAGGCACCAACACGGCTGAACCCCACAACTGGAAGCAGTGCTCCAGGCAGTGTACAGGGAGACACGTCTGAAGTTGATAGAGAGCAATCTGTTGGTCCAACGGGACGGCCTCGCCGATCGGCAGCAGTGAACCACGGCACAACCGGCTGGGCCGAGAACAACAAGGGGCCCCGGCATAACGCCTCTGATGATTCTGACGACGAGAGCGAGGCCGATTTCGGGGATGACGAGGAAGATGTTGATGAGCACGTGCCTGAGGAATCAGAAGACGAAGACGACTTCGACGAAGATGAAGCTATGATGGACGACGACCTGGAAGAGAAAAACCGAAGTCTGGTTGTAAAGCTTTCAGTAACACCACCAAAGTTGCGGAACGTCCTAGGACCCAACTCGCAAGCCGGAAACAAACTGCCAACGCCAAGCTCTGATAAGACAGGCGAGGAGCATCGATTGGGAGAATCGCCTCTTGTTGAGATGCAAGATGCTCCAGAAGCGACATCCAACAAGGAAGCACAGGCTGCAGCCCAGGAATCTCCCACTCCAAACACTAACTTTGCTGAACGCAACAATGCAAGCCCAGCAGCCCTATATGCGACGTCTCTGGCTTTTAGAGGGAGCCCAGAAAAGACGCATGCGCAACCTGTTCCCCGCCCTCTCGATGTTGGGGCAAATCACGAGTAGGGGCTGGTCATTTGACACTATACGTTTTTGTTGGAGTTGGGGAGCTAAGGTTTATATGGCAAAAAGCCAGCGACGCAGAAGGTTAGCGATATGGCGGAATGGAAATGCAGTATTAGAAGAAGCAAGGTGTTGATGGCATCGAACTTGCGTGCCCATGAACAGGGTTCTTTAGAGGTTTAAAGGGAAGCCCAACGGACAACAGTATCTTGACCCAGCGAGGGGTTGAGATGGGCAAGTATGTCAGCATAGCGAGGCATATTAGTTATTATACCAATGTCAAGCTATATACGACCGTATTGCTATCTAATTCTTTCATGAAGGCAGATGTCACTGAGAGTGGTGCATTCAGGAGCGAAGAAACAGGCGATGTGTGATATAGTCAATGGTCAAGGGACAGACTCTCAGAACCAGAAGACAGTAGTTATGTAGAGACTTTGTCAACCCACCTACCGACTAAGAAGTTCATGTTCAGGGCTTCGAAGTGGCAGAAGCCCATACTGGGTGAAACGCTTTGATAGGCGCTCCGGACTGGCTTCTCAGACGTTACACAATGATTTGTCGTCATTTTTAGCTTAGTAAATCATACATGGCAATGCGATCGGCCTCCTGAGTATTGCGTGTAGTCTTTTCAACTCCCGATCTTGTCAACCTCTCTTAGGATGGGTAGGTATCTTCCCTAGGATAACAAGTTAGCTTGAATGAAGCTTGACCATGTGTTCAATGACCTACAATTGTTGACTCCCCACCACCAGCGTCTTACTCGCGCACCTAATGTGTTGCCGTGCAATCGAGCATTTCTGTTCCAATGTTGCCAGCCACAGAGGAAGAGGTTGTACACTAAGCCCTGGGTCAAGGGCATGATGATCTGGCACCGTGTTAGCAACCAGAAGCTTTGATACTCTACATATACATGCCTGATCCCTCGTTGTAATCAACGCCACCTTCCACCATGTATCCGCCTTGGAGATACTTCGAAGATAGCTCTGCTCGAAGCGCAGATCTGGCAGAGGAGGTAGGTGGGAATGTCTGGGCGCCGGTCGGAGAACGCTGTAGGGGATGTCCTCTTCTTCATCCTCCTCGTCGTCGATTCCATCGTCGTGCTCGTGCTTGACGTGCTCTAGGGTCACAGGTTGTCTTCTCTCGGCTGCTGTGGGCGGGTTGGTATCAAGAGCAGGATCTGGATGGTGTTCGATGCTTGCAGCCTGTATAGTGGCGGCAAGCTCTGTGGGAGCCGAGTCCATATTTGGTGTGCGTAGTCCCGGCTGGAATTATGGTGCGATTCTGGTGTTTTCAAGATGTCCCGGATTGTTGTCGCCGAACAGATAGTAGATACCTTGTTGATGAGAGTGGTGTTGATTGCTAAAGGTACCGTAAGGTCAGTACACAAATAGTGGAGGTAAGGTAGGTAGTGATGGACGTCGCATGGATGGCCGAGCTGCGGAACGTTACTGCTGGGGCGGTAGACTACTAGCGTGTGGAGGTGGTGGGGAATGACCGAGATCCAATGACATTGACTGAATGGGAAGCTCAAGACCTGAATATGGATATCAGACATCGATTACTTACAGCTCCTGTCATTGAGCTACAGCAACAGCTACAGCAACAGCTAAGAATGAACTAGTAGCCCTTGAACATACAGCTTACCTTGGGCCGGGTTACATAGAAGAAAGCCAATTGAATTTCTGGAACAATCTGCGGGGACTTGAACTAATAAATCTGACATGTATCAATGACTTTTCAGTACTATTGGTCTATAGGTGCAAGGTGAATCGCCTCGTCCCTGTCCGCTTCATAGACGTATGTGGTATGCGACTTATACAACTCTCTCAGGGCCCAAGTTTATTTCATACAAGCTAGTAATATGATCTGAAGCTTGGAACGCCCAAGGCACATATAAACACATCTTGTAACAGGACAGGGACTTCCTGAACAGCGTGAGGCTTGAACTAGCCCTATAAGGTCTGCGACCAATGTAAAACTCTTGACACCTGCCCATCAATTGATTGGTAGGCAGAGTTGCAAGAAGGTCTAGGTATGAGTGACGAGTATCATGATCAGTGCAACGGTGGTTACTGGAGTTTATGCAATCATATGAGTTAAATCTTTATTACAGTAGATGAGACCTGAACCAATTGGAATCATACAAGGTAAACGTGCTTCTCAAGAGATGATGCAGTGTGACATGTAGACCAGTGGCTTTTAAGGTTGTCAGCATAGACGTATGCGGACATGGTGTAAAACAAGGATAGGGCTGAAGGTTGGTTAAAAGTGATGATCGGCATCAGGCCCATCATAGCCTGTAATCAAATAACCCCTTCTTTATTGTCACTCAACCTGTGACGACATGAAGTCAATCCTGTCCATAACCTTGACGATAGTATTTTGCTCTGAAGATGAGCTTCTGTAATGGAGGGGTTCAGTGTGACATTCCAGCTGAGCATGTGGTGGATGCTGATATGAATGGAATTGGTGTAAGTCCATTACTTTGATTCACATCTGTTCTATTACTCACATATTCTATGTAGGTTGTATTGTCCTTTGTCATCACATCTGCAATCTCGGTCATTGTGGCCGTCATGGCCGTTCTCAAACGCGGCATACCCAAGCAGCAGTATATGCGAGTCGATGAGAAGGTCCTCTATTGGATCGGGGTCAGGAAACCTGCCAACGAGTCCCCTAGCAATCTTGGCTATCAGTCCCTTCTACTCGCATTGAGTGACCAGATGTTGGCCGTTGGGCTGTGCTATCTCATCGCCATGTATGCACAAGTCTGCAAGGTATCGCTCTATTCCTTTTATATCGGCGCCCAGCTAGGCTATTTATCATCCACCGTTCACTTATGCACGCTGTTAGTGTTGAAGTCGTACTTCAGAAACCATCCAAAGCAAGCCCTCTTGCGTGGTGGCTTGATGATGTTGTTCCTGGGTCTCCTCGTGGCAACCCTGATCCTAGAGTTCATTACACTATCCGAGCCGCGCGACAGGCTATTTCTCTGCGGCCTTCACTATCCGGTATTACCTCGTCTAGGATCAATGGGTGTCAGATGCTTCTCAATTGCTGTGATGCTGGTCTTTGTCTACTGGAACGCTTTCCGATCGATCAAACTGGACAACTCTCTAAGATACGAACTCGAGAACAACACTTCCAAGAACACGATCCTACGATGGATATATTCGGGGGGTCAGAGAAAGGTAGACTTTCAGAAGTACTTGGGACATGAGGAAAAAGATAAGCGCCAGCGGAATCGAAAGAAGGCGGCAATACTGGAACAAAGTCCTGAGTTTTTGGAAACCTTCACCATGGTGACACCGCTTATTGTGGCCGAGATGGCTGCCTCAGTTCTGTTTGAGTTGCTGGTCGCCATCTTCTCATTTTCAATTGCCCTGTACACACTGGTCATTGGTGTTTTCTATCAAGGTGCCGACGTCAAGCCACTATTGACCGCGAGCTTTGGGCAGATTATGCCTATGCTTCTTCTGATCGTTATTGCTCTGACAGCAGTCGAGGTTGGCAGTGAGTCTGTCACACAAAACATGAAATTTGAGACATTGACTGAAATATCCTATAGCAATCAAGAACTTCCGAAGGATTGAGATCGAGATCGAAATAAAAAAACGTCCCGCCTTATTACACAATACTACGAGGGGCGGCCCAGGACCAGAGAGTAACGATGTGCTCTCGAGCCGAGTACAGTCGTTCAACTTACAGAACAGCATGACAGGCGTCACAGAGGATGTGTCGTTGCAAAATCCTCCTAAAACCTATGGGACCTCATTATTGCCTATGGCTGCTGCATCTCATAGTCAACCAGACCTCTCAGGCACTGCTGGCTTTGGCACAAGAGTCGACTCAATGACCAGATGGATGACACCAAGGAGAACGACGACAATAGAATTAGAAGAGGGGGGACGGGTAAGTTGCTCTTGTTTTTCCATATCCAGTGCCTCCTTTCAAGTGTTGTAGACGAACTAACATGCACCAGTCTCTACTTCATGCTGCCGATTCAACTTTGGATCTTCTTGACATTGCTCTTAGAAGCGCCAAAGGAATAACCTATGCTGCGATCTGCCTTGTTCTCTTCCTCTTGGCTGGGTATTTTGTTGCATGCTTTCTCTTCTATCAGTATGTGGTGCCAGCTACTGCAGGAGTATTCATCATAGGAGGCATATTTGACCTTCTTCGAGGCGTACGAGGCGTCCACAGAATAAGAAGTGAAAGGCTTCAGAAGGAAATACAGATATGATGCAGGCAATATACCATAATAGGATGGCATTTGTTTATTCATACTACCTAGGCGTAGAATCCAAGCCTGCTCTGACATCATATTCTCGTTAAATAGGTAGGTAGTCAGTCATGAAGCACACCGAATTACTCACCCAACATCCATCGTTCGCCAAAACCGAGGCATACCTACAGGCAGCAAAAGCCCATGATTCAAAGAGCCTGGACTGGGCTGTCAGCAGTGAATATATGTATTAGAGGCCCACTCGGGTACCAATGATTTCAAGCAAAGTACTTCAAAATGTAGTGTCCCCGAAGGCAAAATCCAAGTTACGTAGTGGAAGTGTGAAGTGCATTGACTTCATTGCCCCAATTAAGCAGCAAATGAAAGTGGGTTGTGTGCTCTGTGGTGTGTGGGTGTGGGTGCCTCACTAGGTCATCGCTCGCTGCACGAAAAAATCTGGCACTAACATCCAACTTTTGGGATCTTCAGGCTCCAGAGTCCAGTCCAGAATTAATAGTTCCACGACTCCCAGACTCTCGAGGAGAAATCTCTACCGGAAGAATACCACTCACATACAAAGGTCTGAGCTAAGCACAGTTCAACCGCCAAAATGAGTGACGCTCAGGCGAACGAGGCCGAGAAGAACGTGAGTCTTATCCTCATCCCAGCCCTCGAATGCCCCTCTTCTTTTCTCGTGTCGTCCGTTGCCCCGCGATCGAGAAATTAACGTCTAGGCCATCGACAAACCCCAAAGACAATGGCTGACAGCATCGTTCAATAGATTGAGATCTGGAAGGTCAAGAAGCTGATCAAGCGTCTTGAAGCCGCCAGAGGAAATGGAACCTCAATGATTTCCCTCATTATCCGTAAGCCGTTCTCGTGAGACAAGCCCTCCCAAAACGCGCACTAACTCGTGTGTCCTTTTAGCTCCCAAGGATCAAGTCTCTCGAGCAGCCAAGATGTTGGCTGAAGAATACGTACGGCTTCAGAGTCCTCTCGAAATTCCCCTATGACGACACTAACAACCCCCTCAGGGTACCGCCTCCAACATTAAATCTCGAGTCAACAGACAGTCTGTCTTGTCCGCCATTACCTCGACCCAGCAGCGCCTCAAGCTGTACAACAAGGTGCCCCCGAACGGTCTGGTCGTCTATTGTGGTGAAATCTTGACCCAGGAAGGCAAGGAGCGAAAGGTCAACATCGATTTCGAGCCCTTCAAGCCCATCAACACCTCCCTCTACCTGTGCGACAACAAGTTCCACACCGAGGCTCTGGCCGAGCTGCTCGAGTCCGACCAGAAGTTTGGCTTCATCATCATGGATGGTAACGGTGCCCTGTTTGGAACTCTTAGCGGCAACACCCGTGAGGTCGTCCACAAGTTCTCTGTCGATCTTCCCAAGAAGCACGGTCGTGGTGGTCAGTCCGCTCTCCGTTTCGCCCGTCTGCGAGAGGAGAAGCGTCACAACTACGTCCGAAAGGTTGCCGAGTTGGCTGTCCAGAACTTCATCACTGCCGACAAGGTCAACGTCGCTGGTCTCATTCTTGCTGGTTCCGCCGATTTCAAGAACGATCTCAACGCCTCCGACATGTTCGACGGCCGTCTTGCGACCAAGGTTATCAAGGTTGTTGACGTTTCTTATGGTGGTGAGAACGGTTTCAACCAGGCTATCGAGCTGTCTTCCGAGACTCTCGGCAACGTCAAGTTCATCCAGGAGAAGAAGCTCATCGGAAAGTACTTTGAGGAGATTAGCCAGGACACTGGCAAGGTTTGCTACGGCATTGAGGACACCCTCAAGGCTCTCGAGCTCGGTGCCGTCGAGACTCTGATCGTCTTCGAGAACCTTGAGATCACCCGCTGGGTTCTCAAAGACAGCAACGGCAGTGAGGTCATCCTTCACACCACCAAGCAACAGGAGCAGACCAACCGTGACAAGTTCCTCGACAAGGAGACTGGCCAAGAGATGGAAATTGTTTCTCAGGAATCCTTCCTGGAATGGATTGCGGAACACTACAAGGACTTTGGTACCACTCTTGAGTTTGTTTCTGACCGATCCACCGAGGGCAACCAGTTCGTCAAGGGTTTCGGTGGTATCGGCGGTCTTCTCCGCTACAAGGTCAACTTTGAGCAGCTGGCTGACTTGAGTGACGACGATGAGTACTACGACGGTGAGTTGGCATAAATTCTGGGAAATGAGAGCTCTCGATTCTAATGAGCAAACAGATTGACCAGCGGATCCCCTCGTTACCAGCGAGGGATCGACTCAAGTTCATCCGTCCATGTACAACAACAGTGCCATGCGCCCCGAGGCGCAGAGGTCGACCGATGCCGCGCCGATGTTAATCGCCCAGCACCGCTTGGTGGAGAGGGACAGTCTCGCGCCTCTCCATTCTTCCCGCCAGGCATCGCGACCCAGTCCGCTTCGCACAATGATGACGGCTTGAGTTATGATAGACGGGAATAGAGGTACATCTCAGACCCTCCAATTCTTGCACCTCAGGAAATCAGAATGTCAGGTCTAACGGCTGGTAGGCCCAACCATTAAAATTGAAAGATAGCGGTGGCACGGCGGCTAGGGGATCGATCTTGAGGGTCATCATGGGTAACGCATCATATCGCGACGTCCGGCCTGAAGATTGTTGTTATTTGAGTAGAGTCGGCGTTAGCTGGCTGCAAGGCTTGTCCCTGATTGGGCATATATAGTCATGAGCAGGCATTACACGCCGGGTCAACGAAATACTAGTCGTATGCATGGCCATTGTTCTGAGTTGAAGTGAAATAATTTGATGTACTCCATATCACCCAACTGAAAACAGAGGGGGCGGATGAAAAGAGCCTCTCCATCCGGGGGGGGGGGGAATATCCATAAATCAGGGGGAAATCACATTATACTTTACGATTTCATGAAATAAGGCTTACTAGCATTGTATGATATCGTATTATTGATCACCGCGTATTTGAACAATATTAGCTCCATGCCCCATTCCGGTGTTTCTGGTCACTGTGGGGGTCCGCGGACCTTAGGTACCTAGGTAGGTAGGTACCCAGCATGGATGTGCTACGTCAATACAAGCTTACATGGGCTGCACCTAGGATACCTGGAAATGACCTATCAACGAACACATCTTGTCAACATCATTCCATCTCATCTTCTCACCGTCATATAGTTTTCCCTTTCTCCCGTCTCTGCGCTACAGAGGGACCTCAGCTCAGTGTCAACTGAAGCTGTCGTCAGGCGCTTAAACATAATTATCTTCTTATAATGCCTGAAGACTCCCCTCCACCAGCGGCCAACCAGGCTGGCCGCGCCATCCCCGTCGGCCTCAACGAAGCAGCACTCGATTCCCCGACTTTTCGTGTAACCGCTGCAAACTTTGGCGACCAAGTCGATGCTATAGAAAAATGGCTCAACGGATATGCTCAGTCGACGTCGAAACTACTGCACGATATCCTCGCCCTCGAAGAGACGATTAATACCTTTCTCGTGAAGACGATGCCCTCGGCGGCTGACGGCGTTGTCGACAATGATTATACATTTTTGGCTTTGAAGAGGGTGGGCGATGGATGGCGAGAGTATTGGATTCAGATGATAAGCACAATGAAGAAGATGGAAGGTCTAGTTGTCGACCCTATTCGGCAGTTCATCGTTGGCGATCTCAGGAACTTCAAGGAGTGCAGGAGGGCCATGGAGCAGGCGCAGCGAACGTTTGACTCTACGCTCGCTCGATACGTCAGTCAGTCAAAGACAAAGGAGCCCTCAGCTCTGCGCGAAGATGCCTTTGCTGTTTTTGAGACCCGAAAGGCATACCTCAAGGCCTCGATGGATTACTGCCAGCTTGCACCGCAGCTGCGCTTTAGTATGGATAAGTTGCTTGTCAAAATATGCAGTGAGCGTTGGAGCCAGCTGCGGCGTGCCAAAGAAGCAGCAATCGACACTACACGCTGGAATCAGGAAATGGAGCGCATTCAGGGTTGGTCGAATGAAATGGGAGCGTCTGAGATGGTTTTCAGGCGAGAGTTGCAGTCTGCCAGGAGAGAGATTGGAGAAAATGCGCTCGCAGGATTCAAGCCATCCCGTGAGCTCGAGGACTACAGCACTTCAACCGTTCCTTTCCTCGGCACTCGTGGCCCCATCACTGTTCGTCTTGAGGAAGGTGCCACAGTTGTCTCTGAAAAGCAAGGATGGCTGTTCCTGCGGGTGCTCTCAGGGAAGCCAGCAAGACATACGTGGATCAGGAGATGGTACTATTGCCGTGATGGCATCTTTGGTTGGCTGATACCAGGGCCTCTGGGAGTTCTTCAGGGTGACGAGATTGGAGTTCTGCTTTGTAATGCAAAGCCGGCTGTGGCTGAAGACAGACGCTTCTGCTTCGAGGTCAAGACCAAGAGCCAGACAATCCTGCTCCAGGCAGAGACTCAGGGCGAGCTGACCGAGTGGTTGGAGGTTTTTGAGGTTACCAAGAAGCGGGCTTTTGAAACCAGCATGAACAGAACTAGTGCTTCTCTTCCCGGGTCCGTTGATCCTGCGTTTTCCATCTCTCCCCCCAGTATTCCCGAGTTCTCTGCCAAGGCCCTCGACGCACAGATCGGTATCTACGATGAATCAAGCCCTAGTATTGACCGAACAAACACACTGCCTATTCCAGGACCAGACGGTAACCTCAGTACACGACAGAGCTTTGACGTTAACGGCAGCATCTCTCGTCGTACCATCACTGCTCTGGGTCGAGACCTGGCTCGAGAAGAGGGCGAGAGTGGCCGTGAGCATGCTGCCAGAATCATCCAAAAACTCGACCTACATCGCAAAGCGACCTTTGGCACCCAAGGCCCCGAAGCTGGACAGGGAGGTTCAGCTTCCACGACTGGACTGGCTAGCATGATGGCTACTAGCCACACGCTACCGCCAGGATTTCCAGGGTCTGTTGGAAGCACAACAAATTTCAGGCAGACGCCTAGCATGCTGCCATCGGTTGACACACAGGTTGGCACTTTGGCTCCAGCAACCCTGGCCAAGCCACCCTCGATGACTGGATTGAGTCGTATTGCAGTCCTGACAGCAGGAGAACGCCAACCTGTAGGTAACAATAGGAAACTCCCTGCGTCTGTGGTTGCGAACTACTGGGGAACAAGTCTCTGGGGTGCAATGAACGCACCGCCACAACCCGTCCTTCCCAGACTCGATGAGGATGACCCTATTGGTGTTGTCGTTCCTGGAAGCACCGTAGGACAAGGTGTTCAGCGGAAGGACGGTGGCGAATACTTCCCCCGAAACTATCCCCCAGAGTTGAGAGCGCAACACGCACAGTTTCGACTCCTTTTCCCAGATGCGCCATTGGAGGAGAAGCTGGTGCTTGTCTTCCGGGCCGCCTGGACTGGGTCTCCTGAGCGAGGGCCCGGCAAGCCAGACATGGCGGGCGATGGCCGTATATACGTTACACCCGACAATATGTACTTCTACGGACAACAAATAGGACTCGTAACGGCCTACAGTATCAGCCTTGATATCATCAGTGAAGTAACGGCAGCGCCAGGCAGGGACTGCGACTTCATTTTCCTGCATCTGAATGAAAACGCCAACGAAACAGGATATACCAGGATCACTATCAAAGTTTTCTTGGAGGACCTTGGTCTACTCCACACCCGTCTCAACCTACTAATCGATGACATCCAGGCTGAGGAGCCCATGGATGTTGAGGCGATCATCACCACCTTGATCAATCTCGAAATGGAAGAGTATGACCGCCCAAGTCCCAGTGTCGAAAGCTGGGAGGAGGTCTCGGCAAACACGCCCATGGATGACGGTACTTCGATGGGGCGGCCCGTTGCTCGGCGTATGGAGTTCAGCCCTCCGCTTCGTCTTTCGAAATCGAGGACTCGACATAACCATAAACTTCACTTGCCAGCTCGCCCTGTCATTTATGAACCAGAGGGCATGAAGGAGATGGCGGCTGAGCGACACTTTGAAATCAGTGCCAAGTCCTGCTTCCACGTTTTGTTCGGTGACAAGAGTTTCGTATTCCCAAAGCTGTACTTTGAACGACGTGCTCAGCAGATCGCTCAAGGACCCTGGGTTCTAGTTGATCAAGGCAGGATGAGACGTGACTTCCAGTTCAAGGTTGACTACAAAGATGTCTTGGGTCGGTCCAAAACGGCCGATGTTAATGACTACCAGATCATCGATGTCTTCAGCGATCACGTTACGTACGTGGTGACTCATGTCAAGACGGCGTGGCATCTGCCTCACTCAAGCTGGTTCAAGGTTGTGACCAAGATTGTCATAACGCATGTAGCCAAGTCCAAGTGCAAACTAGCCATCTACACAAAAACGGATTGGTCCAAAAACCCAGCGCTCTCCAAAAACCTGATTGACCGCCAAGCCATTCACGATGCTGCAAGTGACGCTGAAGAGTTGGCTGAGGTTGCTACGGATCAAGTTCGAAAGCTTGGAACTCGCAGCCGAACAAACAGAGCAATTCAGGTGTACGGTCAGATTGGGCAACAGACAGAGGTGGTGGTCTTCTCGCCTGCTGCAACAGATTCAACAAAGAAGCAGGCCATCAAGCCTCGAACCCTGACGACGATGGTGTTTGAGACGATTCGGTCCCTGGGAGAGAGTGCAGTATCGTCACTCATCATGTGGGCTATTGCTGTGCTGCGCAACTTGTTCAACTTGATTACAGCTCAGTGGATCATCCTTGCGCTTCTCGCATTCAGCACACTGACAAATCTCCTACTAACGTCGAACGAGACTTCGACGTGGTGGAGAGAGCGAAGAGCAGCAGGATTCATGCAAAACATCGGAATTCGACCCAACTCCATGATGAGCAAGGCCATATACTTTGCGGATCTGGATGCAGCATCGGGGACTAATCAAGGGTTGTCTTTTCCCGAAAACAGCACATGCTTCTCGACCTTCAAGGATCTACTGGATACGACAGATATGGATACGCCCTGGGAGGATGCCGGTGCTAGTTTGGCTACACCTACTAGTCGTGCTACAGCCCGTCGACTTCGACGGACTCGACAACGGCTAGGATCGTACCGACATGACTTGTTAGTAGCCATGAGGGTTGTCAACAGCATTGAGCGAGAGATGCTACAGTCAGAATGGGAGAATTGGTTGGTAGATGAAAAGTTCCTCTGTGATGAACTGGATACTATGCTTCAGCAGCAAGGCGACGCAAAGGGGCAGAAGAAAGGGGCAGAAGCCGGCAAGGGGTCACAGAAGGTCATGGAGCCTATACCAGCTAAGAGACGGCAGGCCCTCGAGCAGTGGCGGGATACTTACTGCGGGAGCTGTAAGCAGGACTACCAGGTTGCGATGAAGGATCGGAAGTTGTCGATTGTGTAATACAATAGAAAGAGCATACTTTGTTATTGGGTAGGGTGCCCTAAGTAAGTTTCCTTGGTAGCTAGCTATACATATATGTGTAAGCAAGCACTTGAGAGGTGAATAGAACTCTCGGGCTCGCCCTCGCCTGGCGAATTTCATCTGTCATCATACGTACGTAGGCGGAGCGGACTCTGTCACAAATTCCGAGAAGCGGTGCTTAACATGGGCAGCAGCTTGACTAATCGGGAGTAGGATATTCTGGAATTGATTATGCATAATTCTAGTCGTTTTCGTTCATACGGGAGAACCAAGGATGCAGCGGGTCTGTTTGCCTTATCACAGCTGACAGTGCCTTGTCCTACTTTAATTATCTATGAAATAGCCACCTTTCGGAAATGTAAGAGATTGAGATTACCTTAGTACTTTGTATATTCATGAGCTACCTTGGTAACTTGATGCCGTGCTCCCGATGCTGCGAGGGGACATTGTCGTGGATGACTAAGCTGTGAGGGTATTGAGGTGGTGTAGGTGAGGGCCTAGGCTTGGCCACTGAAGGTTACCTATAGTGGAGGTTAGGTTAGTGACGTCAATCGCGGGAATGACGGCAGTTGATCATGGCCCATAGCGGCCGAGAGAATTAAAAAAGGTTCTTGGTATGATTCCGACTGCTATTTCTAGCGTTGGTTGGTCGTTGGTCTTCTTGGCTTTATCTCATCTTGTTCTACTTCTGACGTCTTCATCTTTGAAACTTAGCGACTTTTTGGACTTTCCTTGTTTTATCTCGTAAGCAGGCACGAGGCTCATATTTTGCTAGATACTAGATACTCCTACTCTCACACTTACTCTGATCACTAACTAAATCCAATCCATCCGCCGTTAATCTCCATACCTATCTATCCACTCGGCCAGCAGCTATGGGGGTAAATCACCACGAACCTCTAGGGGCTATGGGCCCTGTTGAGTGGGAACAGGTGCCCCAAGACGACCTTGAAGAGTTCCTAGCCGATGTTCTTTCCGAGACGCAGACCGTAGTCGAATCTATTCCAGCGCCAGCCAAGAAGGACGCTTCAAGCTCTGCAGGACGAGCTCGATCCAAGACGGAGTCGGCGGCTTCAGCTCCCGATATCAAACGTGCTCTGACCCTGCGACAGAAAGCTGAAGCCATCGGCCAGGCACAAGATCTGCAGAAGGAGTGGAAGGAGATTAAAGTCAGCGCGAAAGAGAATCCTCTCGGGATCAACGTCTATAAGCTGAGCGCCAAAGATGGACGCGGCGCATGGTTTGCTCGCCGGAGTGTACACGAGGGGCTGTCCTTTGACGACTGGAAGAAGGGTCTTTCTGTTGAGTTTTCGGAGACGATGAAGGTCCAAGGTGCTCCTGGAAGTGGCAATATCCGTGGTATCGGTGCCGACAAGCGCGTGGAGGACAAGCAGATTGGTGATCATGGCCAACTGCAAGGTACGCCGAATCATGCCATCACTACCAAAACATCTTTAGCTGACCACCAATAGTCTTTCAACTTTCTGCCCAGTTCCCTGGTCCGACCGCCCCGCGAGACTTTGTGACTCTTCTTCTGACTTCCGAGACCTCCGTGAAACCCACCCAAGGATCCCGGCCCCTCCGACAGTACATGATAGTCTCAAAACCTTGCGAGCACCCCGAGTGTCCTCCCCGCCAGGGCATTATCCGTGGCTACTACGAATCAGTCGAAGTAATTCGTGAAGTCCCAGTCGACAACTTTGCCTCTAAGAGATCCCTGTCGTCGGCCGATCTCCTGAATCGAGACGAGGGGAGGATAGCAAGCCCAAAACCTGGCAGCGAGGGCCACGGTTCAATGCCACTCGACGAACCTGCCACGGCTGTCGAATGGCTCATGGTGACTCGTAGTGACCCTGGCGGCAGCGTCCCGCGCTTTCTTATCGAGAAGGGGACACCACCAGGCATCGTGGGTGATGCTGGCAAGTTCCTTAAGTGGGTGACGTCGAAGGCTATGCATGGATTTGCTGAGCCGGAAGAGACTGGCGAAGCAAATAAGACTACTGACGTCACTGAAGAATCTATAACGAACGATGCAAAGTCCACGGCTCCGCCGAACCCTACTGCTAATCTTGAAAACACCAAGGCTGAAACTGCCATGTCTCCAAACCAAGACGACCCTTTCCCGGGCAGTAATGGGCTGTATGGTGTCATAGCTGGTGCTATAGGGGCTGCCAGTTCCTATATTCCTACAAGCCTGCTCAAGACCTGGGGAACTGGTTCTGATTTCGTGTCCACTGATGGGAGTGTGTCCGACACTCACGCGATTGCTGAGGAGCAACATGATGACGATAGCGACACCTCCTCCATCAGAAGCTTTGCGTCAGCCCTTGAGAAGAGTGTGACTGCCGAGAACAAATCCCCTGATAGTCTTGTTGAGTCCCAATCGGAGACTTCCCGCTCCAACCCGCAGCAATCACAGCAGTCACTAGCCGATAAGGAACTCAAGAAGCTCGAACAAAAGAAGAAAAAGCTTGATGAGAAGATGGCTCGTCTTGAGGAGCGGCGACAGAGCAAGCTTCTTGGGGACAAGGAGAAGGACGCTGCTACACTGGCCAAGTTGCGTGAGAAGCATGAAAAGGAGGTGGCTAAGCAGGAAGAGAAGTATCGCCGCGAGATGCGCAAGCTCGAGGAGAAACGTGAGCGGGACCAGCGTAAGGCTGAAGAGCGACGTCGCAAAGCAGCCGAGCAGGAAGAGAAGAACAACCTCTCACTTGAACTTGAGCGCATTCGTGCAGAGCGAGATGTTGCTCGTCGTCAGATCGAGCTCCTTGAAGGACAGGTTGGCGAGTTGCAGGCACAGAATACGATGCTTGTCCGCAAGCTTGGTAAGAACGGGCTGCTGGACAGTCCAGGTTCTCCATCACCGTCCATTAAGAGCATTCAAAGAGCCCACACAGAAGTTTGAGATACCATGTTGGAAAGTATTGACTTAGTCAGGAGAGGAAAGGGGGGGGGAGTTGCTCATAAAAACTACTATTATTCACATACCGCACACGTGTTACGGCCGTTATTCTACTGCGAGGCGTCAGGGGAGCTCGTTTTTCAATAAATCATGAATAGCATTAAATCATTACTTTTCTCTTTTCTTGTTTTACTTGCAGGCTTATCTCTTTGTTTGTGAAGTTTCCTAGAAAGACTGTAACAAAAGACCTGACATATGTCCCAGGCCGTCTTGCACAACACTGCCTGACTTGTTGATCCTCTCACAGAGACCAGAATCAGGCTGTTTTCTTGCTATCGCTGCGGAAGCACGAACAACCCGTGATAAGATGGCGAAGACCTCAGGTTTTGACGCATATCCAAGAGGTCCGTCTTCTTGGCTCGCGAGATTCTGCATTGCTTCTAACCCGGCACTGGTCCATGTCGTAAGTGAGTCGAGAGAAGGGTCATTAGACTCCCATGTCAGGTTCTCGTAGAGAGCAATCCAGCGCTGTGTCTCTCTGACCTCATCCACGAACAAGTTCTGCTCCTCAATGACAAAGAGTGAATCATCAAACTTCATTGCCTCCTGCAGCTGGTCCTGAATAGAGACCGCGTTGTTCTTGGGGGTTGGGTACCGAGAGTCACCCATGATCCGGCGCACAACGACCTGGCGGAACGTTGGGCTACCAGCGTAGTGCTGGGCTAGCCATAAGAGAAGACGATTTGCCGCTTCGATAGGTACAAGAGCTTTACCTAGAATGCTCTGGACTGCTGCGGATCCCACGTCTCGAATATCGTCGTCGTCATCGTTGAGGGAGTCATAGAGAGCGAGGATAGCTGCAATGTGTTCTTCTTGAGTCCATGGTTGGCCTACCTCAATGATGGAAAAGAATGAGCAGAGTGATTCGACTGTAGCGAGACGAGTATCAAAATCCTGAAAAGGTTTTAGTGGTCAAAGATCGTATATCACTGGCTTCCCCTTCACTCACCTTGTCATCCAGACCGGCATCGGCCATCATATGTCCCCAGTTCTTGATTCCCTCTGGGGTGACAACCTGTGCTCTACTGAGGATGGCGATGATACAGCCACTGATTCTGATTACCGCGTTGGCAAGGGCTGGGTTGATAGAACTCAGTGGCAGGCTGCTCCAAACCTCCAGAAGCAGATCCGGTGAAACGAGGCTGATATTTCCACTCTTTAGAACCTGGTCCAGGATCTCTGTGAGGTTCTGCAGAGCAATAACACGAGGCTCAACGGGTCCAATCTTGACACAAACATCGCGGTACAGGTTGCAGAACTTGCCCACGTCTTGCTCTGAGAGGCGAGAAATGTCCCAAAGCTTAGGAACTGTCTCAAGGCCAGCCACTATCGTGTTGACGCCCATGGTCTTGCTCAGGAATAAGGTGTTGAGGTTTTCGATGGGGCCACTACCCTCGGCGATGGAGTGGACTTCGTGGATTACCCTCTGTGCCCTGAGTAGAGCCCCCTCTCGGTTGTTGGAGGTAGGGAATTCGAGTTGGATAGGATCAATTGACCCGGGCCTGGGGAGAGCTCGTACAAGATTTGCGACCTCAAGATACGCGGCAGGAATTTCAGGTGAGTCCAAGGCCTGGATTTCGCGCCAGTACTCAATGAGAAAACCGGAGAGCTTGGGGATGTCGTCTGTATAGTACGTGTTAGCGGATTTTCTAATTTGTCGATACAGTCTTTCTCACGTTGCAACTGCTCAGGCATAACCTCGCTCAACCGATCAACGATATACTTTAGTGCCAGCAGAACGCCATGGACATGGTTCTGAACATTCCCGATTTGAGAGCGAACAGACTCAGCGGCAATACTGGTGATAGTATCGAGCCATTTAGCGTGCAGGAGACACGAGCATAGAGTTCGGGCTGCAATCTCGCGGACGTGCCACACCGGGCTGGCTAGATACTTTGCGATATGTATCTGAAGCTCTTCACGAAGTACCTCAGGGGGACCGGCTCTTCGAATGATGTCAAGGGCTGGGAAGACTGACTCGGCCGCAGCTGAACTGGCAGCAATGGACGCCATCATCTGGTGGCCTGACTTCAGAAGGTGGAGGAGAGTCCTTGGAAGGGAAGGGTATCGGTGGTAGGCGATCCGGTTGGCTTTACCATCCCAGCCTGCTTCCATGAGTGCTTTGCTCTGATGGGATCCAAAGAGACAGTCAATGAGACTTCGGAGTAGAATCAAGCCGCAGTTACGGATGGCCCATAGTTCAGACTTGAGGCCATTGGCTGCCAGCTCGAGGCACTGCGGTAAGAATTTCTCAGACTTGTTGCCCATGGCTGTCAAGTAGGAGCTCTTGAAGATCTCCTTCAGGCAATTATAAGCATGGACCTGGGGCAGATTCGAACCGTCTGTCTCAGTGACGCGGGCTTCTTGGCTGGCGATCTCCATGAGCTTGTTCATGACTTGTTCAAAGGAAGGATTAGGCGCATTGGCGGATAAGACGCCTGTCATCATGGCAGGGATACCGGCAGATCGCCGAGTGGTCGATACCTGAGCGTTGATGGCTTCTAACGTGCCCTACTTTTGGTCAGTTCCCAACCTTCTATTCCATATCTTGTAGAGTATACGTTTTGAAAATGTAGTGACTCAGCAGGTAGATAGTTAACTTACCGCATACCACTGCTCAAGAAGAGTAGTACCACCCTCAGCGCCAGCTTTAGCTTGGTCTAGGTGCTTAACAAGTTGGCAGCATGTAGAGAAAGTAAGGGCGACGGTCGTAAAAGCGCCGCGGTGTCTTAGACTGGCTAGTTGGGTAAAGGATAAGTTCCCTATTCTTTCATAAGCTTTCTTTGACGGGCAGATTCTGCCTTGGCGGGAGTGTTGCTTGATAGAGAGGATAATGATGCGCATAAGATTGCTACTTTTTTTTAGTTGAAGCAATACTCAAAGTCATTGATTGACTTACCTGGCTTCATGTACAGATCGGAAGCTGTAGCTCAACACATCTTTGGTGTCAAGTCCATCAACCTCTTCTAGCTCCTGGGGCAAATGGCCTTCGGGCGAGTCATCACAGAGAATGTCGCGGACTGCTGCCCAGACTCTTTCGCAGCAAGTGACTAGAGCGTCTTGCAGAGCCTGTACGGACTGTAACTCGCCTTCAGAAAACTGAAGCTCTGAAACCACCTGCCACATGTAGCACAGGGAAGCAAAATCACCGTGCAGCGGCGCATCTAGAACCGCTCTGCCGAGATCCTTCTCGGCGACTACTAGCCTCGCTTCCAGGCCTCCTATCAGCTTTGAAAGAAGTGCGACTCGATGTTGCTCATTTTCAGCGAGCCTATACAGTAGCTGAGATACTCTAGCGACACCGTCTGAATGATCAGCTCGAGCAGTCTTGCGAGCAAGCTCTTCAGTCCGTCTCAGAAGTTCTGTAAGCTCTTCGGTGGGATTTGGTTTGCCTTGCTGGGCCATCAGGTAGAAGTTCCTGTACCGGCTATCCGAAAAAATCCATCTGAGTACCGTGGCAGCATGACTTCGAATGTCATCAAAGGGATCCATGATCAGGTCAGACAAAGCTCGGAGCCATGAGCTGCCAAACTGATCAAAGAATAGTGTCTGGTCATCTGCAGTCTCCCACGTTTTGGACTTTTCTCCTTCCATTCGAAGAATGAAAGTGACGGCCTTGAGAGAAGCACTATGTCGCTGATAAGAAGCAGTAGGTGTTAGCTCACTACACAAGAAGCCAATGTACCAGAATAGGAACTTCTCGTGATACTCCAGGCAGTGCACCAGTTGAGCTTCGGGGAGAGATATAAGGTTGGTCCGATAAAGGATATGTTGCTCCTGGACCTGGCCTGGCTGTTCCTTTTGCTTACGGGCGGCGGCTCTTGGGATGCTCTTCTTGAGCACGAAGATGGCACCCCTGACCCTTCTGAACATGTCTCGAACCTTTCCGGCTACTTCATTTCTGAACTTGGCATCTGAATCGGCAAAGTATGTGGCGAGATGCTTGCGGAGTAGGTCAAGGGCTGTGGATGAATATGGCCTTGTCGTTGATGGAGAGCTCATGAGTAGTGAAAGTGCGAGAGAGCGAACTTCGTGAGATGGATGGGCCAGGACACTCTCTAGAACCTTCTCGTCGAGCACAATCGATGAGTCGCTATTGGCAGATTTATCATCGCCGAGTGCTGTTGCAAATTAGCAGGCGTTAGGATATGTTCATTTGGTGCCTTACCGGGCTCTTCTACTAAGCCAACCTTCTTGCCGATCTCTAACGCTGCCAGCTGTAGCAGAGCCGGGAGATTGATATCTATCTCATGACCTGCAGAGACAGCCTCATGTTCATTCATTCTCTTCAAGAAACCCAGGGCTTCAGACTTATCCGCCTTGAACAGAGGGAGGAAGATATAGTTTTTGGCTGGTTCTAGAATGGATGGCTCCTCGTTTATGGCCTCAAGCAGCCATCTGTGCCAAGTCTCAATGCTCAACTGTCCTGAAGTTTCTCGTTGGTCTTGGCTTCTAAGACCGCGGTATACGCAGACAATAAACCTTCCAGCAGTAGGGCAGACAAAGTGAAGCGTCATCCAATGGAACAATTCAAAAATGAAAGACTTCCAGACTTCCAAGGGGTTTTTTGATGTGTCCTTTTGTTGAAGAGTGACATAGCTGGACCGTATCTCATCCAGGGTGACAATGTCCTTGGCAAGGAGATGGTCCAATGCCTTTATAGCAGATTTGGCCAGCGGTTTTGATGATTTCCCAGTCACAATCGAGACAAGATTGTCCAAGATGGTAGACTTGGTTTCTTGGCCAGTTTTCTCATCCGGATTCCTCCTGATGAGCTGAGGGAGCAGGTCGAGAACCAGTTTCATTGACCGATGGTTGTCTGACTCGTTCCATTCAACATAAAAATTGAAGAGTTGTATAGTAACATCCCTAGAATAGGCCCAGAGTTTGAGACTCTGTGACTGCGATTTTGACGACTGCTCAACAAAACCGCAGAGTTTCACGCATGAGTTGCCTGAAGCACCTCTTGGCTGAGAAGCACTTTCGAGGAGTCTTGTGAATATCGATTGGGCCCAACTACAGATAAAGTTTCTTTAGGATATTTACATGAGAACGAAATCGGAGGAATTGCGCACCTTGACTGTTCTTCACTTGACTGTTCCTCGACCCATTTAGAGATGTGATTCGAGTTGGCGATTAAGTCGTCAACCTGTTGAGCCGTGTCTTTCATCTTGATGGGTTTTGAAGAGCGTGGATACGACGACTTGTAATTTCGACGTCGTATTTCAGACAAAGACAATTACCAAGGAAACTGGCCGGTACTTAACTTGGTTCATAAATCTACCACGCCTTGAAGCCGTCGTCAAAGCTTGATCTCTTCGACAACCTAAAGTGCCATAGGTTAGGTAGGTACTTACCTTAGGTACACCTTCGATGAGATATCACGTGAAGGATCCCGTGAGAAAATTTTGCCCTGGAAGGCGCCCCACCTTCCGTCGGGGCGCACTTTCTAATTTTGCACCAAAAATCAACTGCGCTCAGAATTTCTGATTTCCTAACCCAACTCGCCCTGACCACCATTAGATTATACAGCTATCTATTGGGAGACTGTCAAGATGTCGAAGATCACAGTCGGTACGATATATCCCGGAGGAGACTGAACTCACACGAGGAGTTACAGTACAATAACAAGACACCGCAAGAATGCTAACGGCGATGCAGCTAATGTCCGGACGCAAGTCGGAGAGCTCTTGGAGTACTCCAACGAGACCAAGAAGCGTAACTTCCTTGAGACTGTTGAGCTTCAGATCGGCCTGAAGAACTATGACCCTCAGCGTGACAAGCGTTTCTCTGGCACCATCCGCCTGCCCTCCATCCCCCGACCCAACATGTCCATCTGGTACGGCCGAAGAATCGACAGAGCCAAGAGAATTGGAGGCTAACAAATTGACAGCATTCTCGGTGACCAGCACGATATCGATCGTGCCAAGCACGGTGGTGTTGACGCCATGTCCGCTGATGACTTGAAGAAGCTCAACAAGAACAAGAAGCTCATCAAGAAGCTTGCCCGCAAGTACGACGCCTTCGTTGCCTCCGAGGCTCTCATCAAGCAGATCCCCCGTCTCTTGGGTCCTGGTCTGTCCAAGGCCGGCAAGTTCCCCACTCCCGTCTCTCACGCCGACGACCTGACTGGCCGCATCAACGAGGTCAAGTCCACCATCAAGTTCCAGCTCAAGAAGGTTCTCTGCATGGGTGTCGCCGTCGGCAACGTCGAGATGACACAGGAGCAGCTCGTCGCCAACATCATGCTGGCCATCAACTACCTCGTCTCTCTTCTCAAGAAGGGCTGGCAGAACGTTGGAAGCCTTACCATCAAGGCTTCCATGTCTCCCCCCAAGCGCCTGTACTAAGCGTGTTTCTTTAGCCTCTGCCTGAGATGGCTTGGCAATCGTGTTCACTGAAATGTGGACTGCAGCTTAGACTAGGATGGCAGGAAAAATAAACACAATGAGACAAATGTGCTTTTCAAACGTGATTGTCAACTGACCCATCAAAAACCTGGATGAATATGTACAATGGAGATGGTGGAGAGTAATTAGACTCCAAGTTAACCTATCATTGTCTGCATCGCCAAGCTCAATGTTTTGCAGGGCAACACCATGAATGCCGGGATTACAACTATCGCCGGTTGCAAATTTACGGCACTACAGGCCCTATGGGGCTATCAATGACGTGACTGGCTTTCTTTAAGTCAACTCAATTTCCAGTTCATTAGCTGCGAGGAGATGTGAGCAGGGTTTCTTCCAAGCGAAGCGAATTGGTGGGGGGGAAGGAATCAGCTTTTCGAATGAAAGATGATTACAATTACCACAGGTGGAATCATGGAAACCGAACGTTTAATGACCTTATCCCATAAAGCCGAGAAAATTGGAACGTCATTAATGATTTCTATTTCATAAGCGACAAAGAAAATTCGACAAAGCAGTCATGCCCCCCCTTTTTTTTTCTCTAATTTGGGCAGCTTTTTGTTACTCTCCAGGCGACGAGGCCCCGTCGCCCAATAACCCTGGCCAGGGTGTCCCAAACGCCGTCGTCGCCAAAATCCAGATCATCCAGGTTCAGGTGTTTCCTGTAACGCCATACCTCTCTAAATCGTAGCCCCTCTAAGCCCTTGTTGGACAGGTAGGGATCTAACCATGTCGCTGATGCCGGGGCGATCAGATATGTACCGTTCTTCTCCTTCAGATACTCCTGGTTTCGTCTGTCGGCGGGAGTGTCGCATGTGGCGAGTCCGTAGAGTTGCTCAAGTAGCACCTCACCCTTGAGACCCATAACGTCTCGCGTGGTCAGGAACTCATTCTTGCCATTAAGAAGCCAGATTGGCGGTGTATATGTCTTCCACCAGATAGCTTGGGTGGCATCTGGTTGCTGACTCAGGAAGACCTGTCCCGGCACCACACCTCCCTGATGGTAGATACCCATCAACGAGCCGAGGACGAGGTTAAACCCGATCCAAACTGCCGTAAAGCCGTAGAGTATTGTTTGGTTTCGGGGCATGCGAATTGACGAAAGAAATAGTGGTACCGTAGGGAGCAAGAATCTCGCCTCCTGATGTTGAAACGCCGATAGTACCACCAAACCAGACACTGCCGACCAGAGTCGGATTGACAGTTTGGGTCTGATTATCAACAAAGCTGCAGCTGGGCCCAGCAGCAACGGCAAATTCCCCACCAAATGCTGGTACCAAGGATGAAGGCCATGCTGCGCCAGGTTCTCGGTTGCTGAGTTATACTTGAAGTTGTTCAGAGGAGTGATTACAGGTTTATGGATCAGGTCGGTCCATGTGATGGGACCTGGCAGGTAAAACGCGGTGTCCAGACCGATGGCAATGACAGTTGTCAGTGCCGCAGCTAACGTCAAGTATACGAGAGACGTAGGCCTGTGGATGTGTTAGCTTGTTCATGCATTTCCGCGCCAAGCGCAAATAGGGTGACTCACCTCTTCCAGAACACAGGGAGCAGTCGAAGCCCAGGAACAACAAGAAATGCTGGAAACGTGATTCGATTGAATACACCGAATACTCCAACTATTCCAAGCACTGTGGCAGATAAAACACATGACCGCTGCTGTGTGTCGAATTTGAAGTCAGCTGATAGTCTTATCAGTGGTAATGGTGTGCAAGTAACGTACCCGTGGATCAGCGACTCGCTGGATCAGAACGAGACTCCACGCAACAACGAGCGTCTCTACCGAGTTGGAGAACGTGTGCGTCTGATAGGTCCAGGTCACGTAGGACGAGGCGACAAGGAGAACGGCAACACGGCGATGCTTCGGTGACGGGATCAACTCATGCAACGCCCAATCTTCAAGAACAAAGCTGATGACAAACATGAGAACGCGCAGAGTCCAGAAAACCGCAATAGGTGGGATCTCTCCGTCTTTGCCGTTACCGATCCATAGCCACCGCAAGAGGAGCATAGGAAGACCATAGACGGGCCATAGTGGGAAAACACTACGGATAGGGTTCTCGCTTGTAAATTCCCAAGTGTGTCGAACGGGATAACTAAAAATTTGGCCTGGCGCGAATTAGCAGCTGGACTCGTAGTGGCAGTCTGCATGAACAGAGAGGGCATCAAAGTGCATCATCTGGACATGCAGGCATTTCAACAAGAGAGCAACTGGGAGCTGGCGCAGAAGAACATACCAGCTATGACCTCGGGCCCTTGGAAGTTCTCGTCCGGGTGTAAATAACTGGGTGATAGCGCAAACCACAGCCTTATGAGGACGAGCGTGAGATATGTGCGTCGCCACATAGTTGATCTTAGCAGCTGTGAATCGGGAGAGCAATCATGAGCTTAGTTTCGAGGGAAAAAGGCATCGAATGTCCGCATAAACAAAGACCGAATGTGAGCGCTTCGACTCGATGCGCTCCTATAGCTGGCGCTCCAGTGTCGCAATCGCAAAGTGGGGGAAGTAGAGAAAAGTGTCAATATTTCGCCGGTCGCAGGAGATTCGAGCTAAGCAGAGTAAATCCGGATCGTTGTGCGCCGCTGATATGTACGTCGTATGCTGTTGGAAGAGTTTCGAGTCGTGGGGGTGGAAAGGGAAGATGGAAGGTTTATGATGGTCTATTATTAGATCGACGAATATGCGAGACACTCCCCTAGGTCAGGAAAGAATTTATAGGAAGAGAAGAGACAAGGAACCAAAACAAGAATGGAAGAGGAAATGCGAGAATGATGTATGTATGGGTAGGTGGTGTAGGTGAAGGTGAAGCAAGGTATGGAGGTCATGTTCCGTTTAAGTGAGTGACACCCACCCCCCACCAGAGACAGACAGATCCATGAGATATGGATTTATTCGCCCACCGAGTTCAACAACAGGACATTGATGAATTGGACTGGCTCAAAGCGAGGGGCCACTTCATGGATCAAGGATCAGCAACCAAATCTCATCAGGAATGATCAGCACAGAAGCTCGACTCGACTCGTCTCGAGAGCCCAAGCTATTAATGGACAGGGCCCAAGGGGAAACATTTCAAGCCCAGGGGGAGCGCCAGCTTACAACGTGGCCAGTGGGAGACGACGCCGTGATCCGGGATTGGCGGCACTAGCTGGATCCCAAGGCTAGGGGAAGGGACTGACGATGATGAGGTCGGGTGGGTGGGCATTTGGAAAAGGTCCACTGCGTCCGCTAGAAGCTTTTTTCTTTTAGGGGCTTGGGCTCCCTAGATTGACAAGACGGGACAGGGGGAGGCGATTTCTGGGGGAGGTTTGACAGACAGACGGACGAGCAGGCCTCCTGGAGCTCCGATCCAATATAATAATATCATTCTGGTTGAGCTCTTGGATCCATCCATGCTCGGTGACCTATGGCTGGGACAAGTGATTTATCAAGACATTCTTGTAATTCTATATCCCGGAACAAAATCAAGCTACCACGGTAACCTAAACGCCAGAATGATACCACGACGAGCGAGCGGCTCTGTTGATGGATGGATGGATGGACGGATGGACCTGGAGCTTCAATTCTAGGTATCCTGGCCAGCGCTAGGCCCATTGCAATCATTGATCTAATCATCGTGGCCGCTGATACGCCAGCTTCCAGCCACCAACGGGGACAATTACCACGAAGATGGTAATCTTGGAATTGAATCGGATGGCAATTAGTTAGTGGACAATTAATCAATGGCATGACCTTTTTTTTCTCACAGGCCTCCATGTCAACACGTGTTGGGTGGTGTCCTGTCTTCGACGTAGTACTCCCGTTCCACGAGTGACTCAGCGCCCACAGAGGGCAAAGAAAGTCGCATGATTGCAATGATATACCGTTGCAAGACAATGTCCATGCATTGCTGGCTGCCGGAAGCGAGCTCGAGTACGGATACTGCCGCGGGTCTGCAGAATGCTTTCAGAGGCTGTCAATCCAGGATTCGTGTACAAGATCATCCTACCGATGAGTTGGACCCCTCATGTACAATTTGGGGGTTCCATCAACTGTTGTTTATCTGGTGGGATGAGGGGAAAGGTGGGTTCAATGGCTGTGTTATGCATGCCACTAATGTCTTGAATGTGGTTTTATCTGTATATCGATGAGACATCACCGCCTTTGTTGTACGATGTTGAGAGCAACATCAACATCCCACTTGCAATACCGCCTCTATTCTTTGTGATGCTCCGCATGTCGAACCTGATGGTCTTTGCTGTTTATCACGGAATGGACACGGACCGTATACAAACACTGCCTGACCATGCTTGCGTTAACAGGCAAGCAACGAACAGTGTAGACCAATATCGCCCTTTCAGCACTGAAGATGGTTGAGAATCTTGCACGACCTTCTCATGATTTGTTGATCCACCTGAGCAACATGATCATGATTGTTCTCCTTTGCGGTGTTCGACTCAACAAAAGAAGCTTTGGGGATGGCCAGACGCCACGAAGTTAAGGGATGACAAGGTTGGTTCCAATGGGTAGTTGCTTTTGCACTGACGGTGTCTTGAAACCATTTGCCAACTCTTCTCTCCCTTGCTAAAGTTTGGGAATCATTAATGGTGCGTCCCCTCGTGACGATTCCATACTTACTTATCGCTGCAGTGTCCTTATCGTCTCGAGTTTGTTCATAGCACGGACAAGCATTGTGGCCTCAAATATATTCTGAGGTGCCTTGGGGAGTAGCTTGATACGCCGTCCGTGCCATTGCTGGCCGTGGACAAAAGAATGCAATGAGCTCGATCACACATATCTACCTGGGTAGGTAGGTGGTGTCTTGGAGCTTGGTGAAAGAAAGAAAGATGAAGAACCGGTTTGAATGTTCTGGTAGGATTCAGATGCGAACAAGCTCTGTGACTTGTAGTTATGAGTGTCCATTCAGGAAGCCTATTTGGAGTTGGAAAATAAGTGCAGTTTGTGTTTGGATGCTTAGACCTGGTATTAATGCGCCCAAGAATACATAGTAATACCGTGAATGAAGTATGTTTTCATTTCCCTCGTTTCTGCGTGTGTGTTTTGATTAAGTTTCGATCAAGAAGCAAATAATAGAAGTTCCCTAGAAGCTTAAATAATAGCAATGCGTACTTGGGTGTGAACAAAGCATTTATTGGTAGGACAAGTAGTATCTCGCACTTTGACCATATTAAACATTCAAATGACTATCTTCCTTTGTCCACTAACGATATGATAGTTCTCGAGCCGCCATTGAAACTCGCTCGCGCCTCGTAGGTTCGTGCCAACCATGACCTCTAACTTCAGGTTGCCGTCTGACTCTTTGTTAGGTAGTCTTTGAGGTTATTCCAGGTTCTCAAGGCAGCAGCAGCGCAGGTCCACTTCACTTCCTGTAGACCTTAGTACTTTGAGATTCACTGATATAAAAGGCTCGATTCCTCCCACCGAATTTGATTCCTCTACTCTCACAATCATCACAATCATCACAAACACTCTCGAAGACCACCAGTGTCAAGATCATTTCTTCATACTCAACACTCTTCTTCGGAATCCATTACTCTCCATCAACATCATCAACCCGCTTATCTTATCTGACTAAGCCCCATCTAAAAGAAAGGGTCCTCGAGTCTGATTCACAGCCCTGCCTCTAGGTACGTACGCGCTCACGTCGCTGGTTGAAGCACAAGGCACCCACCTCAGCCTACCTTTTACCCCGCCACAGTGATTGGTTTGTTGGTCGGCTGGTTTAGTACCTAGCCTCCGCTACCTACTTGCCTAGGTACCTAGCTGACTCCTCCAACTTCCATCATCACCCAAAAACAATCACGAATCCTCTCTTCACTTTCTCTCTGCAACCGGCAAATCTCTTACTCACATCACCAGTCACTCTAGCACGAACCACAAACATACCCAATATGTCCGAATCTACTTCTACACAGAAGGTCTGGCTGGCCTCCAATGACAGCGCCACCATCGAAGTCGGTAAGTTAAAGAGACACTCTGCGACGGTCTTGCTCATATTCCTAATTAACATCAACAGACCGCGTTGTTGCCGAACGATCCATGTTGATCAAGAACATGTTGGAAGACATCGGTGATGAGGGCATCAATGCTGAAAACCCTATTCCTATCCCCAACGTAAGTACTTCCATCAGTACTTGACTTTTTCACGACTGACATGTAATTCTTTAGGTGAACGAGGCCGTTCTTCGCAAGGTGATTGAGTGGTGCGACCACCACCGCAACGACCCCCTCCAGGCACAGGATGATGATTCCGACGCTCGCAAGAAGACCACCGATATCGAAGAGTGGGACCAAAAGTTCATGCAGGTCGATCAGGAGATGCTGTTCGAAATCATCCTCGTACGTCCACCCATTCCTATTCATCATATCATTGGAAAACTAACACTTCACGACAGGCATCCAACTACCTCGACATTAAGCCTCTTCTTGATGTCGGCTGCAAGACTGTTGCGAACATGATCAAGGGCAAGTCTCCCGAAGAGATCCGCAAGACTTTCAACATTACGAACGACTTCACTCCCGAGGAGGAGGAGCAGATCCGCCGTGAGAATGAGTGGGCTGAGGATCGTTAAGCTCCCGTTTGTGTATGATTAGGGATAGAGGTTGCGGGGAGGTACAAGTCGGACTGTGGCATGGATCGATCCTTGGGTCATGGGTCGCAGGAAACTTTCCTGTCGAGCCTTCTCAATCCAGGATCATATGAATCTTGATGAGTCACAGGGGTCGCATTTGGCGTTAAAGTTTGGTTTTCCGGGTTGCTTGGGCCAGTGTTTTGGCACGCTAGGAGCACAAATAGGATTGCTTATGGTAACATGATATTGTCCAAGGCAGGCTCTCTACGGGATGTAGCTCGTCTGGCAGTATTTGAACACGGGCTTCAAATCGTACCCTTGGACGCACCGGTAGAAAGTCATTTCGACTTAGTTTAGGACTTCAATTCATGATTGCCATTAAATCTGGGGTTATCAAGACGTTCAGTTACGCAGTGGTCAGTTCGAGGTCTGTGATGAATTCGTTGGCGAAAGTGAGGTTTGGGGCGTGATTCGTTCATTTGACTACTTGAAGGCTTGCATAACAGCATACAGTCTGCTGGTAATAAAGACGGCACACAAGAGCAAACATTTGCGTTGTCGTCGTTCACAGGCGAGGTAGACTGCATCCATGTAGTTCAGGCCCGTTTTCTTTTTTGGGGCATCAAAGTCTTTGCATTCCTTTTTCCCTATGACCGTCCGTGACATGCAGTAACCGCAATAATCGATAAACCAGGCAACCGGCCCATCGCCCCCGTGCGCACGCGCAGTGCAGTGCAGACACGGCCCCGTAGTTCAATTCACGCCACAACAATATCGTTCCTCCCCTTTTCCGTTCACATCAATCATCGTGATACCATGCCCAAGAGAGAAAAGTCGGGTGCTGGGCTCGGGGGCGGGTAACAGTTGAGGACCATCGGTTTAGATACCGATGCGGGTCTTGCGCCAATGCCTTCGCTTAGCGTTGTAGCTGTTCAGGAATGTTAGCCAAGGGTTACTCTGCTCGCGGGCGAACTGGTAGAGTCGTGAAATCGTCGTCTCGAAGGGGGACTCAAACGCACCGGATGGTGTTACCAGTTCGGAGGCGAATCCATTGAGGCACAGGGCGGTTCTGCTTCTGGGCCTTGGCAAGCTTCTGCTTGGTTCGGAAAGACTTGTGGCTCTGTGTGAAAAGGAATGATTAGCGATCCGGTGTCATGGGAGCAGAGCCCTCGAGAGATCGCAACTCATTCATCATCGACGGTGACGTGGCGGGAGACATATTCATTCGATGCAGAATTCCATCGTCGATGATGAGGAGAGCGAGAGCGTGCTTCCGAGGGCGATAGGTAGGGGCTGTCATACCGGCATGGTGACGGCGTTGATGGTCGAGTCGGTCAGTCGTTGCCAAATGGTGATAGAGTATCGAAATGCAGTACACTTGTTTCGAGGAATTTCGCTTCTAGGGTTAGGTTTTCACCCTCGATTCTGTGGGCGGCTGCTTAGTGGGGCATAGTGAGGTTGGTGCCTGAGGTTACAGTGTGAGTGAAGCGGGATGGTGGATGGTGCTGAGGTAAGCACTTTTGAGCTCGGCTCGTGACTCTTTAGCTGGAGCTCATGACAAAATTACACAGTAGCTCTGAAGGGTTTCAAGGCAAGCAGTGACTCGTTCAAGTAAGTGGGATCTCGTGAGTTGTCCACCTGAGGAAATTTTGTATCTTTTGTGAGAAGCATGATAACAACCAATTAATCGATCTGACTGATGTACAAGCTCTTGAGGTATATGTGGCTGCACAGATAATTCTCTTGAATAGGCGCCTATTAATGAAAACGCCTCTGTCTCAGGAGGTTCCAGAGCGCAAGACGTTGTAGATTCCAAGCAGCGGGAGCATCTCCAGGTTGCTAGGTCCACAGGGGTCACTATATGTTGAAGTGGCTCGATGTACCAACCGCTGATCGGTAAGTCATATTGATTACAAGACTTGATACATTTTCAATTCAAAGTTCGATGACTACCTATAGAGACTTGAAGGCCATGCACTGCCACATATCAACATCATCATATTACCTGGCGAATGGCTTACACCACAGACAGTCAAGAGACTCTTGTCTTGCAGGGGCTCAAGGCTGAGGTGGTTCGGGTTATTTTGTCAGGCGCTTGGACCAACCCAATGCCGCCAAAAAGAGCAACTTGTCCATGAGAGGCCGAGATGCATTAACTTAAAGGTCCAGAAAAGGGGACCTCTAATTACGTATCCCGTACTTTCTGTTCTACTTCACTGACTAAACACAAGTTGCACTTGTTGCCACGACATACGATAAACGAGTTTAATCCGTGTCCGGCACTTGACAGCCTAAACCGCCTCTTTTACATCGTCCTCTCCTTTGTCCAGGCGCCAGTGCAAGACGATACCTACCTCCCTATCTAAACGATCCAAGTCGCAGAACAGAACCAATAGCAGCACAAGATAAATAGGAGCTTCGAAGCCGTCGCAAGTTGTTCATCATGGGAAACTCAATGTCATGGTTCTCCAACCTACTGTTTGCGAAAAAGGAGATCAGAATATTGATTCTCGGTCTGGTAGGATGACGTCTATCCGACTATCGATCGTCTGGCCCGAGACGCTAACAAGGCGGCACCATAGGATAACGCTGGAAAGACAACATTGCTGTACCGACTCAAGGTTTGAATCTCCAGATATATACGCGCATGGTACATGCTAACCGGCGCTCAAGGTTGGCGAAGTTGTCACAACGATACCTACAATTGGCTTCAATGTCGAATCTGTCACATATAAGAACCTAAACTTTAACGTCTGGGTACGATCTCGACTTCTTCTGATCTCGAAACGGGCCGGAAATACTAATACGGGCGACCGCAGGATCTCGGCGGCCAAACAAGCATCCGACCTTACTGGCGGTGCTACTACGCCAACACAGCAGCTGTCATCTTTGTTGTGGACTCGACCGATATCGAGCGATTACACACCGCTTCAGAGGAGCTCTCGGCTATGCTGAACGAGGAGGAACTAAAGGATGCGGCCCTGCTGGTCTTTGCCAACAAGCAGGATCAACCAGGAGCCAAGGGCGCAGGTGAGATTTCAGAGGCATTGCGTCTGGGTGAGCTCCGCGACCGCAACTGGAGTATCATGGCCTGCTCAGCGGTCGATGGCAGCGGTGTGAATGAGGGCATGGATTGGCTTGTGGTGAGTTCTGCTATAATCCCGGACAACTGTTGAGGTGCTAATACCTGCGCTTCCAGCAAACTGTCAACCAGGACTGAGCTCGATGACGATTTCTTCTTCAGCCCCGGTTTGGCATTGTACAACAGACGAAATGAAATTATAGTACCACTTCCCGGTTCCATCACACCTTGGTAGACAGCGACCATAAGGGACAAGGGAAAGAAACGGATGGAGCAGATATCGGCGTCTTGGAAGAGAGAAGGTTTTTTCACTAAGAGATGAAAGGAATGAACAGCATGGGCGCGTTTCTCGAGGGAGGATATATGATAGTATAACTTTATAATGCTACAATCCGGGTCCGATTGAGTCCTGGCTATGATTCTCATGGATTTCTTGCAAGATTTTATTCGCGGGATATTTGATCCTGATACGAGGTGCGAACGATGTGACGGCTAGTGACTGAGGTACGACAGTCTTTGTAGAGGATACTAGTTACTAGAATAGTTTGATTCGGTGTCTTAGGAAGTGCCAGGTTCTTAAAAAGCTGATACGAGTCGGACTCACACCAGAGCTATCCTTCTGACCAGCTCAAAGAAAACTTCTCATTTCGAACTACTGATGAATATTCTACGTCATTTCATCTCCGAAATATCCTTCTTGCTGTGGAGTTTCCACTGATAGCTACTTGCTAGAGAGTAGTGGTTCTGAAGAATCGGAGTTGGTACTTGACGTGCCTGGGCAGCTCTAAGTGGTTCACCGAGGAGGTTTTCAACCTCAATGTATTGTTCCTGAGGGAGTGTCAGCACGATGTTTTCGTCTGAATAAGGAAAGTTGATAACATATGGACCATGGCTATGGTGTGTTTGTAGGGATGAGTTGAAAGGGGGGAATCATGAGCTGCTGAGTAGACATAGACTGAGAACACTGACCTTTCTAACATCTATCAACATACTCGGTGATACATGAGCATCAATAGGTTCGGTCACAATCGTTGCTTCTATCATCTCATCTGTAAGCTCCTGTCCATAAGCTGCAGCTGCGGCTTGTATTTCTTTCATGCCAGGCCGTATAACCTCGTCGACGAGGCCAGGACAAAGCTGCATATCACCAGTGTCTAGTCTTGTCAGAGCACCAACTGGATTGTAAACAGCATTATAGAGGAGCTTCTTCCATCGAGAGAAGGTGACGTTATCATCGTAGTGGCAAGTGCAGCGTCCTCCAGCATTGAAGCGTGCTACAAGATCCTTTGCTCGCTCAGCAGCGTTGCCAAAGTCTTCAAAGGGGCCAATACGCAGCTCATCGTGCAGATTGTGTTCGATGGTGCCAGATTTGGGCTCTGAGGAGCCACACATACTGATACCAGAGAGAATGATATTATCCGGAAATGCCTCTTGGACAGGAACTTGAATGTTAAGTCCATTCTGAAGGAGCAAGATGGTGGTGTATCCGGGAGTAACGGCAGGGCGTATAATATCAGCCACCGGAGTAGAGATAACTGGTATATTCTTGGTGGCACAGACAACGTAGTCGAAGGGTGAGATGCCGGACTTGGAGACATCAGGAATAGATGGTAGGACTGTATCAAGGTCAGTCGGTGGATGATGTGAGATTCGAAGTAACTTACTCTCAGTTGGCCTAAAGCCACGAATTTGACCATGATCTACAGAATTGATGGTGAATCCTCGCTCTTTGACTATTTGATAGCTTGAGCGCAGCACAGCTGTAACCTCAGCCCGGCCTCCGAACTCGAGGTTGAGGGCTGCTATACAGCCAATTCCCCCGCAACCGACGAGTAGGATTCTTGCCTTATCCATTGTGACTCTCTGATGTTGTCATCAATACTGAAAGAAAAGTTCAACCCAGAAGTATTGAGTTCCAGTATATCATGGTTGTCGAGAGGGCGCACATGCTGTATGCGGGGCCGGCTACGGACCGGTATCTAAGACATTTGACATGATTGGGCGACTACACAAAACGCAGAAGAATAGTAATAAGTAGCAGTATGTGGTTATACAGTTCAGTATAATATAGCTAAGATAAGTGCTGCTTGCAGAGCATTTAAAGAACGTCAGATTGGGAGATTGTCCAGATTGTGTGCCTGTGTCTGTGAAACGTTGACATCAGATGGAATACGATTATTTTGTCTTGCTCGGTTGATTATAATCCTTGTGACGTTGAACATGCTTTTTTTCTCTCGCAAACTAAACCTTGAGAGGACATCTATCACAAGACTTGCTACTATTACCGAGGATCTCTCTGTTTGATATAAGTTTACTCTCTTACGACCTTTCCCCTTTTGGAGCTTCCCCTCATTTTCCTATAGAGAGGAATGCCAGTTTATGGGTTGTTAGTTGCTTGCTACCTCTAGGCTCTAGGCTCTACCCCAGCTCGCCCAGTGACCCGGGTCACCTAAACTAGTCCCCTAGTGGCACGGGCCAGACGTTCTCTCTTCAACTGCTGGTCTCATACGTACATAAGTTGATGAATGTCTTGGTCTTGTGTGAAGCGAATGTGAGACAGAATCGTCTCAAACTCTCTCCTCGTCTAACTGCTTCCCTCATTTTGACCATCATCATATCATGACCGTTCCACAACCGATTTCTCCTCTTCCTCAGGCTCCTATTGCCACAGCTTTGCCCGATGCTCCACCAAACGACTTCTTCTCTCCTATTCAATGGGACGTCTTCTTTGCACTTGTCGACGGTGTCTTGCCCTCCATCACCTCAGAGTCTGATGTGACCGACGATCAGGGTCAGATTCAGCTTCCAGACCATGAAGTCAATGCTGTCCTCGATCGTAGTGCCGAGGCTCTGGCAGCCCCAGCCACTAGAGACAATATCCGTGCCTTTCTCCGTGATAGGCCTGTCAATGATGCTCGCTTTAGAGATAACCTCATGAGGACCCTGGCCATCTCCCCACCCGACCAACTCAAACGCCTTGCCGGGTTATTGAGCTTGATGTCGTGAGTACAACTAGACGGGTCATGTTTCCATTTGTTTCACGTCACTAAATTTATTTCTCAAGCACCCGTCCTGGTAGCTACTTCATCACCGGCTACTGGCAACCCATATACAACCAGCCGGCCCACGTCCGCGAAGCCATCCTCAAATCATGGGCCACATCTCCCAAAGAACGCTGGTCCACTCTGGCCAAAACGATGTCTGCCATGTCTTTCAAGGCATATTCTCAGACCAGTTCGGCTCTCTACGAGCTCTCGGGCTACTCAGATGCCCCCAAGGACTGGCAACCCAAGGAAACCTTCGAGTATGACTTTCTCCAGATCGAGCCGGGCGACGACGCACATGCCATCGAGACCGACGTTGTCATCATCGGTTCCGGCTGCGGCGGAGGTGTCTGTGCCAAGAATCTAGCAGAGGCTGGCCACAAAGTCATCGTCGTGGATAAGGCCTATCACTATCCCTCCACACACCTCCCCATGGCTCAAGATGCCGCCTGCTCTCATCTCTACGATAACGCAGGCTTCTTTATGACGGAAGACTCTGGTTGTACCGTCACTTCTGGCAGTGCATGGGGTGGAGGAGGTACCGTCAATTGGAGCGTATGTCTCAAGCCTCAAGACTTTGTGCGAGAGGAATGGGCGGATGAGGGCCTTCCTTTCTTCACATCCGCAGAGTTCGACGAGTGTCTAGACCGTGTGTGGGAGTTTCAAGGGGCTGGCACTGACCAGATACGCCACAATCACCGAAACAGAGTCCTCTTAAATGGCTCAAGCAAGCTCGGCTGGACGGCACGTCCAGCTCCTGTCAACACGGGAGGTAGGGAGCACTTCTGCGGCCAGTGTCACCTTGGCTGTGGTCTGGCCGAAAAGCGAGGGCCAGCTGTGAGCTGGTTGCCGGATGCTGCCAAGGCTGGCGCTCAGTTCATGGAAGGATTTCAGGTCGACAAGATCCTGTTTGATTATGACGGGCAGACTGCCATTGGCATCGAGGGGGAGTGGGTGTCGAGAGATAGTGCAGGAGACATGAGTGATTCGAACAACAGAATCAAGAGACGGGTCAGAGTCAGGGCCAAGAAGGTGATCCTTGCAGCCGGCTCATTATGGAGCCCGATCGTCCTCAAGAACAGCGGTATTACTGTGCGTGCCCCTATCAGCAGTGAATAGAGGTTATTGGCTAACTCGTCTAGAATCCGAATGTGGGAGCTAATTTGCACCTTCATCCTTGCAACTTCGTCACAGCAGTATGGAAGGAAGAAACGATACCTTGGGAGGGAGGCATTATCACCAGCTACTGTCCCCAGTTTGACAACGTCGACGGTACTGGATACGGAACGAAGCTGGAGACGACGTGCATGGTGGTGAGTAACAAATCCAGTACTGTCGTCGAATCATCCTAACTCGTCATAGCCATTCACAATCCTGTCGCAGCCATCATGGACCAGCGGCCTAGATGCAAAACTCCATATGACAAAGTTGCGTCACATGAACGCCTGGATATCGTTGACCAGAGATCGTGACGCAGGCAGCGTCTTTCCAGACCCTACGACTGGTCGACCTCGCATTGACTATACTCCCTCGGACTTTGATCGAGCCCATACCATCCAGGGAGTGGAGGCTCTGGCCAAGATCTGCTATGTCACGGGAGCAGTCGAGATACGTCCTCTTCTCAAGGGTCTGGAGCCCTTTGTGCGCAGGGGAGAGGCGTCCTCGGAGCATTCGCTCGACTCCAACGGCTCAGTGGCCGATCCAGAGACTACCGACCCAGCCTTTGCCACCTGGCTCGACCGCGTCCGCGAAGTGGGCAACAAACCACCGACAGCCCCTTGGAGCTCAGCCCATCAGATGGGCACGTGCCGTATGAGCGCGAGCAGCGACGAGGGCGTGGTTGACGAGAAGGGGAGGGTCTGGGGCACGGATAACCTGTACGTCGCAGATGGAAGCGTGTTTCCCAGTGCCAGTGGCGTGAATCCCATGATCACCATTATGGCCATTGCGGATTGGATATCACGCGGCGTGGACGCAGACCTGAGGGCGTGACGGATAGTGATTGTGATATGGCAAGATAGCAGAAGCGATATAGCTGTAGCTGTATCTGTGTGTAATGTCATTGTTATCCTATCAATGACTGGACGTTATCTCCCGAGAGACATGCAAGGGATTTGATAGAGCCATAGCCGACGGTACAGTACAATACCTTGGCTGGTCTTCGAGTCCGCATTAGTCAACTTGCCCCTGAACACCGCATTTCCTAGCAACGAAGTGCCATTAACTCGTAAACAAGGACTAGTGAAGGCTTTGCTTCCGTCGGCAATTCTTGGATTCGTTGGTGCTTGAGAACTAGGCAACCCTCAAACCAGCAGACTTTGAAAAAGTAACTATCGGCGTTTCAAGAGCCCTAGCCCGTACCCAAGGGAGCGGTTGCTGGTGCCACGTCTTGGATGGAGCTTCAAGTGAGGCTCTCAACGGTCTTGGGGTTCTCGGTAGCACCGGTAGCGTAGGCCTCCTGCCTTTTGAGAGGATTAAGGCTCCAGTGCGGGGAACGGCACGCCACAAGCGAGCACAGCCACCCGGAGATCTGCAAGCCACGTCCGACTTTAATCCAATGCCGGGCCAGGATGAGTAGCATTAGTGAGTGAGTTGTGCTCAGCTGTTCAAGGGACAATTGACAAGCGATGTCGCTGTCACTGTCACTATTATGTTTGTGAGTCAAGATGACGCTTTGAAGATTAGATGTGAGATTGATTCAGATATCGACGTCATGCTTCGATCAATGGCTGCCATCGTTGTAATTCCCAACACAAAAGTGACAAGCAGGGGTATACGAGGTTGGAATTTTTATAGTAGCTGTTTGTGGTTTACAGAATTTAGAGTATCTCAAGATACAACAACAAATCGATCAATATGAGTTCCGATATACATGCCTTAGTCTTTTGGTGCTATTCGAATACCACTTCAGCCCTGTCTAGGTACGCACTGAACCTAAGATCTACGACAGCCACAAGCACTGGCACTCGTAGAAGCCTGGGAGTGTCTGTAGTATTAGTGATTAGCCGTCAGATTTCTTCAATGCCATCCTGTGCTTTCCGTCAAGCATGTTATCAAGCTGTATGCGAAAATACTTTGTCGTTGACTAACAAAGTCGGTAAGGGAAAATGCGGGTCAATCTCCCAATCTTTCAAACTCATGCCGGGGGCATTTCCTAATTAGGATCGATATCCTTGACATTTCAGCCACTTTACGGACTTGTCCGCCAAGTGGCCGGTCGGCTTGAGTGGGTCCTTTTGGCCGTCATCGGGTCCGCGCCGCTCCGGCCTCTCAATACTAGCAAACTTAGCAAACCCATTAAAATTCATCATTGATGTTCGAATTTTGAAATTCACGTTATTTTTGGTAACATTGATCTGCATTCCCAGAGTTTAAAACCAGTGAATCGGGGCTAGTAGTACGGAAATACCAATTTACAAAGAAAGTTTATCCCGGGCGTAGGTAGTCGTGTAACTTGGCATTTCTCCTACCCTAGAAACACGGATGATGAAGTCAATACCTTTTCACAACCAAATAGCTATGGCCACAATTGAGAGGGCGAAGGGCATGGCCGCATGGCTAGTTGCAGGACTACGTTCCAGCTGATCAAGCTATCGAGCAGGTCACTGGGCGAACATACGCTGCGAGGCTTCATGTAGTCATGTCTGACCATGTATCAATCTCGCCAACCCGAACTGCCATGTATCTAAGCAAAACCATAAAGCGAGCCGTGCTCTGTGAACCCCGTGACTATCCAGCGACGTCACCTCGGCATGACAGTTTTCCGATGGCGGCCCCAGGGAGCAGAGAAACTTCTGACCCTGGATCGAGGTGCCGGAAATAACCAGTTGAAAGACTAACCAAGTTATGCTGAACCTGCCTAAGTATTTTTGCCACTTAGGATAGAAGTCCTAGCTTTTTTTGCCTCACCCAGGGCGGCTACAGAGACGTTGTGAAACCTGGGGTTCTAGCAGTCACACACTATTACAATGGTAGCGTACCGTATAGAGCCCATGAAACAAAATGCGACCTGACATTTCCATGTGACTTATGACGAATATAGGATAAAAGTCCTGCGGGCTACGAGTGAGCGACCACCTCTGAAGAACGGAAACGGGCTTCTCCGTCGCTTGCATTTCCCATGTGCCTGCGTGCATACATATTCATGCAGTATCAGGCCCTGTAGAGGAAAGGCAGAATTGAAGAATTGTAGATCCTCCGTCTTTAGATCTATCAAACTTCGATACTAGTAAATCAACGTAACATGCACCAGAAATACGTACCCAATAGCGACAAGCGCTTTTAAGTCCAAAAATAGTACAGGGTACCTACGAAGACTGCGCCACAATACCGGACTAGTGGCACACCTGGATCCATTTTCTAGGGTTCCTTGTTCTCTCTCTCTCTTTTTCCCAATACCACTGTCTTTTTCAGCACCTGGTATCGGTACTTTTCAGAAGGCACTTTGAAAGTTGCACGTGCATCTGCAGATTCTTTCTTCCCTTGGAGTCTTGGTTCCGGCGCGCGGCCGAGTGATCAGTGGATCCATCCAGCCAGCCATCCATCTTCGGACCCAAGCTCCAAGACATACTATGTACCTACACACTCACAGTCGGTGATTGACGTGCAATCAACCTCCTTTGACTACGCGTCTCTGAGCGCGTCGTATATATCATTCATTTCACCATCATCTAGTACTCATGGCCTGAGGCAAGGTCATTGGCCACGCGTTCATGTAAGGGTAGATTACCTGATGCTGTGATCCTTCTAGAACCGCACCACGAGCTCCAACAACAGGACGGAAAAGGGTGACCGGACCCCTTACCTATGCCATTTTCTCGAAGAATAAACAGGGGGTCACCTTGATATTGGGTCCTGGTGCCCGTTCTCTGGAATGCATCACGTCTCCAAAAGTCCGTAGCGGATCGGGCCAAGACGAGACAGGACAGCCCTTTTTTGACTCCGATGCAAACTCCTCACAAAGGGCCAGGCGCCTCCTGAAGAGATTATGGGCTTGTCAAAGTCACTCATATTCCACTTTGGGACTGGCTTTTACGTCGACTCCATGACCCTTTGCCTGGTCTTCCCAGCTCTCTTTGTCTTGAGCCATCTCTGAACGATGATTGGCTATAGAGACTTGGGCCGAGAAGTGCCCCTAGCTCTGATTGGTTCATATTGCTGAGACCTGAGCCAATCACAGACTGTAGGAGCACTTTCACGAGAGCCTCACCTCATGTCTGACACTAGCATGGATGACTCTTCTTCGTACCAGGACATCGACGGGCTCTCATTCCTCTCCAGTCTTTTGGGAGCCCCCCTGGCTCCTGATCTAGCCCCCGTGCTCCTTCCCTTTCCTCACATTTGGAGAAGTGTCCTCTCCTTTCTGGTATCCAGGCACAGAGTTTCCAAGATGCATGGATCATGTCCCTGGACTTTGGACTCTTGAAGCGACAGGATGAAGTTTCATGGCCAACCACATCGTGGGAAGCCTGTTTTCTCCTTAAAGACGAGACGGGAACGACGGGAGCGACCGCTACCTTATGGGACCCGAGCCGTTGAAGGTGAAGATACCCCTTAGATATCCATCAATGCTGAGGAAGAGGGCGGAGAACGGGGATCAGGGCTTGTCCTAGGGGCACAGAAGCACAGGGCTGCTTTGGTAGTCGTGATAGTGTAATTCCCTCACTTCCCAAGGCATGACCCGTCGAAAAATTCATGATAGTATTCACGGCAGGGGAATAGTGGCTCACATCACGGAGGCGGGTGTGATACTGGGAACTAAACCAACTACAGAATGCATGCAACTGCTTCGAAAAGCCGAGTATTCGTGCGTCTGCTACCTATCTAGTGCAAGTGCCATCTCATGCGTATGCGTATGCGCATGCAGGTCATCTCATAAGATGCTCCTGGACAAAGCGTCCGTTGAATCCCATTGACAGAATCGTAATGACATTGTTATTACCATCATTTCGCCAGCTGAAGATCCTGGGGCATCAGCCAGCCCCGAGCACAATATTGACGCTTGATCTCACCGAGCGTAGCGTCGATTAGGATGTGATGGACGAGTCGTGCGAGCTCCTCGAGTGGTAACTTGTGGGACGCGGGATACCGGAGCGCATGAATGTCTCTGCTCGCCCCATCTCACTGAGAGTGAGGGCACGAATGAGCGAAAACACCAGTGTCTTCTGTGGAAACGGCCAGATCCGCCCTCGAGGCTTTACTGAATTCTGAAGCCCGCATAAGCGGCGCTTCAAAGTTCCCCTCCTCAAAGGCTTCTATATGCTTGCGATGGTGGACTACGGAAACACTCGGCAGGCAGCGCAACAAAATATGCTGAAGGGCAAGGAGCCTACCACGTACGGGACTAGAATGAAACAGAGTGGGAGGACTCATCAACCATCGATCGGCCCAGGAGCAGGTCGCATAATTTTGCCATGAAGCGTACCGACCTGGGTGATCAGTCTGTTCTGGGTTTATGTGAGGGTGAAAGTGGCCTGCTAGCGAGGACTAAACACGAAGCTGCAGCAACATAACTTGTCACTTTTCAACTTTTTTCTGCTAATAAACTATCAAGTGTGGTTTCGTTAAAGGTCCATATCAGTTAGAGGAAGTATACTGCACAGGGGCCAGGCCTGGTCTCTGATCAAGGTGCGTACACGGACACATATAAACTAGACTGGTGGAAAGGACGGCATTGATAAGAGACCAGGATCAAAGACAGGGAATACGATGAAGCGCCGGCGTTTGTTTCGTTTCCTGTTTCCTGACAGGAGAGCGCCTAGGGCAGGGCATGGTCTAGGCGTTGAAGTGTGGTAAGACGTCAAATGGTGAGATTTGTGGGAGGGGGGAAGTGATATTGATTCATAGAGTCGAGATCAGATACTGCTTGAAGCCTGCTGTTCAATTGCCCAAGCTGTATTGCAACAATGATAAGGAGGTGTTTGATCCAAGAGACAGACTTTTGTGATGTGAGTGATGGGCAGGCTGGCTTAGAAGCAGGTACATGGACACAACAGCACTCCAAGTACTGGTACTTGAAGAGAACGCCACACCCACACAGCAAAAACCTCTTCCCAGTTTTTTTGCCCTACGTGAGTACCTAGACCAGGGTTTATTCACGCGCTGTGAGTCAATGCCAATGCCCTATAGACTATAGCAACAGTCTGAGAAAGGAAAAAAAAAACCGATTGTTTTGTGCCGTCTGCTTGCATTCTTTCAGCTGTCAAGGTATCCATGGATAGGATGCTACAGACTCTCAGCGTACGATACGCAAGGTACAGCAAGTATTGCCTCTTGGGTAAGCCAGCATATGCAGGTCAACACAGCCGCACGCCTCCTCCGAGCAAACATGCAGAACCTGACCTGAATATTGCACACCCTCCGAGACACCCCGGACATGGTCAGTGTGCCGTGCAGCTGCAGATGCATCGCAGATGTGGAAGAGGCCAAAGAGTCAGTCAGGCTTACGCTGCCCGGGGCGGGCTTGGAGGTCGGTGCCCGTCATGACCTGTAAGGTGACTTGGTGAGTGAGGTGGCTTGGCTCCCTCCAACAGTGGGCCGCCGCCTATAGCCACTTCACTAGAATACTAAATACAGGGCTGCCTTTTAGCTCATCAGTCCCCGCTCCGACTTCACCGGCACCAGCACCACCAGCGGCTTTTAAGTTACCCACCACCACCACCACCTACTACCCAACCCCAAAGTATATCATCTCCCCACACCACCTGCACCCTCCATTTCCCCTTCCCTCTTCTTCTTCCTTCTTTACGAGCAATTCGTCCTACGTTCTCTTTCTTCTTACTCGGTTGCGGCAGCTTAGCAGGCGATTTCACCTCAAAAGATCAGACAAGATAATATTATAGTACCGCCATCAACCTCTACTATCCTATCTACCCATCTACTCCGAATCCCTGCTCTGCTCCGTCTTCCGACGTTTCCCTTTTTGATATATTATTGTTCGATATCACTTGCCCCGTATTCCGCCTTCAACCCGCGGTAAACGCAACGCCCAACGCCGACGTTTGACGTTTATTAAAACGTCCCGTTACCGTTCTACGATACCCGCCCCCTCGTTCCGCCCTAGCGATAGACGTAGACACCCCTGCGCTCCGCTCCGCTTCGCTTCACTAACATGCCCGTCCAACTACTTCCGGCGTCGGCCGCCGCTTTCGCTCCCCGGGCTTCATCAGTCAACGTTGTCTTGGGTTCAAAAGTCGAGCCTTGGCTTACACAGACTCTCAAGCGCATCAACCGAGTCAAGCGTCCTCTCAACTCTGTACCTCAGCATCAGCGGTGTCTTACCGAGACTCTCTCATCACCGAACGCCATCTGGACCTTGACCTCTCTCATGCTGCCCAAGACCCCCGAGTCAGACTTCAAGCGTGATGCCAGCAACCCTCTGGTCGAGGCCATCATGAACTACGAGCTCGTACATGTTGAGGCTTACATTGTCCATGTCGACATGGTTCTGCGAAATGAGGTCGCCTACAAGCTCACCAAGGACACCATCGATGCTCTCGTTGAGTACCACAAGGAAATTCACTGTGTCGATGCAAAGGCCAACACATACGACTGGACAGACAAGGAGCAGCAATGCAAGAAGCTTCACGACGATTTTGTTCAAGACATCAACAAGTTTGTCTTCCGCACCCACGTCTCTGCTCTTGAGGGTCTCGAGGAGGAGGGCGCTGGTGAACTCCTCTGCGGCAAGAGCGAGGAGGTCAAGAACTGCATCAGTGCTCTTATGAAGCCCCTGCTACCTCCTCCCCCTCCTCGTGTCGTCGAAGTTGTCCGACAACCTACACTGCTCCCTAGCTCTCCTGTCAACAACATGTGGTCGCAACATGGTCTCCACGGCAATCTTGCTGCTGTTGACTCATGGAGGGTGCTTCCCTCAAGCCCCAGCGTCACATCATCGGCCGACTCAAACACAAGTCCTATCTGGGCACCCATGACCATGGATGATCTGTCACCTACTCCCGCCTTCACCCAGCCTCACTCTACGGCCGGCTTCTTCTGGAGCTCGCCTCAAGTGACAGCACCCATCCCCGCCCTCCCTCTTCCTAGTATGCTCGCCCCTGCTCAATGTGGCGTCGGCATGGGCATGACAGGAATGGGAGGCATGGGCGGTTTGGGAGGCTTTGGCTGGGATCGGTACCAAGAGTATGCGACCATCATGTGACAACCAGGGCCCCAGGACAGCTATCCAGTGGTGACGACCTCGAGCTATTAATACTGCACCAATCCCTTCCTCGTTTCCCGGAGAAAAGTTGAAGCTCTCAAATTTCGCAGCGGCATAGAACTATCATCCATCATGGGCACGGCATATCGGCGTTTTATTGCATCAGGAACGGTGTTTCGAACCATTTTTTATAAGAATATCCCCTCTCGCATTGTTTTTATTCTTTTTTTTTTATCTTTCCCTTTGTCTTCATAGCAAGCGTTCTTTTAGTTTCGGGGAATCTGGTCTTATCATTCCTCTCCGGGAAACGCTCTTCAACGGTCGTTCACATAAACTCTCTATCGTCTCTGGACTTTTCTTTCATCTACCACAACACCACATGGCTGGATCCGGGGCCGGGTATTTGGATGCATTTGCAACTGGGCAGGGATCTGATACAGGCGGCTTGTTTTCTTTGGCCTTTTTCCTTCCGTCATCTTTGGTTCTCAAGAAAAAGACGTACACGCAGCAATGCACGACGCTCGGCTCTAGTCCGAGACAGAAACTTCTCTGCGGATTCTTCGCTGATATCCCCGGGACTTTCTTTTTCCTTCTTTTCCCCCTGTTTTCTTTATCTGTTCGGTTTAGAGAGGCTTCTTGGAAGATACCCCTACAAACAAGGACGACACACAACTGATACACTCACTTCGCTTCGTTCTTTGGCTTGTTTCCCGATTCACGACGATATTATTTTAATGACGACCTCTTCTACGACTCGATGACGAATGACTACTTCTTTTCAGACATGATACGATTTACGAGCGGAATCACAAATAATCGGCTTGATGTCGAAACCTGACTTCTTTTCGAAAGAGTATCGAGCACTGAACCTCACGCTTCATTCGGCACGATGTCTAGCCTCCAGGATGGTCACTGGACTGGATCCAGGACATTGCATCTGAACGTAAGGCCGTCTCGACTACATCGCGTACGCCACCAAGGGAATATCTGGGATATACCCATAAAGGCTTGGCACTGGCTGTCAAACGGGATCACCACCCTGCGCCGATCGACCTTCAGTCTTCGGTGTAAGGAGAACGGAAAGACGGAGTGAAATCATGGGATTCTTCCAATGAGCTGGGCACTGTATCTCTGCTGGGCGGAGTCAGCTGCACAGCCTCTGTCTAACCCGATCTGCTCCAGCCAGCCATCCCCTGCACCCAACAGCCCTGTCCGCAGGTGCCCCCATCGCCCTGAATGTGAATGAACACACGCTGCCGAGTTGAGGTGAGAACCGCTGCGCCGTTTGAGCCTGCTAGACGGGTCTCGGCCGGTGGAGGACGCCGCTTCGAGGATAAACCTGTGGTTGCTCACATTTGGGTGATGGAATGACTGGGATAGGGCAGGGATGGCTGAGGGCAGAATGTAGGATCATCTCCCTACAAACCTCTCGCGCCAGATGAGTCAACACGCAGCTTGGCCTGCCCGACTCATCACAATGCGGAGAGGTAGCTGTAAGAGAGGAGGGAACAGTTACTGCTGAGCAGTGCACTCCACCTTCTCCGGACCTTTGAGTCCATCGGCTGAAGATGCTGGTATCTAAGTGGCGTGGAAGGGAAACAGGATACGCCCTGGTGGCGGTTCCCTTGCACAAGGACAAGTCTGCTTTGCTACAACGATTCCCTGCTCGTTGTCTTGTCGTTGCAGTATTAGTTAATCTGAACAAAAAAAAATATGTTCAAATATTTGAGGTCTCCCTTTTGTTGTGATGTATTTTGTGACATATCACGAAGAGTCATTGAAAGAAAGCTTCAGAAGATTTGGATAGGATTAAATATTATTTCATATCCGCGTCCCAGCCTAAATCTATAACTTCCGTCTAGATAAACTCCGTCTATGTAACTATACAGGGTATTTTTCAACTTTTCCTCCATCATATCGAGTCATTAAAACCCAGAGAACAATGCCCCTGACTCTCCATCGCTCAGTCCCGGATAGCAAACGCCTCCCTGGCAGTCTTGCTACTACGTGCCAGACGCTCACCATATCTGATGAAAACAAAGGGAATGACACCCATCGCCAGAGCAATGAATGCGAGGACCGAAGGCGCCCAGTGAAACCCCAAGTTATTATACATGCTGTCCGCGGCGAGGGGTAGCGTGGTGGCCCCGATAGATCGCAACATGGCAGCAGCGCCGAGGGCAGAGGCAGAATGACTTCGGAACACGTCGGTGAGATAGTTGGTCATTCCCATGAAGAGGAGCTGGAAACCGAGGCCGAAGAATATACCGCCGAGGCTCGGAATGATGGGAGACATGGAGTCCCAGACCGTCCAGCCGAGCCAGAAGAGAGAAATCACCATGCTGAAGATAGTCAGTTGCAGTTGATAACAGGGGACAGTGGGGGAACTCACCAAGGAGAAGCAATGCACGCAAGAGGAAGTCTTCGATAGATATGGTTCTTTGTCCATTCAGCACCAGCAGCAGTTTGCCTGTCATGGTATCGGGTATAAATTGCGAAGACACCCAGAGACAGTATAACACCAACGCAGACTAATGCCATGTTAGTATAGAGACGTCAAGTATAGCGGATGAGACTCACATGGGATATATGCAAGCCCTGCCATGCCGGGAGAAAGACCATAGAATCCTAGTCGACATTTAGATCGTTTGACTGAGCCGGGGGTAGATATCAACATACCTTGGAAAACACGAGGATACGCCTGAAACATGAGATAAAAGACAGAGTAGGCTAAAGTCAGATACACCGAAGTAGATGCAAGGATAGGCTCAGTAAAGAGCAGCTTCATGGGTCGAAGGAAGATCTTGCGGACGTTGAAGGGCCTCAGCTCCAAGGGCTCCTCATCAGTTGGCTCAGTCTTGTTCTTCTTGTTCTCCTTCTCTCGCCTCTTGATATGCGCCTTGACCATCTTGTTATGGAGCACAGGGGCATAAGTCTCTGGGATGGTAAGGATAAGAGGAAGTCCTGCAATGGCCATCATGCCAGCAATCCAAAATGGCCAGCGCCAGGATACGGGAGATGAGAAGCCAGATACAATGGGCCCGACGAGAGGACCGATTGTAGTGACGGTCATGTAAAGAGCCATGGCGTTACCTCTAGTCGAAGGATCGTTGAGGATATCAGCGTATAGACCTCCGATGACAGTGGTTGGAGCAGCAGCGTTGATGCCACCGAGAAACCTAAAGACTAGGAGGGCAGCATAGTTGGGTGCGCCAGAACAAGCCAGCATAAAGACGATGTATCCCAAGTAAGTGCCAATGAGAACAGGCCGCCGACCAATATATTCACTGAGAGGTCCAAAGAGAAGAGGCCCTAGGACATAGCCCACCATGTATAGAGAGTTGAGGAGTATGAGGTGAACGGGGTTGGTAATGCTGAACTGCTCGGCGATGATATCGAGAGCTCCCGAGGGCATAGAAGAGCCAAAGTTTCCATTGAAAGTACACGTGAAGCCGGCGATGACAATATGTAGTTTTCTCATAGGTGAGAGGTTGAGAGGATTCCAAGATTCTGTGTCAGACCAGCCAGATTCGTCTGAGGAGTCGTGTCTCTTTTCGACGTCGACATTGGGAGAGACAGCCATGGTGGCATCGCTGCCAAATAGTTGAGTTTCGTTTCCTCCCATGGTTGATATAGGAGTTTTATAGTGCACTTGAAGTTGAAGATGGATTATATTGAGGTTGCAGGCACATCTATCTATATAGTTTGCCTCTCCATGACAGTTCCACAGCAGGTGGATATGAATGGATAAATTCTTTCACAGCCAATTTTTCTCACGTCATCTGATTAGTTTTTCGTGATTGCTCGACTCGAGTTTGTGTGAAGGGCGCAATGGTTTTTGGTGATGGTGTCTAAGTCAGATCCTTCTGTGGTTGGTTCTCATTGCCGATTCAATATTTTCTCTAATGGAGAAGCTTCAGAGTATAACTTCCGAGAAGAAAATGGTAAACAATGATTGGGTGTAATTTCCGAGACGCCAATGAAAAGCCCCTTGTGAACTGTGGCTCCATGTTACTTTACTTAGTTTATAATTTCTCCAAGGCAAGGGCGCACTATAGAAATCTGATCGGATGGTCGGCCGATTTGCTTTGAGTGTACAGAGAGCTCTTCTGTGCGCTGCAAAGTTAGGACAAGAAGGCCGTAAAAGGAGATATGATTATAAATCTCTGAACAGAAAGAAAACCTTGATACCTTGAGGACCTTGAGAGTGCCACCTACCTAGGTACTAGGTACCTGGAGTGCCTGCAATGATTGGGAGTCGATGCTTCCTCTTTTCAACAATGACAACGAAATAAAGCAGGCACGATCCACACTGCCTACCTATTCTCGTCCCTTCCATAGAACACTAACTTCTTCTCGACCTTTTCCAGGTTGGCATGAACTTTTGTAACTCAGGGCACTTTGAGGGTCCACAGACTTTCACTTCGTAACAACCGAATCGGAAGTATTCTTCTCGGCGAAAAGGGCGTACAGTAGAATACCTATACCTACCGAGATACACAATGCCCACCGAAAGGCGCGATACTATTGCCCATGCTCCAACTGGCAATGGTCAGCCAGCTGTCAGTAGACGGCGAACCAGTATGTTTATGATACCCCTTTGAGGATATCACCGATCATCTTGTGTTTACACCTTCAACTGATACATAACAATAGATGGAAGAGCTTGCATAACTTGCCACCAACGCAAAGTCCGTTGTGATATCCTTGAAAAGGGCACACCCTGCTCTCACTGCCAGATCCAAAACAAGCCCAATTGCACAATATACGAGAAGAAAAAGAAAAGATCATCTCGCGCATCTAATTCTCGTCCCAGCCCCGTCCCCCTCCAGCCTCGTCATTCTTCTCAACAGCCGCAGCCGCAGCCTCAGCGTCATCACCACCACCATCAGCGACAGCAACCGCAATGCCTCACAGCTCCTGCAACACCCAGAGCAACGGCAGCCCTCTGGCCGGAAGTGGCCGTAGATCCGATTGCGCGGCCAAGTTCCAGCACTGGCCATTATCAACATGACTCTCCCTCAACTATGCAAGACTCTGCCGAGAACGAGGAAACCTACGAGACTCGCAATCTAGCTGACTTTATCGGTCAAGACCTACCAAAAGTCGGCGAGATCTCACGTTCTGAACGCCTCTACTTTATCGGCACCGAGTTCTCAAATCTCAACCATCTCGTGCGTCACAGAGCTCTACGAAGGGATCAAAAGGACGTGTTGCACTTTGGGACGCGTAGACTTGCGAGAAAGGTTCCTTCAGTCCCTGAAGAAGCTCTAAAGTTACCTCCTAAAGCCTTGGCTGATGAGCTTGTCACAGCGTATTTCGCCCACGTCAATCCAGGGTTTCCAATTGTCGATGAGGATGAATTTATGACGAGCTACAATGGCTCTGACGTTCCGAAACTGGTGTCCTTACCATTGTTGAACGCCATATTCCTCGTCGGCGCCCATGTACTCTCCTCGACCCGAGAAGACTGTAGGGCCAGCACATATACCTTCTTCCGTAGAGCCAAGATGCTCTTTGACTACCGCTTCGAGCAGCACCGCGAGACGTACCTCCAAGTTGCTCTCCTATTGACATGGCAGTGTGACAACCTCGAAGATATCGTTGATAACTCATGGCACTGGATCGGAATTGGAGCCCGCACTGCCTTTGGAATGGGCATGCACCGGGACGCCCGTTCCAGTACCCTGAACACCATAGACAAACGTCAATGGGTCCGGCTCTGGTGGTGTCTATTTCAGTTTGACGTCATGGTTTCGGCTTCGTTTGGTCGACCGCAAGCAATGTGAGTACGAAAAGTCTTATACCCATCCCCATCTAACATGTTCAAGAAACCTAGAAGAGTCGGACACCCCGATGCTCGACGAAAGTCATTTTCAGGGCATTCCTCATGGCAACCCAACTTTCGCCATCGAGCATACAAAACTGTGCATCATCTTCTCCACGGCCATGAGACGACGTGTAGCCTTACGATCCACAGAAGCCGATAGAGCAGCGGCAACCAAGGAAGCTGATGAGGAACTTGCTAAGTTTATAACCCAACTGCCGCAAAGTCTTCAAATCTCGCATTCCAACCCGGACACTTGGCAAGCAACTCTTCACCTCTCGTATCATAACTTTCTTATCCTTCTCCACCGGCCTCCGCCTCATCAAGATCCGAGCCGGGTTTCACATCACTCTGCCATGGATCACAGCATCTGTGGCGATGCTGTCGTAGCGATAAACTCTATCTTCGAATCTCTCCGCGCAAAGAATACGTTATGCAATCTATGGTTGCCTTCCGTCCACGTTCTTTTCACCAGCCTGCTGCACATTGCCAGTGAGCTCAACTCTCCCAATCCTCTCATTGCTGCAAAGTCATCCCGCATGTTTGACTCTCTTATCCACACGCTCCGAGATATATCACAGTATTGGATATATGCCAAGAGTCTTCTGCGGCTGTTTGAGGAACGGGCTATGTGGAAAAAGAGACAGAGAGGGCATGTACTAGGATCATCTGAAGATCGGACCTTTCAACAAAGTCAAGAGTCTCCAACTACTCGTACGGGCGCTTCCGAGTTTTCGCTGCGCCCTGATCCTCTTGGTGTCCCCAGTATCATGGGCGATGCTCCATCAACTCTTCAGCCATCTTCTGCCCCAGTACCTGGACCAGCATACGGCTTTAATTTCGACTACGGTGTGCACCAGGGTCTTTCATATGGCGAGGGCTTTCCAAACGGCCTTGACATAGCCGGGAATGGGAGCGAGGCCATGAATCTGCTCCCTGTGCCTTCGGTATTGGAGTTTCTACTGGCTGGCGTTGATAATCAGTATGACTTCTGATTGGACTGTTATTAACCAAATAATTGTGCCTTTTGCTGCAATACTATGTATGTAAGTCTTCAACGCAGCAGGCAGGGGCTGGAAACTGAGATGTGCCCTGTCATCCGTGACTTCGAATATGCCAACTACTACAACCCATATAAGACATCTTATAAAGCTATTTAAAATCAAAATTTTCGTCATGAAGCTCAATCATTTATTGACTAAAGACATTCTTTGTACACTAGCAGTCCGCACGTGCTGCCAAGCTGTTCATCCTGAACGTTGTATCCCGGCTAGGGGAGGCAAGAAAACTTAGGACCTCTATCCTAAGTAACGAAAAGAATTAGGTAAGTTTAGTATATCTTAGCAGGCCTTTAGACCAGTTTATTTTGGCATCCTGATTTCATGTCAGAAGCTTTCTTGTTCCCTGGGGCCCGGCTAGTTGAGAATGCCATGTACCGTCCCAACTGCACGCCTGATCTTGGTCGTCCAGTCTCTCACTACGAACACCACTCATACCCACAGACTAACGCCACATAGACTCCAATGAAGCTCTTCCAGAGAATCCGTGACGGTTCTAGAACTGCAGATTCGGTGGACCAACAGGTCCCATACGCGCCCTAAGGGCCAAGCAAACAGGGGTCGTCAGGGAGACTCGGAAATTCTGAGCAATCATCTTTCACCATTTTGTCTTCGGGATTTAGTCGTGTAATGCCTAACTGCAACCCTTCCTTCAAGTCAATTTCCACATGGAAATCGACTCGTTAGTATCTATTACTCATCACATTGAACAGGAAATATGCTGCCGACATAGGGGTCTGCACGCTTCTTCTCTTGGCACAGTCGCTTGTAGGCGTGGGCTCCAAGCCAGCTAAGCAAGGCTTGTCACCTCCATTAGCGAGCATAAAGAACCGATATTTTGTTTGGGCTTCGAAGTACTTCATCATTGAATAATATATCTCATCTCATGTGACAGCTTGTGTGCAATCATAGCCTCGCAGCCATACTCAACACCAACACTACGTCCATCATCCTATGCCGTATACCATATACCCAACCCATACCATATACTCAAGCCAAGACAACCAAATAAACCCTTTCCCACGCCCCCACCGTCCTCTTTGATTTTGATACATTGCTTTCGTCACCATCCCAACCTTGCCTTGCGCCAACGCCAGTAGCCCAGTCCGTTTCTCCGTTCCTTTGGAGTGACTCGAGATGCTGATTTGGACCCCCGTTCCTCGGACTTCTGAACAGACGCACCGTCCATCCGTCCACACATAGATATTGTACACGTATATACTGCAATCATTAGAGCAACTTAAGCCAACACCTTCCCCCAAAACAAAACTTATAGAACACACAATATTCAGCCAGAATCACCTCAACTCATCCGACGCTCTGGGTTGCCTCTCCAGCTTCATGAGCACGTCATTGAAGCATCATTTGACCACGCCTCTCTTTTCGCTCCTGGCCGATGAGTGCTGTAATACCTCATCCAGTCATGTCTGCAGTAGACGGAGAATTCGTGCCTTTGTGCCTTCTGAAAAAGGGAAGATCCTTTATCCTGAACCTGCTTGTTTTCTTCCGTAGCGACTTGCCCTCAGCCCTGCCGATACTTCCACCTGTCGTGCTCGCATCGGATCTTGTTTCGTCATCGATAGGTGAGCCATCCTGTCGAAGCGTTCCTGAGCTGTCTTTCAAACTTGCAGAGTCGACATTGATCTTAGGAATTCCAACGGCATGTTCAGTCGAATCTCCGCTCACGATACTCGTACCACGTGTGCTTGGTGACATCGGCATCTTGCCCGTTGTAGCGCTTGTCGCTTGTGAAGCCCAATCTCCCGAGCAAGCCCCAGAAACACTTCCATCTGTCGTCTCGCTGGATCGTTGCTTCGCTGAATCCCTTCTCGTTTGCGTCTGAAACGGATCACTGTTGGCCAATTCTCTAACCGCATCAAATGTTGAAGCTGATCCGTTCGATCCCCTGTGGTCCCCAACTACACCGTTTGCAGCTGATGGCCCCATTGTCCTCTGACTATCGGCCGGCGATAGGTCATCCCTTTCCGGGCGTGGCATGGGTAGTTCACCGTTCCCTACAGGGGTTGTGTCCGATCCGCGATCCAATGCCTCGAACAGAGTCGTCATATCTCTCTTCTCCTCTTTCTCCTCCTCCTGTGGTACAGCAAAGCTCATGGTCCTTGGGGAAAATGTACCTTCCTTCAGAAGACGTCTCCTGATTGGGTCATCTAGGGGTTGCTTTTCTTTCTCTTGTTGAAGCTTAAGCTCGAAGAGACTCTTATTCATCTCAAGCTCGTCGACAGTGTACTGCATAGCGGGCATGATGTCGGCGACGCCTTGGAATAGAGGGGTGGCAAAAAGGTTCATAAAACCGAGTTGGCCTTTAGCCAGTGAAGTCATGTCTTGCTTGGGCGGTGTCATAAGTGATGAAGGGATGCTCAGCTCACTCTCCATCGAAGCTTGCCGGGAGAACTCTTCTGAGAGAATGTAAGTCCACTTCAAAGCTATTTCATGGTTTCGTGCCTAGATTTGCGTTTTTAGCTGGTGACTCCACGATGCCATTAACAAGGGGGAAGCATACCACGTTGCTAATATCAGCACATTTGATGAGTAACGAACAAGCGAGAGACTTGTTCTCTTCAATTTGCCGGCCATTCCAACCGTCGGCGCTATTGTTAGCTTGGAGTCGTTCTTGAACATCTCCGAGCTTCTTCATGTAGTCGAAATGCAAACCCATATCCGTAGCCAAGATAGAGCTGATCATCAGGTTACGCATCTTTGTGTCTTCGAAGGCCGAGGGCCAGTATCGTCGAAGAATCTGCGAGTAAGCGGCGCAATGGAACGATTCCAAAACAGATCGATCGTTGTACAACTGTGCTAGGGGAGCATTTAGTGTCACAAGAAAACCGTTGTTCACGCCAGGGTGTCCGACGTCATGCCCAATAGCAGTGATGAGGAGCGTCAACGCTTCAAACGGAGTTATGAGAGAAGCCATAGGCGACTTCTCTGGCGTGGAACGGGATTCGGTACCCGATGGATACGGCGACAGAGCACCGATATGTACTAGGAAATTGAAGGTAGCTTGCAGTACATCCACAACATGACGGAAATTGTGGTAAGGCACAAAGCTATTGTATGCAGCACGGCAAGCAACAAGGAAGCTGATTAGTTGATCTGAAGCTGAGTCAGTATGCGGGCAACCGACACCAACCCAAAACAGTACAACGTACCTGCATGTATCCGCCATCGCTCAAGTTCTGGCATAGCTAAGGCATGTCTGAACATGTCCATTGCGGCCACCAACAACTCATCATCAGTGAATGAGTGAGCGCAGAAGCGCCAACTTCCTATTGCCTCAGCAATGGCAGATTGTCGTTCTGAAGAGACGGCCACATGAGCATTGTTGATTTGGTCGTCACTGGTGCCTAAACGGCATATTCCTTTCATCAGACCCGATACCATGGCTTCACGAAGATATGCGAAGGGCTTCTCTTCGTTGACTCCCACCCACGACCGTTTTCGACCTTGTCTAATTTCCAGCAGGGTTGATTGTTCCTTGGCGGCATCTCTGTGAGCCCGATAGGCGCAGATTTCCAGACTTGTAATACATTTGGTGCTCATTGGACAAATGATGACGTCGACTGCCCCTAGATCTAGGCACCTCCTTATGAGTTGACGATTTGTGTCAAGCGATCCCAATGGCAAAGGCTTCTGCTCAGCTGTGCCGTCGGTCATCTGTCCGTTGGTTGTGGGGTGACCTGCCTCGGAATTGCTTATTACCGGAATCGGTACAACGAGTTTAGACATACCGCGCAAATGCGCTTCGGTGATGATTTTTTGCAGCAGTCCCAGACCGTATAGTGCTTCGTCGGGTGTGTGGATGTCGACATTTTCGTTGGAAGAACTGCATGAAGGAGAAGGCGACGATGCCCTTCTCCGCGCTTCAGGCACTGGGTCATCGTTTGGCGTATCAAGGAGAACCAGGGTTGGCTTCAGGTCAAGCATTGAACCCTCTTGTAATTCGAATAATTTTGTTAGGCAGGCACCTCCAGATGCGCAAACGTGAACTGAACAATATGTTAGTGAGTGGGGAAATGACTCATGGCGACGCCATAACGAAAGAACGAACCGTCTCCGAAGGCATCTAGCAGAGGTTGTACGACGTGACGAGCCTCATCCGCTGCCCAATCGGATGTGCTGTCGCCAGAAGTGCTGTGAATCAATCCATCTTCGCTGGCATTGCGATTGACGTAAATAACATGACAAGCGGCGCGGTCCATGGTGCTCATGGAGAGCTACCAGTCTCGCGACTGGAGCACCGTAGCCCTTCGGGCAGTTGAGTATTTGTACCAAGATAAAGCGATTTACCGGAACCAAATAGCCTCACGAACTGCCGGAGACCAAATTATCTCAAAGAGCGAGCCGATCGAGCTTCGAACGTTGGATTAGAGCAGGGTAGGATTGAATTTCGAGGTCGTGATTGAAAACGCAATTGTCGCGAAGTAGCCCAAGAGAATTGACTCAATAGCTACACGACATGCGGGTTGGTGGCGAGCAAGGGGTGTTCGAATTGAGAGATGGGGGCCCGTGATGCTGATTCGTCTCGAGGAGTTCGTATGCGATGTTGTCGAGTTGAGTTGATTCAATGAACCTAGTTCGGTGGTACAGACGATTGGTGTTTTCTGCTGGGAGGGTCGGACAGGCTGTCAGACTGGCGTCGCGGCGGGCGGGAGCAGTCGGTTGGCGACAGGGTTCGTACAATTAGAAAATTCAGTCGAGGCTGAGAGACGAGGGGCGGATATTAGCTGGTAAGCAGGAGGAGGATGTCGTGAAAGACGTGGTAAATGCGGCGATGCGAAAAGAAGACAAGAGGGATTTGAAAAATGATGGCGCAGGAGGGAGAAGCGCGGTGGATTGTAAATGGAGGGGACAAGAGGACTCGGAATCTGGACTCGGATTGGGCCAAGATGGAAAGAGCCACCTAGGAATAGGAAGGGCCAGGGGATGAAAAGAAGAAGGAAAAGAGGCAAGGAAGGACGTCGGATTGAGGGTTGGATTCACAGGTAGTGAGAAGGAAAGTACGGACGGACGAACTGGACTGGACAATACAGTACAGTACAACCAACACTACAAGCAGAACCAGAACAGAGCACGCGTGCGCTGGG